AAGGAACGAGAATGAAGACAAATGGATGTAAAGCCAGTATGACATAGCTAACGAGCCGTATCGCCATCATAAATCATCATCGAAGCCTTTCATTCTCTACTTATTTTCATTAAATATTCAAGTTTCATCATCTTCACGGCTTCTTCCCTCATTAAACAATCAAAAATAGATCATCACTTATCGCGAAATAATTTTTCATTGTGATTCATGCGTTGAATTCACGATGTGAATTCTGAAAATTTATCTCAAATCGAAAGCTTCCTTCATATAATTTGTTAAGAATAATTTATAACTTTAAGCTGTATTAGTCAACCCCTTGAGATGAACATCATCAACATGACATTCTTGTGTCTTAAGATTCACCGCAATCTTTTCTTAGAAGGAATCGGCATAAACATGGAACATGGCAGATTCCAGCTTGTGAAAAAGCAAAATTTTTGATTAATGCTCTTTCACTGACATATGCTGTGAACATGAAATGTGTACAAAAATCCTAGATAGAATCTTATTCTTCCCTATGACACCCATAACCGGATGTTTATCTTTCTTAACATAGCACAAAAATGCCAGTAAAATGAATGTCAGTTTTTGTTACGAAATGTCAAAGAAGTAATTTGTGATTTCCCTTTGTTTGTTTAGCACGTCTCGAATAAGCATCATCTTAGAGCCAAAAACAATAAAGGATTGACGCGCAAGTAGATAGTTAACTTTTGTCTCCATCAAAAATAAAACAACAACAACTATCAAAGAGTCGTCACAGCTAAGGTCAGTCCGAAGATAATTAAATTTAATGACATTATTAGCTTTATCTAACCCTCTTAAAGTCTTTCGAAGTAAAAGTCTGTTCATTTTCTCAATGTTGCTTCATGATTGCCTCAGTTTAATTTCCTTAGATGACTGGAGACATTAATTAAATGAACGCAATTGCTGTTCTTCTATGAAAAAAGCGGAATTTAACGGTCATTTAAAAAGGAAAGCATCTTGAAATTTTATTGAGTTCGCTTGATTGTTATTATGACGTTATTTAAATATTTCCTTTATCTTCAATCATAAGTGACGTAAATCTACCAGGTCTGTGGTTATTAAGGATCATGTGAAATTAGTAATATTTTATAATTAAATCAACCTTCGCGTTTAAATAAAAATTTCTCATACGTACACATAAAACTTTGACTAAGTTTACTCTTGATTGATGAACATTTTTCAACCATTTAAAGTGGACTTAGTTTAATTATTCATTGCTAACCTATTACTGTTCATGAGAATTCTTGTTTATAAAGGATGTTCCGTTTGCTTTATTGAATATTTAACTTAATTTTAAAAGCATTGAAATATTAAGCAAGATGGAAACTTAAGTAATTAAGAAAATAATTTCATAATTACCTATAATTGTTTAAATTATCAAAAGATTTCGGATTTCATAAGTCTTCAATTGAATATTATGTTGTATGTCAAAGTTTATTGGAAAGTACATAGTTCAAAACTCAGACCTCCCTTCACACATTATTTTCAAAGATAATCAATAACTGTCGTTGTCAGATTACTAACTAACCAGAAACCATGGCGTTCAACTTTCTCTTAGAATTTCAAACAACTTCTAACTAACTAAATACGCAAAACTTTCACATCCACTTTTGCCAATTGATGTGAGAATAAATATTCTGTCCAATTTATGAGAAAAATGTTTTCTCTTCCTCTTTGATTCACTCCCACGACAATCCGTACCGACTTCTATTGTTATGGTGTTTCACCATGAAAGCTTTCATAACACATGTGCTTTGTATTTGCTTAATTCATCACGCTTCTCGAAATCACGTTGTTTATTTATTTATTCTACTTTTTTTTGTGTGATGAAAGCGAGTCAGTTTTTGTTATCAAAAATGCGCAGATGAATCGAATAAATGTGAGTGAACAACAGAAAGCAAAGTTCATTAACGTAAGTATTTGACACGAGGCAAGTTTAAAAGTGGAAAATTCTGATTCATTCAAACCTATTCTTGACTAAAGTTTAAGTTTCTAACATGGAAATGAAACTGCCGCAAGCGTTTGGTTGTTTTTTCTACACTTTTGCAACCATAACACTTATTAATCAAATTACCAAAAGCTTTACCTGTAAAAGCAGATCAGGTTTCAAACATATTTTATTTATCAAGGATGTATGTATAGCAACTGTTCGTTCTGCTCTATTTCCAATGAGATATTTAATGAAGCGTTTGGATTTGGAAAAGTAAAATTGGGATGAAGAAAGGTAACGTTAAACTTCAACTGTTTTGCTCTGAGATCTAAACTAAGTATTAATTAGCAATTTCCTTGGCATTCCTGCAACCATGGTTAAAGATTCAAATTAAGAAAAAAAATTCTTGTTTTATTTTCTATTATTAAATTTCTCGTCTAATTGTGACGTGGAAAGAGATATTTATGCAGCTTCATTAGCTTATGTATTTAATTAGAGTTAAAAATAAAAAAAAACATCAATTAAAAGTTCTTTCATTGTCCAGGCATAAGATTTTTATAATTAATTAAAAAAATCTGAAACAGATTTGAGTTCCTTTAAAACTGTTTAGTAACGAAATAAGTTTGCAAACAGTCTACTTGCAATTAAAATTAAATAATTACGTGGAAATGTGTGTCACAACAGCAATTTGCTTTTTGTAAATATAAAATTCGTTAATTAACTCATTCAGCTTGACACCAACTTCTCTTATAGCAATGTCAATTAGTTAAATGAGACGTTGAATAATGAAATTCTATCAGAAACAGTGAATGAAAAGGCCATGACTTTTTCATCAATATCATACGATTTTTATGCTTCATCAATTTAAATTTATTGTCATCTTAACTCACATAATAGATTTGCCGTCGACTTGAAAGAAAGAACATAAAACAAAGGATTTCAAATATAGGATTTCCCTTTCAAGATTATTTTAAAATGCTTTCAGGAATAAACAACATAACGAAACAAAAAGAAATTTCATATGTAGATGTTTTTCGGTAAAACGTTTATGTCTCAATTCACTTATTTTTGTTTTAAATATATCGAAATGTCAGACTCAATTCATCTAGATCTCATGTTCAAACGTTTACGTAAAGGAAAAAAAGGCAATGAAAGAAAATGATCTGTTTGCTTAAGACGAAAATTCTACTTAAATGTCAATTTAAGTCTTGGAAACATTTTATTTTCTAAATATTTTGATAGAAAAACTTTTCGTGCGAAGTGTTGTGGATTGAAATGAATTTTGTGGATATTTTTTTAACTTCGCATTTCAACTTAACGATGTTTATTTTGTGAGACATTTACGCTTCTATTTTTCATTTCCAATTGATATATTTAGGTGTAGTCCATGACATGATGGTGAATGTATGAAAGACTGGAGTTTGATAAGCGATTCATACCCGTTAAGGTCATTTGAAGCGTGAAAATGACAAGGGAAAGTTAAGGGACGTTGAACCTTGCGTTTTCAAATTTTCCCATCCATAAATTCGTCACGTATTATCAATAAATATTTCTTGCACTATTCGAATAGTTTTCCCATTTTTTTCCTTGTCATTTTCTCCAATAAAGTTTTCATAACTTTCTTTCATAAGAACTCATATGAAACATGTATAAAGTTAGACTTTAACAACTTACGACTTCAATCGGTTTAAGATTTTTCCCTAGGTAATAATTCCGATTGGTAAAATTATCAAAATTTCCTAAATCGTGATCATAAAGAGAAAAAAAAGTTCATGCAACTGCCAAGACTCGTCTTTAAAGATTTCATACAATAAAATAAATCCCAACACGATTCAAATAAATAAAAAATAATTTGAGAGCTTTAACTGGAGCTGCCAACATTTTAAAGGGTAGCTGAACATTGATGATAACGAAATTGATGCCAAAAATAAATTTGTCTTAACCCAAATCAAAGGAAATGAAAGAAAATGGAACAGTTTTATCATTTAAAAAGAAAATTCTTTAAATTTCTATTTTTCTTGGAAAATATTTGTCTAATGAAAAAGTTTTATTGAAAAATTATTCGAGATTCAAAAAATTTAATTTCTTTTCTAACATCTTGTCAGAACAGTTGACAATAAATCCTGTTATTAAACGGTAAACATTTAACATAAGAATGAAGTGAAATTGCTAAACAAGCCTTAAAGTCAAAATTAAACAAAAAATTAATCTAATTCTTAAATGTCACTGCAAAATCACTTTTGTCTCTTTAAAACTTTTCGTCTCATACTCATTTTTAATGCTTGGATATTCAGATAAGCTTTTAAGGGCAATTTTCATTTTCTCGTTTCTTATACTGCATGATGATGAAAAAAATAAATTAAGGAGAAAAAAAGCTAAAAGAATGAGGATTAAAATGAAGATTATGATACGAGGCAGTTGATAGTTTTAAGACTTCAAGTGGAATGCAAAATTCAATTTTAAAAAGAAATTTTTATAAATTTAATTGAAAAGTTTAATTGAAAGTCGTCTGTTTGAATAATTTATTTCAATATTTTTTGCATAAGTCAACAGAAAAATATATGAATTTGACCTTAAAGAAGAAGTTCCTTGTCTAAAACCTGATATTTATTTCAATAAATTGTGTTTGCACAAGCATCCTTAGCAAACAGAGAGACATTTAGATATATTTTAATCATTATGATTATGAATTTTTGGAGATAAATATCATTAAAACGTTTCCGAAAATTTGATGTTTATTCGAATTTATTATAAAGTTTCTTTATAAAGTGGAAGTCAGGGTTTTATAAATATTTTTCTCTATTCAAAAGACACCATTTAAAAGTATTAATTAGTTTTAATCAAAATTTTTACTTTGAAGTCTTTAAAAAATAAATTACGGCGTTAGGATATTTCATGAAAATTCAATTATAATTAACAACGAAGAAGAAAGCTCTCAAATTTTGACATTATTTGACATTTGCATTTAATTAATATTAAAAATTCTGTAATTAAGATGAAAGTCGCTTAATCACAAAAAATGTTAACAATTAAATGAAAGATTATTTGCTATGTGAACCGTGGTCGAAACAGATTTAATGTTTAACAATTAATTAGCGTAGCACTTATTGCTACATTGTATCGATACAAAATAAAGCTTTGAGGATACATAAAAAAATTACAATCCCCCAATAATTCCAAGAGACTATTTCTAATTAAGAATGATAATTTTTCTTTTTTTTCTTAAAGTTTTATCGCATTTTTATTGAATTTCATAGCTTAAATTAATTCAATTTAATCTGTATCCATATCTTGTTCTTCTTCACATCTTAATGAGGCACCCATTTCAACGTCGCGAGTCTTTCCGGCTTGCAATTCGCGTCTAATTTCCGGAGTTATTCTTGGATGGCTCTTTTTACGTAAAAGTTGAAGTAAAGCTTCTTTCTGTTCAGACGAAACGTCATTCTTGTAACGTTGAACAAAAGATAAAAGCGCTTGATGCCAAAGTGTTGGAAGCTCACGTGAATCATTTTCAAAACGAAGGAAATGAAAAACGGCGCCATCAATTACTCGATAAGGAAGTGCATATCGCTTATCGAGAAATATTCTAATAAATATTGAATTTGCACCTGAGTATTCCATTTCACAAATCTTTAACAGACATGCAGCAGCATGAAGAACAGGAATAGCTGTTTTACTGATGATACTTCCGAAAATGATCGCTTCTCGAAGTGTGCAGTCACCAGCTTCAAGAAGGGGAAGAATTATTCCCTTGAAGAATGCTGCAGGCTTATACAAAGCTTTCCTTAATGACCGATACAAAAACGCATTTAGTTTGTTGAATTCAGCAAGATCATCACGAACACGAGGAAGGAGAACAAGATTGTAGAATCGTTGAGTCATGGATACTGTAAGACCAGTAACGAAAATTTTTGTGCCCTCATACATTGCAGCTGAGGACCAATTATGAGGCTCTGTTAAAAATAATATCTGCTCCCAATTCTTTAATTTCGGAATAATTTTGAAGGCTTTTGGAACTTTCCCGCTTCTGTATCTCTTCATGACATCGCGAACACCTTCATACATTTCCTTCACGCGAGGATCGATTTCATCCAATGCAAGTGATCCATTGTCTGAAAACTGTGTTTGTATTTCTGTTTTACGTTCAGCAATCTTTTCAAGAATGATATCAGCAAGTGTTCGGGTTTTCGGTCCATCTCTGTAAAAAGATATTAAATAAATATACAAAAAAAAAATTTAGAAATTGTCATTCTTACTTATTTTGAAACATTTGTAGCGCTTGTTCATCCTCAGCATTAATTTTCAAGTCATCGAAGAAATCATGTTCATTATATTCTTCTTTTTCATTATCAAATTTATCAGAATCGGATTCACTGTCGCTGTGTTGATAAATTGGCTTTTTCACATTAATTCCGCTGTTTGATGCTTCTCCTGGTGTCGGACCAAATTCTTGTGCAAGTTCAAGACGTTGTTTTTGTGCAACTTTAAGAATACGTTGGGTTGTCCTGGAATCAATGTAGGATTCATCTTCATCATCACTTCTCAAACGAATTTTTCCCAACTTTTTACTTTTACTTTTTGCTACGCGACCCTCATTTATTTGATCTTCAAAACCTTGAGAAAATCCAAAATTTGTTCTAATCTTGTTAGTTTTCTTTGATTTTCCCATTTTAATAGATTTTCTTGAACTTGATTTTGTTTTGAAAGTTTTTTAAATACCTAATCAAAACAAAAAAACGTGTTGAAGGAATAGAAATTCAATAAAGCTCGAATTGAATTTATTGTTTCCGACTGACCATAAATTTTATTAAATGCATCGAAGTTCAAAATATATTTAAAATCTCAGAATCCGTTAAATATGGCAATATTCCCATTTGGCATTAATAAAGTCAGATAACTGTAAAAAATAATTAAAAAATTAATGATTTAAAACGAGGCGATAAAAGAAAATTCATTTCGAACATATATTTAAATTCACGTGCTCTCATTACAGGCAATAATTTATGAAAATGATTTAATATAAAATAGTCTCATGAATGTTTTCTTTAAATGATACCGAACGATGAATAGAAATTTTAACATTCCTTAATAATAAATCGAACATTAATTTTGTTTTTAATTTCAATTGCGAATGTATGTTTACATGTTAAACGATAAATTCTTAAATTTAAAGAAAGAGTTAAAATATTTCCAGTTATTATCATTGGAATAATGTTGTAACATATTTCATAAGTAACATTAATATTGTTGTAATTTTTATTTTTCTTATCTAATATTATTTCTCCATCTCCGTCACAATGTTTAAGGTGCGAAAATTTTCTCAACTGAAACTGGATAAATGACAAAAAGCGAGTTTTTTACGACGTGACAATATATCAAAAACAATTTCATTCATTTACAAATCATGGTGATAAAATTTCTTATCATTTCTTCTTGTTAATCATTCACAATCCGAAATCATCAACGAATTTCGAGTGATCTAAATTTAAAAACGTTAAAATATGAACCCGTTGTGAGTCAGTCTCAATGAAAAAGTGGTGCGTGCCGCTCAATCATTAACATTGACGACCTTTCTTATCGGGGCCATAGATTCATCATGTGGAGTACAAAACATGAATCTTTCTAATCGTTTCCATATATTATTGTGATAAGAAATATAAATAAATTGTTTTCTTAGTATGTGGGAGGGAATTATTCATTATCAATTTAACGATTATCTAAAATGAAATAAGAAAGAAAAACAAAAAGGGAAAAACTTTAGCTCAGTTAAATGTCCAGAAAGTTTGCCTCTTGGCAGCTTTAGAAAGTTCAGTAACGATTTCTACTTAATTCCGACTGCACTGCATTTCTTGCCAGATCAGCTCCAGCTTGTTGAACAGTTTGATTACGGAAGAATTCTCGTTGAAACTCTTGTACACCTTTATCCATGCTAGCTCCACTGCTTCGATATATTGCATGAACCTATAATCGATTCGTATTGAATAATTGAATCCTTCTTTCGATTTATTTTTGATCAAACCTTTGTTAATAAAAGTGCAGCTCCGCCAGCAGCAATACCAAATCCTATAGCAATTAACAAACTGGTCAATCCAAGTAATGTCCCCATAACTCGTCCATCAAATAGTGAAATAGCTGTAAAAAATCCAAGGGTCCCTCCATCTGTAATTAAATATTTTTTCTATTAAATCTATTCTCAGAATTGTTCTTATCGTTCATTACTTGGCAAGCCAATCGTTTGAATGATCATAATGATTAATTGAAAGAAGAAAACGAAGAAGAACAGCATAAAGTTAGCACTGCTGTCGTCTTTGAAAGCTTTATATGCTGGACGATACCTGAAAATAAGAATTGATAAAATAAGAATGTATTGACAAGTATAAAAATATTAATTAAATGTTTGTTATCTTACCAACAAAGGAAAGAAGCTGGAGTGAATAAAAGACAATAGAAAACAGCAAGGAAGAAAATCGAAAATTCAGCATGAAGAAGCAAAATGAATAATGCACCAATAACATTAGCACTTAAAACTCCAGTGTAAAAAATCCAAAGATAGTATAAACGCTGGACAATTTTTTGGAACTCTGAAGGAATATCAATGTTGATGTCGTGATAGAAGCAGGGCTGAACGCAGAACTTGTCTGGTAACGGAGGCCAATTGTTTCGTCGAACACCTGCAGTGTTACTGTTTCTCAAAAGTTCCGCTTCACGTCGCTCTAGCTCAGCAGCTTTTCGTTCAAGTTCCTCTTGTCGTTTCTGAAGAAGGTCGAAGAAAGATAAAAAAGAAATTTTAAAGGTTAAATGAGTCATTGATGAGTTGGAGAATGATGAGAGTGGGTGGTGTAACTGCTTACCCTAAGTTCCTAATAAATATGATTGCACATGAGAAATATTTTTAAGATTCAACTTATTATTTGATATTCAAAATTATGATTTTGAGGAAGAAAGAAATTTCCAAAACAAAAACTGAAAATTATCATCTTGTGATGACTCACCTGTAATTCAGCTGTACTAATTTGAGTGACTCCACTCCCCGCTGCATTTGTCGGTGCATCGTTAACTTGATATTGTTGACCAGATGATGAATATGCTGGCAAAGTCTGATTATTGGTCTGAAGTGTTGCTGGTTGAGTTGGCTGCGAATTATTAGAAAATGGATCGTAATCATCAAGGTTTTGATTGTTATTTGCGGTGCTACGAGCTACTTGTTGTATTGATGGATCCTGTTACAAGTTGAGTCATAGCAGATTATGTAGATAAGATAACGAAATACAAAAGAAAATTGAGAAATATGGAAGATTTTTTCTAGCCGATTGCACTTACTTTGAAAGGATCTGAAAAGACTGGTTCTCCAAAAGGATTTTCATCAAAACCCGACATGTTGCACTTATTTATTTTATTGACAAATTAATTGAGAATAGTAGCTGTCTTTTCAGAGAAAATAAAGAAACTATTTCCAGCGATAAGAATTTTTTCTTTTTCGAATCACCACTAGTTTTATTTCGTCTTTATTTTGGAGTTTTCAAAAGATGATCGAATTTCTAGTAAACACAATTCTGAAATATTCACAACTTATTTGAAATGACATAGAAACTTCATGTCTTCTGAACAAAAAATTTTGCAATTATAAATTACACAGCTTGAAGCAGTTTAAATGTGATGTAAAATTATATTACTAACTACCGACAAGGAAAATTATATGAAGTGACTTTTATTTTCTTATTATCTTATTCCTTCTTACCCCTCTTCGAACGGTTGTTAAATAAAAATTTCGTTTTATCCTTTACTCGCTTCTTGTTATGAATAATGAAGGTAATGGGAACACAGGAATGAATTTGAAAGTTATTCTCATTTACATGAGAATGGTTTTATAGTTAGAATTCATTTACTAATAAAATTATATTAAACATTTATATATAACGTGCTAAAATAATTTAAAAACATAGTTTCGCACCCTTTAAAGACCGACGAAAAAGTCGTACAAAAAATATTCATAAAAATATATTTTTGATATTCGGCATAGGTAGGGGTTTTCAAATTAAAAATATGGAGAAAAAAGAACTTTACATGGGAAAGTGTCTCAAAGATTTAGGGGAACATTTTGAAATTCCTTCAACTATTATTGGAAAAAATTCGATTCCTCAGTAAGTTGCAAAATTATTTTTTCGATTAATTTTTCCGCTAATTATTCATTTCTGCTTTTAGAATTCTAATATCCTTAAAGAAGCTTATTCGGAAGGCTGAAGAGATGAAAGTTCACGGCGATGAAGAGCAGAGTTATATCCTTTACATGAAATTTATGAATTTGTTATCAAAACTTCAAAAATTTCCAGATTACAAGAAAAACAAACACCAAATCTCTGAAATGCTTGGATCAAATGAAGTGATTACAAGTTATATGGATGTATTAGAGAGTCTTTCAAATAGCCTTAAGGAAAGATATGCAAAGAAATATCCGCCAGAATCAAATCATTTAGCTGAATCAACAAAAATGAACATCGACGATGAAAAAGTTTTAAAAGAAATTTCAGCAAATCCTGAAGTCAAAGAAGTTGTTGATTGTGAATCACTTTTCACTATGATGAAAGATGATAAAAAGTTATTAATATTGGACTGTCGTCCGGATGATGATTATGAACAATCGAAAATTATATACAAATTTACCGTACATGTGCCTGAAGACTCGCTTGAATTAGGGATGACAGCTGAAAAGATTCAAAACAGACTTCCAAACGATTCAAAAGTTTTCTGGCAGTTTCGTACGTGTCGGCCATACATTATTTTCGTTGACTGGTCGAGTAATCGCTTTAATCGAAACTCACCTGTTTGGCATTTAAGAGAAATTCTCTTGGGATGGGATCAAGAACTGCAGGAATTGGAAAAGAAGCCCACAATGTTATTACTGGAAGGAGGATACGAAAAATGGAAGACACTTTATCCAATGAAATGTCACAATCCACAATACTCACCCCCTAAAGCCGCAAATGATGATGCAGCTTTGATTGGTGATGTTGAATATCCAAACTTGGAAGACATTCAAATGAAAGATTCGACGTTAAACAAATCTTTGTCCTCAACTTCCATTCCAATTGTCGATCGAAGTATTAAGCCAAGTGCTGCAACAGGTGATCCTTACAAATCACCTCTAGAACTAGTTGAAGAACGTGAAAAAATTATGAACAAATCGCTACAAAGTGAGAAAGAATTAGCGACATTGGAAGCAAACTACAAGCAAGTTGTAACTGATAAAGAGAATAATGAAGATTCATCGATTCAAGAGCAGAATTATCTGTTTAAGATTTGGGAGCTACAAGCAAAACAAGTTGATTATAAGATTGAAGAGAAATCGATAAAGGAACAGTTGGAATCGAGTAAGGAACAGATAAAAGATCCTCAAATCATGACAAAAGTGATGATAGCTGAGCAAGGTATTAAAGAGAAGGAAATGGAAAGATTGAAACTTTTTGAGGAGCGAGAAAGGAATAAAAAAGAACGTGAAGAAGCATTAAAGCTTGCACGTGAACGAAAGCCGACATTTAATGATCATAAAGTGCCACCAAAAACTCAACGTAAAAATGAACTTATTCTCACACCGAAAGGTTTACCGAATCAAGTTATCACACCTTCAATTCCTTCATTTGACCGATCTTCAAAGCCAATGCAAGTGATCAATCGTCAACCCTTTAATGAAGAAGATTTTGCACCAGTCTATGGTCGAGTGGTGAGTAAAAAACATGAAAATTTAATAGACGGAAAGAAAATCGATAAATTCTACGTGTTGGGTGTTAGTTAAAGGGAATGAGAGTCGCGAATATTCCTTTCATTTTCTAGACATGTTCACGAACACGTGAAATCTACTCAAATGCTCGTCATATTCAAATTAACAATTGTTTTATTATTTAAAATCTGAATTAAGTTAACTTTGTATCATTGTAATCCTATTAAACATTGAACGTGACATTGCATTGTAGCCGAAGAAAGAAAAAGCGCAGAAACGTGGACGCTTTATGATGATTTCCACGAAATACGTCAATTTGTCTATTGACAAACATAAAATATTTTATCGACGTTCAAGACCAGGTCAGTCAGTTTAACAAATGAAATTGTCGCGGAATGACATAAAGTGTTGTGTTGTCCCTTTGGGAGCATGCCGTGCGTTGTTTAGCAAATATATTAATGGTTCGCGCCCGCAATGTCACTGCATTGTTCAAATTATTTGTTAGTTTTATTGTTGGTCAAAGTAGTCGAAAAATTGGAATTTTTTTCCTTTTGCCTAACAAAATTTATCAAATGAAAAATATGAAATAATTTGAAAGATTTGAAGATAAATTAAAAAGCTATGTTGAAGGTGTTGCCTTTGAGATTGAATTATTTGAGTTATCGAAAATTTATTGCAATTTATCGGAAGGTGAAATAAAAAATTGAAGCTTTTATGAAAAGTTGCATAAAATTTAATTTAATTAATTTTTTCTTCCTAGGAACGTGGATTGACGGGGCTTAAGAACTTGGGGAATTCTTGTTACATGAACAGCATTATACAATGTTTAAGCAACACTCACAAGTTAATGCAGTATTTGTTAGAAGAAACTTATGAGAAACATGTTAACAGGTGAATATGATTTGACATGAATGAGAAACTTAATTTGACGTGAATAAATAATTTAGAAATAACAAAACGAAAGGCAGCATCGTAAGAACACTTGCAGCTGTGATTAAAATGTTGTGGAGTGGAGAATGTAAACATATTTCAAGTAAACAATTGAAAGCTGTCATTGGCGAACAAGATCATCTTTTTTATGGAATGGATCAACAAGATTCACACGAATTTCTCGTTATGCTTATAGATTGGCTGCAATCAGATCTTCAAACAATTCCAGTGGTGGTAAATTTCTTGACTCTTTTAACAATTTGAATTTTAAAAAACTTTTTTATGATTTAATTAGCATACTGCAGTTGAACTTCCTCCATCAGAGAAGGCTTGGCAGGAATACACAAAAGCGAAGGAAAGCTTCATCCTTCGGTTGTTTTATGGACAAATTAAAAGCACTGTTAAATGTACAGTTTGTTCGAAGGAAAGTTCAACGTACGACACATTTTCCAATCTCAGCTTAGAACTTCCTCCGAACAACATCGATCGTTGTCATATTGATGAATGTTTCAACATGTATTTTCATGGAGAGATGGTGATGGGATGGAATTGTCCTCATTGTAAAGCACCACGCGACGCAATCAAGAAACTTGACATTTCCAAATTGCCACCAGTCTTAGTGATTCATCTTAAGCGATTTTACGCTGACCCTTACATGAATTGTACGTACCGTAAGAAAACTATTTATGTTGACTTTCCACTCACCGATATGAAAATGATGCCTTACGTTGTTCGAACGGGTAAGAACAATGGATCAGATCTACAGCACATTTATCGTTTGTATGCTGTGTCGAATCATTACGGAAGTACCGAATCTGGCTATTTTACACATCATTGCTGATAATGCACCACAAATTCAGAATCGTTGGAGATAACAAGATCGACAACGTCTTTACAGAATTCATGTGACTCTGAAATTTAATATTCACCTCTTGATATTTAACGTTGATCATCGTTTTATAATGTAAATATCAAAAATNGACGCAATCAAGAAACTTGACATTTCCAAATTGCCACCAGTCTTAGTGATTCATCTTAAGCGATTTTACGCTGACCCTTACATGAATTCTACGTACCGTAAGAAGACTATTTATGTTGACTTTCCACTCACCGATATGAACATGATGCCCTACGTTGCTCGAACGGAGAAGAACAGTGGATCAAATCTACAGCACATTTATCGTTTGTATGCTGTGTCGAATCATTATGGAAGCACCGAATCTGGCCATTATACAGGTAAATTCAAATTTATTTTTATCAAACTTAAAAAATTCATTTTTTCTCATTTCTCAAGCTTATTGTCGTAACTACAAACAAAGTACGTGGTACAAGTTTGATGATCATACTGTGTCCCCATTGGATCGATCTGAAGTTAAATCATCAGCTGCTTACATTCTCTTTTACACATCATTGCCGGATAATGCACCACAAATTCAGAATCGTTGGAGATAGCAAGATCGACAGCGACATTGAAAAATTCATGTGACTCTGAAATTTAATATTCACCTCTTGATATTTAACGTTGATCGTCGTTTCATAATTTAAATGTCAAAATATTTAACATGGAAGATTCTAAAAATTATATTTCATTATTTATAAAATGGCTAAGAAGGTTGACAAAAGTCTAGCTAAAAGTTACAGACAAAAGAGAGAAAATAAAGAATTAAAATTTAAAATCTTCCTCGTCTTCTTCATCGTCTTCATAATGAGGATAATTTAATTCTAAATCAATTAATTGTTGGTTGATATTTTCTGTTTTTATAGGTTTTGTAAATGGATCTGTCGTTGGATTAATTTGGGATTGCTCTCCATTTTCGGAATTTTCGTTCTCCTCATCTCCTAAGTTTTCTACTTGACAACTCGCTAACTCGAGATTTTCAACCTGAATAATATCATTTTTAATAATCTGAAGACATTCTTATTAGATTCGATCAAACTCACCGTTATTAAATTAATGTTTTGATTAACTTTTCCTAGTAAACCTGCTACTTTTTCTTTTAATTCGAGTAGTTTCTTCTGTTGTTGTAGAACAAGATAAATTTCTTGTGGCGTTACTTTATTGCTTTCCATTAGATTATTAATATTAAATTTATTTATTTGGACATATTCAAAATGTAAACAAATTTTTCGTTAAATTGCTACTCAAAAGCTTAGCTTTTCTACTCAAAGGGCATGAAAGTATGTTTTCATCAGATTCCATACAGAAACTTGCTTCTCTTACGACATAAATAAATCTCGCGCAATTATCCACAAAGAAGACAACACCGAGTTTTTAAAAGAAGAATACATTCTAATTTATTTACACAATTCATTATGTGTTTTAATTTGATTCCAAACAATCTAAATAATTCACTAAAGCGTTTTAGTCTTTTCTCCCACTCTCTGAATCATTTCTTTCGTCTTGTATCTCTTGTTTGACACCTTTTAGTTCTTCGTCAATTCTTTCTTTTGCCCTAAACACTTTTGATTGCAAATAGAAGGATCCACCTTTAGATTTATCATTAACTGAAAACAAATGTTCATAGCTTTTTTGTAGCTCTTCGGGGTCGAGTTTGTTGATATTAAGAATCTGTTGGGCTTCTTCAAGTGTCATTCCTAATAATTTGACAAAAAATAATGAAATAATTAATTTAATTTCATCATTCGTCAGATGACTTACCGGTTCTAGTTGTTGCTGCTCGAGTATTTCCTGACCTGTTCTGATTTCTTTTTGCAGCTTCTTGACTTGCAGCAATTTCTTGTTTAAGTGCTCGAGCAAAAGCCCTGCCTACAACCTGACTACCCATAATAATCAATTGTGCTATGTATTTAGCCATTTTTTAAATATAATTTAGTTAGAAACTTGATTCAGATCACAACAAACACCACCACCACATGAGTATCGTTCAGTTTTGTTCCACCACAGACATTGAATTTTAACGAAGTTTTGTATCAAGAATTCACCACATACTTCAATACTCACCTCAGTGTTTATGTTTTCATTAAAACTACCTAAAACATAATTTTTTTTGTTTACATATTTTATCTCAAATCATGGATCCGAAAAAACTTAAAATACAAAAACAACTTTATGGACAGCTTGTTATTGGTCCTCCTGGCTCCGGAAAGTCTACATATTGTCATCGAATTAATGAATTTTACAAAGAGCTGAACAGGAAAGTTTCTGTTGTGAATCTTGACCCAGCAAATGAAAACATGCAATATAAGCCTGAAATTGATATAATGGATTTAATAACTGTTGAAGATGCAATGGAAAACTTAAATCTTGGACCAAATGGTGCATTGATGTACTGCATGGAATTTCTTGAAACAAACTTTCATTGGCTCTTTACGAAAATAAAAGAATCTTCATCAAATTATTTTCTTTTCGATTGTCCAGGTAATATCTTTGATAGAAAATTATTTAAGATGATCTCACATCATTTTCTTCAAAAGGTCAAGTTGAACTTTATACTCATCATCAGTCGATGCGGAACATTTTTGAGAAATTAGACCAACTTGGATATCATCTCTGTACAGTTCATCTTGTCGATTCTCATTACTGCAGTGAACCTCACAAGTTTATTTCAACTCTTCTTCTGTCACTAAATACAATGCTCCAGATGGGCTTATCTCATGTGAATGTTCTAAGTAAAGCTGATCTTCTGAAACAACATGAGTCGAAACTTTTATTCAACTTAGATTTCTACACAGAAGTTCTCGATCTTAAATTTCTTCTCGATGCTCTTGACAACACTCCAGGAATGTCAAAATACAAGAAACTTAACGAAGCAATTGTCTCAATGGTCGAAGATTATGGTCTTGTATCATTCCAGCCATTGGATGCAAATCGAATTGAAAGTCTTATAAGATTATATAAAATTATAGACAAAGCAAATGGTTACGCATTTAGTGCCAATGAAGAACAAAATATTAACACAATGTTAGCTTGTGCGATGGGAGCTGAAAGCAGCAAATCAAAGGCTGAAAACGATTATGATCCGTATCTTAATTAAAAAAGAAAAAGCTTTTTTTGAAAATAAAAAGAGAATTTTATTGAATCGAAAATCATAAACAGAAACTTTTTTGTCAAAAGTGAAAGTTACAACATAACTAAGGATTAAATAAAGTTGTTGAAAATAAGACCCGTAGTTATTAATTAATAGAGCTCAGGTTTAACATATTGACCACTGAATAGAATCAATCTTGTTGCCTTATCAACAATGAAGAACAAGAAAGGTTTGTTTGCATGGAATTTCGGTGGCGTTGCTTTGTTGGCGAAAATACTTGTCGTGACTGCAGCTGCTGTCGTTCCTTTCTCGTCAACAGAAATTTTTGTCTTATGAATCATCGACGACACAAAGTATTGTGGATTGATGTTTGATAAGTCAGCACGACTTTGATCAAAGATTTCTGTAATACCAAACTGAAATAATAAAATGTTTAATTATTTATGTTTAAATAAAAATAATTAAATTCATCTTACTGCTTCCAAAGTATGTTTCACATCAAGAGACGTATTTATTTCAAATCTTGGCAAATGAACTTCAACTTCGTCATCTTCATATTCAACTTTTGAGGTGTAAAGTTCCTTGTAAATTTTGTTCATTCCAACTTGATAAATTTTGTTTATTGCTTCAATTAAATCTAAACCCTTTCTTGGTAAAGCAATAATCATCGACAAACCAATACCGCCAGTTGCTTCATTTGTATTTGTTGTTGTCGCATAAGGCAATTCAAGAATATGACATCCAAGTTCGGCAACAGCTGCATAAGCTATTGGACCTCTTTGGAACATCATATTGACGAAACCGAGTTGATTTCCATTTGAGTCATAAAAAGGTTCAGTTTTTGTGAAGCTTTGGTTGAAGACATTCATCCATTTACCTTGGAAATAAAGTCCTGACAGTAAAAGAAGTTGTGCCTGAAACAAATCTTCTTAATTTGTGAACGATTATAAAAATTAAAAGAAGAAAATCACCTTAAATAGATCTTCACGGATGACTGTCTCTGTAATTAATCCATGAGTCAAATTACTAACAAAAGCGTTAATTTTCTTAGTTGTCACATCAACTTCTGAGAAATTCACTGGTTCAACTACAGCATCATAAACCTTTTCAATCAATTTCTCATAATCTGGCTTTATTGGACGATTTTGATCAGTGACAAGCATTGCAAACTTCTCAAGAACAACGTCGGCTGTGTTTTGTCTGCAAAAGTTGTGTCATAACTTTACAATTTTTAGAAGAAAAAAAATCTTTTTTTAACTCACTCTAATGCCAAATTCAAATATTGCTGGAAATCCCGTGTTCTAGACAAATCAATTAAATTCAATTTGCTGTTTAATTCTTGATATGTGCTACCACTTGAACCCTCAGCTATCAACACTAAGAGATGGTAGATCGAAAATGGTGAAATCATAAAGTTAGTCGTTGACAGTTGAACACTGAAATATTGCAGGAGTGTCAAAGCAAAAGTTTCCATTGCTTCAGAAATTTGGGCATCAAATAACAGCGTCTTTCTAACCGCTGAACTTCCACGATCGTCAAAGCGAGTGTCTAAAAGTACTGGCGGTCGATGTGTCGTAATAGGACGTTTAGTAGGCCTTGGAGGTCTTGTCGAGAATCCATCACTGACACCGGTACTTTGTGGTGGTCGCTCTTCATATCTAGAGTCAAGATTGGAGTTTTGATGAATTTGATCGTTTTGAAAATTATGTTCGGAGTTTGGGGGAGGTGGGGGAAGGGGGAAAGGTATATGCGGGGCAACGTAAGGCGATGGAACTTCATGCTGTGAATTCTGCTGCTGAATGAATGGTGGGGGTGGCGGCAAATGAGGTTGTGATTGACTCTGATACTGATACTGTGACCGCTGACGATTTTGAGTTTTTATGACTTCTTTTAATTTATTATATACTAACGGTCCACGGACTCCAGTTTCACCCCGCGATTGGCACATTGTCAGCATTGGGTAGAAGATTACGACAATCCAAAGTATTCCCGTTAATTTTCCTATTCGCCAAAGCAAGCAAGGTAGATAATAGATAGAAAACGAGAAAAAAGAGAGACTGATCAGTTAAGGTTAAAGAAACGCTCCACCGGTCAAGGTCAATGTGATTCTTCTTCATTTTCCATTTGTTTTTTTTTTCTTTTTAATATTTATGTCAAAATCAAATGAACTGCGCTCACATTTGTTAACGATTTTTATATTTTGAGACTTTAATTGTTGATAAGGACAGAAAACTACATGACAAAAATAAAACATTAGATGAGAGGAAGAAGGAGAGAAACTCACAACGACTAAACCGGTTTTTAAGCAATGTCATTAAGAAACTCAATGACAAAAGTCTTCACTTACTTGCAATCATGTTGATAACTTGTGGTCAATTTTAAACAAATCTTTCAACTCTTTAAATTTCAAGAAATCTTAATGCTCACTCGATTGTTCTATCGCTAATCACACACACGACTCTTTTAGCACAAAAGAACGTTTTCGGGGCGGTATTCTGATAAACCAGTTTTTCTCCTTCTCTTCTTCGCGACTCAATGTTGTTTTTCAACAAAAATCGTTTCTTAGTTTTTTTTAATTAGCTACAAGTTGTTTTACATCTTTTTTTTTCGCTCACTTGATAAATTTTTTCGTTTCTTTTTTTTATTTTTTTTATTTATTAATTTTGATCCTTGATTTTTGACACTTTAGCAATGAAATAACAAAGACGATCGTAAAGGGAAATTCCAAAATAGAAAGACAATAAATTTACTTAAATTAAGAATCGCGTTTTGTTATTTATTTTTCTTGTTTTCAGTTGTTGACTCTCCGAAGTTCTCCGTGGAACTGTGACGAAAATGTTCTGAGACTTCACTCAATATACAACTTTAAAATATCTTTTGAGCGAATCATCTCGCAGATTTTCTTCTCTGATTTGCAAAACTTTTGTTTTCATTGGAGAAACTATAAAGGAACTGTTAAAATCTTAAGAATGTTCTTTACTATGATTAATTAAATTGTGAGATATTTACAGGGTGTTGGAATTGTCGTCATGTTACTCAATTTCTTTGTTTTGTAACTTACGATTACTCAATGTCGCAATGACGTGATAAGCAATTTAAATAAAGTTGAGAGAACAAAATTTAATGGCTTTTTTCTCAAGCTGTATAAGAAACAAGATTATCAGCTATTTCTTTTAAAAAATATTATTGCTGTTTGATTGAAGATTATTGAAACATTTTTTCTGAGAAATATTTTAATACGAAGGTAATTCTTGGAAGCATTGCGGATAAATGTTTGAGGAAATCTCCGTTGTTTGTTAACTTTTCACTTGATTATTCACCTGTCAACGTCCAAACATTAAAAACGACACTGATGACGATGGGAATTTACTTTGACTATGAATGCAGCACGACATGTGCGTCTCTAACACTACTTGTTAATAATTTATTATGGAAATTACCTGAAACCGGCTGATTTCATGAATGAATGCTATTCACAATCACACGTTTGTTTCAACAGCTCCTAAATTAAATTAAATGTCTCGCTTTATTGATTCGAATCGTAGTTAAATTCTTTTGTACACCAACAAATAGAAAACAACATTTTTCTCTTTCAATTAATTTTTTTTATTCATTTCTTGATGCGACAGGAATTTATAATTCATTTCATGGTTTATACGATGCATGCTGTAATATTAATTTTTACTTTTAATATCAAGAAAATTTTGAGATTTTCATGCAAATTCTTCTAAAAACTTTTTTATGTCTTTTTGATTTTTGAAATCAAGAATGAAAATTTAATTAAGAGTTCGGAGAAATAAACTTTAAACTTCAAATGGTAATAATTGGCGGCGTCCACAATCCGGATTTTTACTTTTTTATGAGGATATGTCGACATGCTTTTCTGTTAACATTCAAAAACTGTAAACTTATTATGTAAATTGTGATTAATCGGTGTTTTTAAACAGAAGACATCAACGATATTAGTTTTTGATGAATGTTTCAAGACTCATAAATAATCAAATACTTTCAAATTTTCATTCTCGTACAACACAAGCGACAAACTATTTAAAAAAGGAAATATTTACAAAATTTCTCGTCATACAATCAATGAAACAACAAACTTAAAAATGAAATCATTTTTAATAAGAAAAATAAAAATCATAATAAAAAATCAATAACAATATTAACTTCCTTAATATATCATGGAATCTTAATTATCTACGATATCATCAATTGTTTTAATTTCTTTCTTTTCTTCGTTTCTTTTCCTTTTAGTGAATTTTCATGAAAACAAAAATAAATTTTGAATATTTGTCTTGTTCATTAAACAATTCTAAAATTCAAAAAACTGATATCGATCAAAATTTAGCACTTACAATCATCCGGCGACATAATTTGGAATAAGAGTTGCGAAAGACTTTAGTGAGAGACTTGCTGCATTTAAGTGAAATTATTTATCGCAGATCTGGGTTGTCGTTGTGTTGCTTTTTAATTCTCAAAAGCATCGTTGTGTACCACTGATCTAAACGAGAGATGCTGTCATAATCTTTAACGGCATCAGTAAATCCATCAATGTTTTGCTCTTCAAGATGTTCGACAAGTGTCTGAAAGCAAAGATTTTTATAGTTTTATGAAAAAAAAATCAAGAAAATACGAAAATTACTTTTATCAATTTAAATTCTCTTGAATCTTGGAATGCTGGATATTGTTGAGCATATCTTTCCAAAGCATGTGTTGCATTCAACAAGTCAACGCTTAAATGGCAGAGAGCAGATCGGAAGAAATATTCCTTAGCGCTGTATTTAAGAAGAGAACTGTCGAGACATGAAGCAGCAACTGACTCGTAAATCTGAATGGCCTTTTCGAAATCTTCCAATTGGGCAGCATATTGTGCAACTTTCAACATGCATTTGTTGGCTGAAGTATTTGATTCTTCGCCTTTGAAATAATCAGCTGCCTGTTCATAATGTTGAACAGCGCGATTCTAAAGAAAAGGAAAGAAAGAAAATGAAGAATTTTCTATTGATTTTTAAGTTTTCAGTATATTTACTTACCAAATCATTTGCTTCATTCTCATACATCTCAGCAATTGTTTGATGATGTTTTGCAGCCATTGTAAAGCGACCCATATCCGTATAGATGTCAATTGCTTTCATTAAACATGAAACAGCTTCATTTGGATCCGACTATGAGATGAAAATATTTCACAATTCCATGCAAATTATTTCGTCAATTTTTCTTACCTTTTTAAAACAGTTCGAAGCATCGACATAGTTTGTAGCAGCATCGTGACGACTCCCTGCTTGAGCATGTAAGTTAGCAGCTGAACAGAAAGCAGATCCAGCTTGTTGCCATTTTTTAGCCATTTTGAACATATTCGCAGCTCGATGATAACATTCGATTGCATCTTCAACTTTATTGGAGCCACTGCTTAATAAGTGAAATGTGAAAACAAACAAATTCCAAACAAAACAGAAAAGGATATTTGAAGAAAAGTAAATACAAAACAGAAGTGAGGAGAAGTTATAGAAATTTCTATTTTTTTAACAACACAACTTTTCGATGAGTCAACAAAAGTGAAAATTGAAAATACAAACCCAAACAGCGACCCAAGAAATCCTTTAGATGATGTGAGTTTCTTCTCAGCTTCAGCAATTAATTGCAATGCTTTTTGTTCGTTATCAGCCATGATTTCTTATCCAATTTTATTTATTATCAGTTTCAGAATTTTTTTTTGTTGAAAAATCAATAAAGCGAGGGGTTTGAAGGTGTTGAACATCAAATTCAGTTAACATTTATACCTTCTTACCCCTTGATGATGTCAGAGGTGGAAACCATTCAGTGGTGAACTCAAAGTAAAGTCATAAATAAAACTTACAATTGAAGTAAAAACTCGAACGAAAGACAAATGCTGATTCTCCCATAATATTTATAAATATTTAATCAAATCGAGGTAAAAAAATTTCTTAATGCTCTTGTAGTTGTGAGTTTTAATCGCATATTGCAACAAATAAATTCATATTTGCGAAGTTACATTCATAATTTTTCTTTCACAACGAGTTTAAAGTTCTGTTATCATTAATTAGATATCACCGTTTTACAAAGCTACTAGTATTCCATATCTTTTTTAGGTAACACACCGAGAGATTAAAATGTTTTCAAGATTGCGAAATTTTGTATCGCGGAATCGGCGAAAATTCATTGTGGGTGGGATTGTCGTAGCTGGAACTAGTCTTGCTGTACGATATGCTCAACAGAGACTTCGAGAATATCAAGAAAAACAAGTGAGAGAATTTTTGGAGAAAACACGACGACTTCAGCATTTTGAATCGACTGAAAAAACGACCGACCAAGCAATTCTTGGATTGATGCCCGGACTTTGTGACGCAATTACAAAGTTATTGGACACAGATGCTATTCTTGCTGAGCTCAGAACAAATACTGAGAGGAAACTTGATCTTTGGGAGGAATTAAAATATCTTGCTTTTGCCAAATGCACAACTTTTGTCTATGCCACTGCATTGCTTGTGGCTAGTTTAAGAGTTCAGTTGAACATCATTGGTGGCTACTTATATAAAGACACAGTTCAGTCAGAAGCAAAAATAACAAAAGAAGTTCAAACAATTTATAATCTTCTTCTTATCCAACATTTAATGAATGACGGTCTCCAACAGCTCGTGAAGGTCATAAGTTCAAATGTCGAGAAAATAATGAAAAGTCACAGTTTGAAAGAAAAAATGACATTGAGTGATGTTGAACAGATTTTCTGGAGTATTCAAACAGCAATTGAGAAGGACATCAATAAGAATCTTGTGCAATTTATTTTACCATCAGAAGTTCACCGAAATCAACAAGACGAATTTTTAAACAAAATGTTAAGTGACACGCTTGACGTCCTCGAGTGTGGAGATTTTATTGACCTCTGTGAATCTTGCTTCAATAACGGTTTCTCTGTTGTAACTGACAAAGTTGCTGACTTTTTCGTTGAGCCACAAAATGGAAAGAACAAATTAAACGGTAACACTGAAGCAGTTCCGTCAACATCGAAGGCAACGTCAGAAAATATGCTTTTAGCAAACGGACATGTAAACATAAACAATATTTCGCTACCGCTAGCAAAACTGATACCTATTATGAACGCATTGACCACTCAAACATTCACCAACAACTCAGCTGATAATATAAAGCCAAATAATTTGGCAGCTTCGTTGATTTCACTTCAAATTATCAATACAAACATCAAAACATTAGCCGCTAATGTTTATGAGGTTTATTCAAACTAAGTTTTTATTATTTTATTTTTTCGATGGAAGGGTCAAAACATTTCGGTTCTATATTTAGGAAATTCTTACTTTTATCATTCCTTTAAATGCTGTGACAACAGCCCTTTTGAAACTTTCTTTAATTATGATGATTATTTGTGTAGGGTGTAATGTTGGTAAAGTTTAATAAAGTTGATTGTATTTTCATAAGTAAACAATATTTTATTTGTTCTGTCTTTCTTTTTGAAGTCTAAATCATGTCATTTATTTTTAATGAGATTTTTATAGAAGACGAGTTCTGTATAATTTTATTATGCCTAAAATTATACCATTAGTTGAGTTTTATCGTTTACCACCTTCTCTCTTCCACGGATTGCACTGATTTCTCTCTCACATTTTTGGTTCACGCTTGCTGCATAAAACATTGTGAAACATTGAAAAACATTCCAAACGTGGTGAGTTCTGTTGAAAATCACCCTTAAAAGTTTTCCTCGCCACAGAAAATTTTTTGCAATCTACTCGTAAATCGAAGGCACAACAGTCGACAATTTTTTTTTCAATTTGATAAATTTATCCTCAGGAATTAGAAAAGAGAATTCAGGACATTAAATGATAATAAATAATTGAATGCACAACTTGTGTTAAATTTCACTTTTGAATTGTCGAATTGTGAATTGAATATGAAGCCAAAGTGTTAAAAAACTTGACTGCAATGTACGAAAAAAATCATTGTTTTAAAATTTGATTGAATTTTAGAAGGGTGAAGTTTTCAAGTACAGTCAGCATTTTTAAAGTTGGAAATTAGTTGCATAAAGGTAAGTTTGAAGTTTCCTCATTCAGCTTCTTTAAAAAAAGGTTCACGGTTAGTTATGCATTACTTTCGGCAGGAAAAATCAATATTTTCTAATGTTTTCCTTTTCTTGCTTTCATCCAAGAGATATAAAGAGGTAGAAATTGTTATTTGATTCGTGATATAAGCGTTTAGACATGATTTCGTGTAAAATGAATAGAACGAGTTTGATTTCCCAAAACTGAAATATTCATTTTAATTAAGATTGGGTTCGACCAGAGTTTGACGATGTGGAATGAAAATATAAAAGTGGGTGGATGTATATAATAAAATAAATAGCATAAAACAGATGATAGGAAAAATATCAATAACAAGCTGTGTTTGAGACACATGGTAATGGATAATTCAAATTTTATTGATAGTTTATTTAAAACAGTTTTAAATCTTTTGCCAATTGTGTACTGAAAACTTTTCATCAAAGAAGTGACAAATTAAGAGTGTCGCGAAAAGTGAACAAAAATTTCAATAAAATCGGTTTATTAATGAAAGTTTGAAAAATAAGGCAAAGATATGCATTTTAATAAACTCCACTCAAAATTTCAGTTAGCAATAATTAATTCAATCGTCCTCATGACAGCAGATTTTGATTTTAAAACTTTACTTTCCATAAAAAAATTCCATTAATTCCCAACAATCTATGCAAAATTAATTCATTCTAAATATCTTATCATAAATCCTAATCTAAATATTTAAAGCAAAACCTTTTTAAAGGGATCAATTAACAAATAATTGTTTAATTGAATCAACCATTTGAGTAGAAATTCTTGTTGAAATAACGCTTCATTATGCACAATTTGTCATGGGCATTGAATGAATACGAAAGTTTACATGTTTAATGAATTCGTGTGGATAAATGTACTGAGAACATCATTTTCACAAAACATGAGTAATTTGAATTGATATCCCACTATCACATGTTAAAAGCATTTAATTCTATTCACAAAGTCCTTATCAGAACACCTTGGAACTTGATTTATAGCAGAATTAATACGAACATAAGATAATTTCTTTTTTCAACTTCAATTTTATTCAATTCAATTCACAGAAATTATTTTCTGATATCGGGCTGTATTGTTTGTTTATTGTGTTTTTACAAACTCCGGACATTCTGTGAAAAAAGAAATTATATTTATCTTGCGGCAGCATAAAAACAAGGTAGAAGCTCATATCAATGTCAAGTAAATGAAGTAAACTTTGTGTTTAACAATGTTGTTACTAAATAATGTGCAAACAGTAGCCACGATTTTCCGGATAATTACAATGTAGCAGCTAAAAAGATGTTGGTTTAAGGGAAAAACAATCACAAATAGTTTCTTTATTCAAATTGAATAGTTAAAGTTTATGTCAGAATAGATAATAAATTTATTAACTGTTGCAATTAAATTGCATTCAATATTTTCTTCATTTATTATAAATTTACTTATTAAATAACAATTTAATCAAAAAGATTCTCTGTCACTTCAAATTTTGATTCAGAATTTGTCTGAAATTTCCCTCGAGCGAAAACACTTGCATAACTTTTATCACACCTGATAAAACACACTTGAAAAAACGATGATAACGACTATTTGTTTTAACAATAAATATATAATTTTATTTTTAATTCCACAGCAGTTGAGTGTCAAGTTGCACAGATGTACGACGTTTATCAAACGCACCGGGGAAAAATTTCCCAAATCTAATTCGAAATGATCTCGCGAGCTGATAGCACAATCCAATCAATGACACAATCAACGATTATAAGTTGAAAGCATTGAGTCAGAAGCATCTTATCAGTTATTCAATGTTTAGAGATAAAAAGTTACATAGACAAAACTGTTATAGTACATACATGTTATAACTTATAAGACAACAATTCAACTAAATACAAGCTCAAAAAATAAGTTTTACAAATAATGCGACTACCGAAATTCTCGCTGAAACGTTGCTTCATTTTCATCGTCGTATTCTGCGCTCTTTTAATATTCGTGATAAATTTGAGGTGAGAAAGAAATTTTTGATACGGTTCTGGTTAATTAAATTTACTAATATCAAATATATTCTTAATAGAGAGAAAGAACTTTGGAATAACAAAATTCCAGGTACAACAGCGCATCAACAGGGCCACCGAAACTACTTACAAGATAACAATGTTGAAAAACCAGAATCGTTTGATATTTATGATGTAAGTTTATGACCAATTTTTGCAAAGATTTTTAAACTCTTTGGGATTTTAATTATTTAACCAACGACATACTTGAACGTGTCAGATTTTGCTCTTATTTAAACTTTTATATCTTTGGAAAACACGTCTGATAAGAAGTTTTCCCACTATTTGAATCATCACATAGCAATTTTATTTAGGTTATTAACATCTTATCATTTAAATAAACTTAAATAGAGTCAACCAATTTCCTCTCAAACAACATCACGTCCTAATCCAGAAGAGGTTGAAGAAAATGAAAGTGAAGGAAAAGAAAAGATTGAGTCAGACTACGATGACGATGTGTTGTCGACAAGGCCATGGTATTTCACTAATGGAGAACGTTATCCAAAACCAGCGCGAATTAACAAGAAAACAAAGAAAAGACTGGCAAAGATGATTCCTAGCGAAGATCCTCGAAGTGATCGAATTACAAATCAACTCATGTTTGTGCCTAACAATTATGACGAAATACGAAGCGAAGGCAAGCTAAAAACTATCCTGCTTTACAATGGTCTGGGGCCGTGGAATGTTAAACAAGGTAAATTGATATTATTTTTATTAAATTCAACATGTTTAATAAATTAAATTATTTTCAAGGTCGATCTCTGTTCTTAAATGCCAAATGTCCCGTTGATACATGTCAAATCACACCAAATCGTGATCGCGCAAAAGATGCTGACTTGGTTCTATATAAAGATCATTACATACCAAGTGGAATATCGAAACATTCCAGACAACTTTACATGTTATACTTTCTTGAATGTCCTTATCATACACAGCATATCAAGTTTCCAGATGTTTTTAATTGGACTTCAACTTATCGGTGAGTTTTTGATCATTTCTCTTTACGAGGAACGGAAATTGTTACAATTCAAACATTCTTAAAAAAATTTATTCATCTGTCCACTCAACAAAGTGTAAACAAATGATAAATCAAAATAATTTATTTCTGTTTACATTGGTTTACTTCCAGTCGTGATTCAGACATTGTGGCACCATATGAGAAGTGGGAATATTTTGATCCACGTGTTCGACAAATCGAACAAGATCGCAATTATGCATTGAACAAAACAAAAAAGGTGGTGACAGTCTATTAATTCAAACAACAGAATATTTTTTATCTGATTTTTTAACATTTAAGGTCGCATGGTTTGTCTCCAATTGTTCTGCACGCAATAATCGTTTACAATTTGCTCATGATCTTGGAAAATACATCCAAGTTGATATTTATGGGGCATGTGGTAATTTCAAATGCTCACGAACGACAGCAGACAAATGTTTTGATATACTTGACCGTGATTACAAATTCTATTTAGCATTTGAAAATTCAAATTGTCGCGATTACATCACAGAAAAATTCTTTGTGAATGGTCTTTCAAGGAATACTTTACCAATTGTTGTAAGAATCAAATTGAGAATGAATTTGATATGAAAACTTTATTGATATAATTAATTTTCTCAGATGGGTGCACGACCTGAAGATTACGAATTAAGTTCACCACAACGAAGCTACATTCATGTCGATGAATTTGGATCAGCTAAGGAACTTGCAGATTATCTTCATCTGCTTGACAGAAACGATGAACTTTATAATTCATATTTTAAATGGAAAGGCACTGGGGAGTTTATCAACACATATTTTTGGTGTCGTGTTTGTTCGATGTTACACGATGAAGACTCAATAAGCCAACCGAAATGGTACGAAGATGTCAATGACTGGTGGCGTGGCCAAGGAGTTTGCACAAATGGCTCGTGGAGGAAATTTCAAGCTCGAAAAGATGTTATGCTAGACGAATAGTTTTTTGTTATTATTTTTGTTACAATTTTAGCTTTAAGTTTCTGAAGAAAGTTTCCTTAGACAGCTAACCTTAGGGAGATGTCTGATCGACATTTAATTCACCTTTCTTTTTAGAGAGGGTTGAAAATATTTTTATTAAGAACAAAGTATTAAAAAGGTTGAGATTCAAGGCTTTTACCATGGAAATCTGATTGAGATACTTAGAAATCGCGCTGAGATTTCATTTTATTATCATTTTCCTTCGTGATTTTTATCTCACTCTTAACTTACAAGTTTTAAATTATATTTAAAATGATCAAATGCACATCTTTGAAAGTGAACACTCCCAAGGTAGTTGACATAAAAATTTCTCACTTTATCTCTAAGATATTTAATCTCCAAAGTAATGCAAAGACGATTAAATGAGAAAAGAAAACTTAAATCTCTAGTCAACTTACAAATTCAAGTATTAAAGAAAGAGAGAAAGAGATATATTAAGGAAAGAAGAAGAAAAATCAATTAGTTTATTTAATATTCATCAGACAATAGATTGACATGAATACGCGCACATCCGTCTCATGACTTAAGGACGATAAAATTAATTTCATTTAATTTCATTTTAAATCTGTGATAATTTTATAAGTTTTTCGATGTATTTTAGTTCCTTGTCATAAGATTTATTTTTTTGTCAGAGTTACTTACAAACAGCATTATACAATAATAACAGCACACATGCAAGATGATTGTCTTTGAGGCATTATAATATTGCATCACGACACGAAGCAGAAACGAAAAGACGAAAACAAAAAGTTAGATATTCATGTTGTACAAAAATTGAAGGTTAAATAGCACAAATAATATCTAAATAGGGAAGAATATTTACTTCATTGTTATATTCCTTCTTTTCGCATTCGTCCCTTCCATGATTAAAAGTAAAATAATGTGCATGCGAGTCGACGTTGAAGGAATCAAGGATATTTATTGATGAAGGAAAACCTTCTCCTTCTTCTTCTTCTTCAGCTTTGTTTTCTTCTTGTTATAATTTTTTTTCCCTTTATATTTAAAAGGATCGACTTCGAGTCGTTTTAATGGAATCCATAATTTATAGCAGAAGGAAGAAAAGGTGAAGCAGAAGAAAAATATGCATTGAGTTTTGAAAGAATGATTTGTCATTGTGTAAGTGTATTTATAAAAGATGTAGTGACTTAAATAAAGCATAAAGACATTTGATACAAATCGGAGACGAAGTTCTTTTTCTTGATTAATATTTTGAGGGTTTAAAAGATTTGCCAGCTAAGAAGTTGTAAGACGCATCACTTTGTAAATACTTATGATAAACAGAAATGTCTCGAACTCATTTCCTTCCATCGGAAATTATTAAGAAAAGGAAAAGCGGAAGAACGATGACGACAATTTCTTCTTACATAAGAAATAAGATGCATACAACCGAACAAGTAACTCACCGTGAAGAGAAAACTGCGAAAAAAAACCATGCTGGTTTTCGTCACATAATAATAATGCGCAAAATCCCGACTGGAAAGGAAATTTTCACTTTCATCCACAAAATGAAGGACACACAATTTTGTCACGTTTTTCTGACACGACGATGAGAAACAAAAAACATTTTTTTGTCTGAATTTTTTCTTCCTTTTTATTTTCTTTTGTTCTTTAAAACTTGAAAGGAATTCAAGAGGAAAGGAAAAAGGATGGGGAGGTATGACGAGTGTACACTACTAATTAACAAAAGACCCCAGCACACACCAATACACTCACAACGAAGTGCGGGGGCGGGCGGAATATTAAAATATATGAGCGACAAGAAATGAAATATAAAAATGTTGCTAGAAATATTCTTACAATCTAAACGATTAAAAGAATTGTTATCAAGTTTGCATTTGCAATCTTTATCATCATCTCAGATGAAATCAAACAGATCCATGACACCTTCCTGCATTCCCAAAGAAAAGTTGTAATCTTCAGATACTTCGAGCGCCATGAATTTTGATATTTCTGAAAGAAGAAAACATAAAATGTTAAGGAAACGTGAAGGTTTCACTTTCATCTGAGACGTAATGGAGACAAAATTTTCTTTTCTGTTCATCTTTACAGTTTCACTGATGATTCTTATTTTATTATTTTTGTTGAGTGGTGGTCATTTCTATTATTATTATATTTTTGTGAGTGCGTAACATCATAAGAGCTGAATCTTATGGTGCTACATGGTGAAATTTCTGTTAATTCAGATTAAATGAGAATGTGCAGTGCCACAAGTATCCAGCTCTCAGAATGAACAATGATTAGTAACTTTAATATATTCTTATTATTATTATTTTCCACTTCATGTTTTTTATTCTTATCCATGCACCAATTTTGTAAAACACACAAACACACACAAATAAAGCAGCAGTTTAATATTTGTAAGTAGAGAAGGAGAAGGAAGAGAAAAAAAATTATAAATTTATGATGAGAAAAAATTTGCATCGCCAAGCAAGAACTCAGACTGTGATGCCGTATGAATGATAGGAAAGGCAGCCACAGAAAGAGTTCTCGCTGGGAAATGATTTTGGTTTTTGTATGATGCTTTTTCCAATCCAAGATGGACGTGCGTTTACCAATTTTTACATCTTTTATGTTAGTTCCTTCAACAACATTTTCTTTCTTTTTCATTTTCGTACACAGATGAGAATAATGGAAAAAAAGTGAAACTTACCATTCATTTCATTCGAAGTCATGAAGAAATTCTCGGGACTAAGGTCAAGCGGATGCTTTTTCTCTTTCGGACTTGAGTGAACAGCACCTCGAACCGGTGCTGACGATAAATTTAAAAGATTATTGAAGGAATCATCTTCGAAATAATCAGCAATAACTCCACTTTCATTTGTACAATCGGCCATAAAAAGATTGTCACTAGTCGACTTCAACGGAGCTGTTTTTGAATCGTCTTGAGCATCGCCACAGACAAAAGCTTCAATTTCGCCTTTGTCGCTTTTTATTTGAATTTCACGAGGAAGTCTAGTGGCAGGAATCTGTTTGTTGATATAAATATCGATTAAAAATAATAAAAACACAAGAAAAAAAGTTAATTTACCGTCAATTTAGATTCAGCGGGCACACGTAAAGTTATTAAGGTCTGGTCTTTAAACGACTCAACTCCGTTCAGGTCCTGACACGTAACATAAGCGTATTTTTGATCCATTTGCTTACTGAAGTCATTCTTCAGGTCCACAATCAGACTGTTCAGTTGATTCTCTTTTTGTTTGAGTCGAAGGCGCTCGGCGAGCTGAATACTTCTCATTTTCTCGTCGATCTCGGCTGCATCACAGAAAGTTTGATTACCGCCTCGGCTCCATTGGATTTGATTCTTCGATTTCTTTTCTAACATCCCAATACCTTCTAACACATTTGTGATGTCATATAACCGACGCTTTTGTACTTGGAGCTGTTGTGAGCATGCATTCAGATCAACGACTCCATCCGGAGACGTTTGAAGCAGATCAATGAATTTTTTCGTGAGAAGACCAAGGCTTGTGTCATAACGAGTCACAGTCTCACCACCAATCTCTTTCAATGAGCTTTTAGTGTTGGTCCGTTTTGTTGGTAAAGTCTTTGATAATGCAAGCTTTCCGTTCACTGTATCGTAAGCAAACTTTGTTATTTTCGGTAAAGGCGAAGATTCATCGACGGATGTTGAAGGACGTTTTATAGTCTAAACACGATTGGCGAGGAAAAAAAAGAACAAAATTGCTGGAATATAAATATTTATTAATAAATAAGAAGTTTTACCTTATAGAAGGTCGTCATGTAAGGCCCACCATTAGATCCACTGGGATGAGCCTTGAAAATTGTTGTAGTTGCATGCGCTTCAGCCATTTGCGTAATTTCCTTTGAATAACAAGTTTATCCGAATCTCTTCCCTTCTCCCTTTCACACACACTCACTCCTCTCTCTCTCTTTCTTTTGAACTTTTCCTTTTCTGTATGAATGTTACACAAGACTACGATCCATCGTCATATTCGCTCTCACACGACCAAAATCCTGATGATTAGAAAATTTTAAAATAATTATTTTCAGGATATATGGTGCAAAAAAAAGTATCGAAGGAAAAAGAAATCTTTTCAATGCTTGTGTCTGGATAGGCGCACGATCGATTATTTTATTTCTGTATACATATATACACAATAATTATCCGTTTCTTCTTCTTATACGTTAAATATTTTTTTTCAATGTTTTTTTTCTCTCATGGGTTGGGGTCTGGTTTTTGTGTGTGAAAATGCAGAATGTAAGAAGGGTGCATCGACTTTAATAAGTGAACACTTCACTGTAATAAAAAATGAGCTTAACCGTAGTTTTAAAGCCTTTTTTACTTTTGAGCGCATTTTGATAATCAATTTATTAATAGATATAAGGTATATAATTTCCATGCTTTTAATTTCACTTTTAATCTTACGACGGGATGCAATTTTTAGGGAGTTTTCAAACTGGAAGTATTGAGGCTCAATTTTACAATGGAAGTAAAAAAAGCCGATGGTAGACGCTAAATTTTATTTGCTTTAAAAGTAGATATAAATCAAGAAATCCGCATATTTGATATAATATTATCTTACCTGAGGGCCTAACCTAAACACTTATAACATATAATAGTTTAATTGATACAGTTTTAACTTATTTTAAATGTCTTAATATGATGCGTTTTGATTAAAATTTTCTGCACAACTACATGGAAATGTACAACAGCCGATTGAAAACCTTACAACTAATTTTCCAATATTCAGAGTTTCTAACCGATCCTTAAATGATTCGAAGAAACATCTGCACTTGAATAATTTTAATTTCTTTTAATAACAAGGAAATTAAAGTCATTTTTTTGAACCTTTGATACTATGAAAGTCTTTAATTAAACTACAATTTAATCATTTTTCATGTTTCCATCTGGCTCATTTCCGATATTGTCGGTTGCCGCACTGGATTTTTTGTTAAACGTTCACATCTCTGAATGTTTATTGAAAAAAAGTTAAATTTCTAGACGTTTTTTCAATAATAAATTCCTATTTCAAGAATCAAATAATAGAGACATCTCATTAATTAATTATCAAGTAAGGTTATTGTTTTGAGATTCATTGTTTAGATACTCAATTTGCACAACAATCAGTGAGTTTTATTTGCAACAATTTCTCTAACTGCAGAAAATCACGAATGATAGGAAAAGTAAAAAATCGTCAACAAAAATGAATGAGCCTGGATTAGATCGTCGCAGTCTAACTCCATGTCTTGATGAAAATGGAGTTGATGATGAAAATGCCTGCATGGAAAGCTCAAAAGAAATTGAATTATCTGATATTTCTGATATTGAAGACTGGAATAAAATAAGTGACGGAGCAAAAGCAAATGGTAATGGATCAGCATCTAAAGAAGCAACATTTAAGAAAATAACACAAAGCACTCGCGAAAGAAATTATCGTGATAATATTCGAAGAAAAAATGATAACAGCGGCCAATTTTACCATCGTCAGACTCATCAGCCTTCTTATCGACGTTTTGACAACAAAAGACGTGAAATGGAACGATACAACGTAAGAAATGTTGTCGCTAGTCGTGACTTCTCGATTTCTAAATCACGTAGTAGATCTCCTCGAATTGCAAACATTGCATCTCGTCATCGTTCGAAATCTTTTTCGCCAAAGCGAGATATTTACAGAAGACGATCAATAACACCAACGCATTACAGTTCGAATAGATACAAGTCACCGATACGAAGACAATCGTCAGTATCGAAACATTCCAGATCACCATCATTTGAACGTTATCAAAATTACAAATACAAAAGGTCGCCAACACCTGAACCACCAATGCGTAAAAGCAGAAGTCGACATAAATCAGACAGAATTCGTATGTTTATTATTTTATTTCTTTTATTTATAATTAAAATATTGCTTTATTTTTATTCCTTTCTCAATAATTTAAGGAACAAGTGAAAGATCATCTAAACGGAAGAAACATAGGACAAAAGATCGTCACAGAAAGCATAAGAAATCTCGATCTAAATCAAAGCCTCAATCATCATCACCTTCAATTTCACCCGAGCCTGAGTCTTCTTTACAAAGTGCTTCAAATACAAGGCAAATTATGAATGTTGCAAGCACAAACCTTCCCCAAGAGAATATAAAAGTTGTGTTAAGAAACGAGGAAGTCGTTGGAAAACGTTCTAAATTTAAGAAACGTGACAAAAAGATGAAGAAAGAAAAAGTTCCTCGAAAAGAAATTTTGGACGTATGTGCAAAAGATTTAAACACGACAGGGAAAGAAGTTTCTAAAGAAGTATTTGCATCAGGTGACAATATTCTCGTGAGCGTTTGCTTCAACAATAATAATAACAATAGTAGTAATAATAATAATAGTAATAGCAGTAATGGTAAAGGAAAAGATGATTCAACGTCCTTAGAAAAATTGCCGCCAATAAAAACAAAATCTAAAAAACGAGAAGCTTCGGCACAACTTTCATCTCTTTCAACATCATCACTTGAAGCAAATGAAAAGCGTCAAAAGAAGCATAAAAGAAAGAAGGTGAAGAATAAACGTGAGCAACGTGAACGTGTTGAAATTAAAGCACCTGAAACTCCACCTCTTATGAAATCAAGAAGAAAAAGTGATATGAAGCCAATCGCGATCATTGATTTGGAGAAATCACCGGGAAAAGAAATGACACAATCACCAAAGGAAGTTATAATACTTTCAGATAGCGAAGGTGACGGAAAGAAACGCGATGGTGCTTTAAAAGATGTCATTATAATTGAAGACGTTCTTCTAGATAAGAACATTTTAAGTCAAACGCCGGGATCTGCTTCGACACCTGTACCTCAACAACCAGTTTTAAAGTTTGCACTCAAATCGAAATCAAACATTTTACCTTTTAATCTTCTTCACGATCAAGCCGAAGAGATTGAAGAACAAGAAGGGAGTAACAATAATAATAATAATAATAATAATAATTCGAACAATGTCAACGAGTCATTGAGAAGCAATCAACAGAAAGATCAATTAGAAATGGCAAACATTTCAATGGAGGATAAAGGTTCGAATCAAAGAGAGGCTTATGATCCATTTGAGCCAACAAAATCGGGATCAACTTCACCTGTCACACCACCACCACCAAATGATGTTTCAAGCTCAAGTGATATGATGATGAAGAGTAAAATTGAGTCACCGAAAGAAAAGATTTTATCAACAACACCTTTGAAAGAAACTACTCAGATTCCTGGCCTTGGGACGGAAGAACATCTCATATCATCATCTTCTGTATCGATTTGGAATCGAAAGGAGTTTGATAAGAAACAAATAGTTCAACAACAGCAGCCAACTACACCGCCTCTGCCACCAACTTTCAGTATCTTCTCGGGAACAGCAACAACAGCGAAGCAACATGTGTCACTTTATGAAGGAATTTATGGAAATGATCTGAAGACGCCAGTGTTGCCAAGTCCCGCAAAACAAAGCATGAAATCATCTCATGAACATAATAAAAGTTTGAATAAAAATAATAATAATAATGACGATGATGATGATGAAGATGGAAGAACTCCATATTCACCAAGTTCTGATGGCTACGATTTTGAACCACCGCCAGCTGCCAACACGAAGCATGATGAACAACAAATGAATGATCCAGGAAGTGGAAGTTCTTATACATTCAGTAGTAATGACGATGCTGGTGGTGGCATTTTAAAAAGTGGTCCTATGAAGCTTACAGCATCAGCACTGAAGACTTTCAATAGTACAATGAGATCAACGGGACCTGTTGGACTTCAATTTGTCAACAAAGCTGAACTCAGTATATTTGAGAATTATCTTCAACCATCACAGCAAAACTCACCGCTTGTTAAACGACAATCGTCTTCATCGTTTTTGAGATCAAAGATAAGTCGATTTACAAACAGTTTAAATGAAAACGGTTCACCAGCGATGACTCGAGGGTCAATTAATTATCACGAGCCTATAAAGCCTCCAATGATTGGTGAGTCTTATCAGATTAATGTTTATGTTGTTTTATGCTAAATTTTTATTCTTTTTTTTAACATAGACGACTCAATGTTGGATGATGAAATACCCAATTCGGCTGTTGATTTAATTAACAAGGATAGGGTAATGAAAAATTTTGAATAATTATTAACAAATTTATCATTTTTAATCTCTTCTTTTTCTTAAAGTTCCTTAAAAAATCTCTTCGCATTGAGAGAGTAGCGGAAGAAGTGAAATTGGTGCTGAAACCACATTATAACAAAAAGTATATAACGAAGGAAGAATACAAAGAAATTCTTAGAAAAGCCGTTCCGAAGGTATGCTAAATATTTATCCAAGTAATGAAATTCTTTTATTTAGTCTTTTCTTTCTTCATTGTCATGCCAGATTTGTCACAACAAAACCGGTGAAATTAACATCCAAAAGATTCATGCACTCGTCGAGGCTTATATCAAAAAAGTTCGCTACAAAAGAAAAGCTGGTCATATTGCCAGCTCCATTTAATCTCGTAGCGATTTATTTGTAAGATAAAAACAATTAACTTCCTAACGAAATATTAAAAAAGAAGGAAAACAAAAAGTTTTTCTTTTTCTTTGCAAGCACGAAAGAATTTCAGAAAGAATGAAAATCTTTTAAAACAAATCAACGACTTTAATTATAAAAGATGTGTTGTAGAATATTTTATTGATAAGAATTATTAATTAATTATTTCTATTTCTTTCATAATTTACTAATCATTGAATAAAAAAAAAGAATGAAAGCAAGTTTTCTTGATGAATTTAATAAGAAATTTTCGGTATATTTACTTAATAATTATTTGTAATTAATGAGGTGAAAATTTAAATGTTTAATTAATTGAAGAAGATTCAATCAATTCACGGTCACCGTCTTTCATCTTTTCGTTATCAATTTTATCAAGCAAAACTGATAAATGAACATTTTAACGTAATTGATAAAGAAAGCTTTCAGAACGTTTCATGCATTTAATTAATAAATTCTGGAATGAAAGTTTTGCACAAAAAGAAATTCAGTCAATCAAAATGCTTTTTCATCTCACTTATTGAAAAAGAATGACATGGAAGTTTAAAACATTAAAAAATCATCGCATACATAGTTCATTGACATTAAACGCAACATCACCAGCAACAGCTTCTCATGTGTAGGTTTTGTATGTAATAACGCGAGCACGAAATTTCGCTGAAGGTCGGAATTTGTAACGCGAACAAACTTCTTCCTGTTCTGTCTCATTGTAACCAACCCTGTTGTTGAAAGTAATGATGAAAGTGAGATAAGTTAATCTAATAACATTCTCTTCATAAAAGTATAAATTTCTTTTCTTATTTTTCTTGTGCTGTTTTGGTGGCGATTCAATGTCGTCATTAATTATAAGAATGACTAGAATAGAAGGAATATCATAAGATATATTATCACGAAATGAGATATTTTCCTTCTACGGTGGTGGATGGTTGAAAGAAGATTGATTTTGTGACTATGATAAAGTTACCAATGCTTCTCATTGGACGGTAGATGAAATTATCGTAGAATGCCGATAGGAGAAGTTGAAATGATTGCGTGTCAATAGATTTCCTTCTATATTCAGGTTCTGTATCAATTCGAGCTTCAGCCCTAATCATGTTATTTGTTGGGTCGTAAATTTGTTGATTTATCTCGAATCGCTTTGATGGATAAAAGGCCAATTTACACTCGTGACTGCGAGGATGAAAATTTCAATTTGTGTCAATTTTAAGAAAGATTTCCACAACATGTTATTGCTTGAAAAGGTTGACCCACCACCAGACATAAGAATGTTGATAAGATAATACAATCAATTACCTTTGGAGAGTACTGCAAGGCCTTCGATAGTCAAAGCACGTGACCTGAACCGCATTGAAGAAGGCTGCTCCAATTGTGTTGGCAGGTTCAGTGTTCAACCCACTCAGACATCTTCGAAACTTCTCATCGCAATCTGTATTCGTATTCATGAATATTATATTAAGTGAGAAATCGTAAATGCCGTCTAACAACTCATCAAATAAATTATTCAATAGGGCAAAACATTTTAATTTTTATTTCAATCAACTCACATTATTTAAAACCTAATTAAATATTTTAAGAACTCTGTAAATGATCCCCGGGATATAAAACAAAACCCAAACTCACCACAATGTAATCTCGTAAAGCTTCCGTGATTGCAGATTGACTTCAGACATTCACCAGGAGCTATTTGAGGGTAACAATGATCGTGAGCTCTGTAATAATATTAATTTTAGATTTCAACCCTTAACACATTAATTTTTTAAAGTTTAATTACCGACAACATTTATCTTCCTCTGAGTGATGAAAAAAAAGTTTAATGTTCAATTAAATATTAAAAACGAATAAAGTTCACGTACCTGCATGCCGTCCAATGTCCGAATAATTCTTCGCAATACTTCCTACATTAAAAGAAATAAGTAGCATTTTAAATCTTTTTAAGAGTTCTACATCATGCAAAAACATTAAAGATGGTCGTGGAAGTAATACAGACTTTTGATTATTTACTTCGAATAAACAAAATAATATTGAAGTAGCTTCTTGATTCAAGTACATAGATGATTTATAATAAAATAGAGAAGCTTTCAGCTTTAGAGATAAATGAGTTCAATATTGCCTTGAAATATCATATTGGATATAAAGTAATAAAATAATTGAATACCTGGACCACACCACAGCGTTCCTAAAAGTTTATAATCCGAGATTAATTAATAAATTGTTTTATGGTCATCGCATTAATCTTACCTGGATAAATCTGTTCAAAGTTCATTATCACGGTGAACAGCAAAAATTTTCAAAAATTTGAATTTTAATTTCATTTGTCCCAAAGCTTTTATTTTAATGATAATCAACTTACGAAACTGAGTCCGCCTGTTGATATAAAAAATCAATTATCATAATCAATTCTGCAGTTGATAAGACATGCAAAAGTTGATGGTTTTGAAAATTATATGAAGGCTAAGCCAACAACTAAGTTAAAGCTTTCTTCTAACGGTTTGTTTAAAAGATAAAATCTCACCTTGAATTTCGCGAGTCAATTGATTGCCTTCGAAGCAGACTCTTTCTAATGTTTTTATCGTCTCAACAGGAACTTGTCGAATTTTTAAAGGGTCAGTGTTAAGAACAGTTGATTGAATTGTACCCCGATCGAGGTGTAATCGACAATGTGGCTTTCTTGCATTTAGTTCTATCATTTTATTCATTTTGACATCGGTCACAAATATCGATGACTCGATACAAAGAACATAAAGCGAAATCACTCCGATAAGACCGAAATTCATTGACGGATATTTCATCTTTAAACCTGTTATTGCCTATTTAAGAAGACGGAAGTGATCTGTTGTAGAATGACAAGTAAAAAATCTTCATTTCATCAACAACGCAAGCATCAATTCTTTCGTTGTTTAATAATAATAACTCTTCATCTTTTCTACGATAATATATCGGGACCTTAACCTTCACACATGATACGAAAATAGCAAAGAAAATATAATAAGAGAGAGCTGAAGAGAAGATAAAATGCAAACAACACTAAAACACTTTTATGATGGAACTTTAACACTGAAAGTTTTCTGTTTATTTACCAGGAAATATTCAAGAAGGAATCGTCTGTTGAAAATAAATAACAACGAACCAAAAGCTCTTTTATATACATTTGTTGTTCATTGTTGAAAATTATTTGAAACGAAGCCCAACGCTCGTGTTTGCAAAGAGAACAATAATTAAAATATAAAATTCATTAGCAAAAACATTTGTAACCGTTTGTGATAATAAAATCTTCTTCTTTATTAAAATAAAACGAAACTGTTTCAAATCGACCCTTTGATCTTAATGAAAATATTTAAGCTTTTATGTTGTTGTGACTGTCAAATTCAGATAATGAAATTAAGATCGGGCATCTAATTGAAACGAGTTTTTGGTGTCTTTGCGACTTTATCTAATGTTGCGATATGTTTGCTACACAGAAATATTTACATTCAGTTCACACATATTGAGCAAGATAAGATACTTTTAGATTGAACTTGTCACTTTAAAAGCCTTACAGCTTTGTCACTATTTTCAAGATATCTCAATGAATTCTAATAAACTCTCAATTTGACTAACTGAATTATAGCTCCAAAGTGATAAATCTAATAAAAGAAAACTTTTGTCACAAAATATCGTTTCGTATCACAAAACAATTCATTACTATGCACAAATGCTTGTAAGTTGAGTCAATGTATCTTGTTTGTAATTTCTCTTCGTTCAATTCAATCTAATTTATAAACGATTCAAGGTTAAGAAAAGATCGCTATTGTGCGTATTTATTCACATTTCTTTCTTCATTCTGAGTAAGCAGAAATTGTCTGAACAAGCGGTCGATTACATTGCATTCTGTCTGGGAATTATTATTACAAGTATTATAATTACGTCTGTGGGAAGGTTCAATTCCCTAGCTTCAGTTAAGGAGATATTTCCGTTCTTATAGTTTAATTTTTTTATTTATCAGTGTCAATCTTTTAATTGACAAATGTCAATTTAAAAATAATTCCGTGTCAAAAATTCTAACTTATTAATTAGCATTGAATATAAATAAATTCTTTTGTCTTTTGTTTACAAACTCTTTGAACAGAATTAATCTCAATCGAAGAACTCCGCGGAAAACATTAAATTAAGCACGCGATTATTTAGGTTTTAACTTAGCGAGTGTAAATCATCAACTGACGATGTCCAATTTAAGATGAGCCAGAAAAGCAATCTTATTATGATTTTTTTTCTTATTTCATTCTCTTGAATATATCTGAGCGAAGTACAAGTTAGATATATACAGAGGAGAAGAATCTTTAATTCACACTCCAAAAGAAATGAAAACTATTCAGGTTTAACTGAGCTGAGCGAGCGAAGATTTCAAAAATAATTCAAGTTCAGAGATGAAGATTTTGTCCTTGAAGTTTGAATATTTTTTGTAAGCTTAAGATTCGTTATTAATACAATGCAGATGTCAGATAAGTAATTGAAATAGGTCCAGATTTTTTACAACTGAATACTCATGAAAGACAAAAGATTTGCTGTTAGCTTAGTCGTGATTCTAAGTCAAGAACATTCTAAGGGTAAACAAATAATTTTAAAAAATATTCAAATGACAAACAACATTCTTTGTAGGTATGAAAAAGACAATGCCCGGGATACTTACTCAACATCTGCTTTGAGGTAAACAAAGAATGACATAATTTCAAGATGCGTTGAAAGAAAATAACTAAACATTCAAAAATCTCTTTCTGATAAATATTTAAATATGTAAGTCAACATCTCAATCAGAATAAATTTAAAATTGCTCATGATTTTGAAGCGTAGGAAAGCTTAGAAATGGATATTTAATAATCTTAACAAAACGTGGAAGATTATGAAAAAAAAAATCTTCTTTTACATTCAGTTACAACTTAATTTATATCTAAAGTGCGAAGATGTTGATAACATTTCTTTGAAGTAAATTTCATTTCCATTTCTCTTTTTTATAAATAAATTCTTATCTAATATTTTTATTATCACCTTTGTCACTCCAATTATTATGTGGTTTTGGAGTTTCATTCTAGACTAACGTCACAACTGTAATTGCGATTTAAATTTGACGAGTTGAAACTGGTCGAGTTATAAGTTCTAATCATGTTGAGTTATCTAAAGACAATGTAATGTAATTTAATTTACAATCAATGTTACTCTACTGATGATCATCACTCTCAATAATCTCCTATCTATAAAATGATTTATTACGCATTTTTATATTTTTCTTTGATAAAGTAATTAATTAATTGAACTCAGCAAAGGTGATTTGTTGATTCTAACTCAATGTATGTCAATTTGTTTATTTAATGTGTTTAATATCAATGGAAGATTAGATAAGACGTAGATAATGAATACAGGAATTAGGTATACAAAATTTAGCTTAAAGATGTTAACCATATTAGCACATTCACGTACATAATTTGGTTATTCTTCAAACTAATGCGAGTATGCTTGAGTTCGAGTTATTCTCGTGCAGAAATCAATTTCAACTTTATAAAATTATTCAATTTAAATTTTAAATTCTTTATGCGATGTTTTTTGTTATTGTTATGGTATGTCATAAAACATTTGCCAAATGATAAGATAAAACCTTTAAAGTTTACTTTACTCAATACGGTAATTGTATTTAGTATTGTTTAAGATTTACTCGATGAACGTTCTCTGTTATCGTTCAAAAGAAGCTCAGAAATGAAAGTTATAAGCTTACTCGTGTTTGCATTTCTATTTGTCAAGATATCAGAATCATCAAGGATTTTATTTGTATTTCCAAGTCCAAGCAAATCGCATCTTATTGTAGTGAAAGGATTATCAACAACATTAGCTGAACGTGGACATGATGTAACAGTCGTTAGTCCATTTCCATTAGATAAGCCGATGAAAAATTATCGCGATATCAACGTTGAAATTCCACAAGATGAAATGGAAAAATTCAACACTTATGTGATTAATAATCCAAAGCCAAATATGTTTAAGTTGATGCCTGCATTATTTTCAATTTTATTTAAAATGAGTGATAATATGTTTGAGTCGGAGGAATTTAAGAAAGTGTTAGATGAAGAAAAATTCGACCTTGTCATTATTGGAATGTTTTTCAACAATTATTTGCTTGGGATTGGTGACCATTTTAAATGTCCAACAATGATTTTAAGTGTGACTGGAACAATGACAATGTTAAATGTTCTTGTGGGTAATCCTTTGGCAGTGACATCTGTTCAACATTCTTTCTTTGAGTCGGGTAACATGGGAACCTTCTCAAGTCGTGTCGCTAACTTTTTATTACATGGTAGTGACTATGGATTTATAGCTCTTTGCGATTACCTATTCAAGGATCGTTACAAGTCCGTTTCGAAACTACAATTGTTATTCAAAATCTATCACATACATTTGTTTTCTTTTCTAGTCAATACTTCCCTTCAGATCGTTACATTTCATACGAAGAAGCTAAGAAGAACATTTCAATGATTCTTGTAAATACTCACTTTAGTCAAACTTATATTCGACCTTTTGTACCAGCGATGGTAGAAGTCGGTGGATTACAAATAAAACCAACACCAGATAAACTTCCAGAGGTTAAAAATTATTCTTTTTCCTTTGAATCAAATAAATTCATTTGAGTTTTATTTTAGAAACTTGAGAAATGGCTTGATGAAGCTTCACAACATGGAGTAATCTTCTTCAGTTTAGGGTCTAATGCAAAAACCTCTTTTCTACCCACATATAAAATTGAAATTCTTTTAAAAGTTTTTTCGCAACTCAAACAACGTGTAATAATGAAATGGGAATCCGATGAACTGGAGGGAAAACCAAACAATGTTTTAATCAGTAAATGGCTTCCCCAAGATGATATTTTGGCTCACCCCAACGTAAGAATGTTTATCTCTCATTGCGGTCTTGGAAGCGTTGTCGAAGCAAGATATCATGGGGTTCCTGTGGTTTCTATGCCACTTGGAATAGATCAAATAAAAAATGCTGAAAACATCGTTAACGAAGGATGGAGTGTTAAAGTTGACTTCAAGAATCTAAACGAAAAAGATTTATTTGATGCTATTAAAGAGATTCTAAATGACCCGAGGTTTGTTTTTATTATCTCATAGTTAATATTTCAACATATTTTTAACTTGATTTTCATTTCTTTCAGATATAATTCAAAAGCAAAAACACTTTCAGTGCTTTATAGAGATCGTCCTACTTCTGCTAGGGAAATTGCTTCCTACTGGGTTGAATATGTTATCAGACATCGTGGAGCTCCCCACATTAGATATCCCGGAACGGATCTTAACTTTTGGCAATATAACTCAATTGACGTGATTTTGTTTTTGTTGATAATCGCCTACGTACTTTTTAAAATTTTTATTGTTGTGATGAAAATGTTGATGTCAAAAATTTTCAAACAAAAGAAAAAATCAAAAACAAATTGAATTTTGGTACAAAGCAATTATTTATGATTTGAAATAAAGAAAATAAGAAATGTGAAGCCTTACTTATGAGGCATCAAAATAACTTAAAGATTTTTCATTCATTCATTTCATATCAATCGTCATAGAAACTTTCAAAAGCTTTTTCCCTGAGCTTTTCTCATTTTCCAATAAAAAGAGAGTTGAAAAAGCTCTCTTTCTCTCTCAATCTCATTTATTTCTCTTTAGAGTATCTATTTAGAAAGTTCATTCAAATTGTTCGGCACATCAATCAAGATTATATTGTCCCAATCTTTCGACATTTCATTTACATTACAGTTTTACATTTGTTAAACATTGATTACTGGGAACATTTTCTAATCGGGTTTCCCCAGACTGGGATTGAATCTTAAGGGAATTAATTATGTATAGTTTGAAAGTTTAAAGACATCGTTAAGCTACCCTCCTAAATTTTTTTAAAGCTGTTTGAAGCTGTAACAATACAATGATTTTATTCATGCTTTCTCTCATTATTAATGAATGAACAAAAAAATCTTCGAGAATTTCTTTTTTTTCTACAAATAAAAATCAATTTTCAGATCTCGTAATGTTTTTTCAATTACGATATTAAGAAGTGATTTTTCTTGTTTGATGGACGTACACAAAGATGAGTGTGGGTTGTTAATTTAGATCAATTTATATTTCAAACATTATTTCTGTATTGCAGAGTGGATAAAGTAATCTTTGAACTCCCAACTCTGTCATGTTAAACTTTCGCATCATCTCCCGATATTATTGTTTTTTTAGCTACTAAATAAAACAATAATACAAAAACAAATATATTCATTTACAGTAACAACATCTAGACAAAGCTTTAAGAGTTACGAGAAATCTTTCCATTCATATAATATAACATGTGTGTATCAGTGAAGTGTCGTAAATATTTGTTTATCTTTATAATGACTTGTTGCTCATATTTATGTCATATCGTAAAATAATTCAATGCATTATTTAAATGAATTATTCAAGTCTTCTTCTGAAACTTGATGCAATGATTTCAAGATGATTTTTTCTACTCTTAAAGAGCAGATGACAAGATTGAATACAAGGCAAAAGCTTAGAAGTATCATTTGTATCAATTTGTTTCTCTGTTTCAATCAAAACATTAGTCTATTGCATTCGCAATGAAAGAGAATTTTAATGAAATTAGCAAAATTACATGCTTTTTGTTAGCGCATGATGTGGGAGTAAAATATTTCTTTCTTTTTGTACCAGACTGAAGAAGTAAACAAGAATTCTAATTTCTTGCAATGCAATGATAGAATTAAAACCAACATAGTTAGTATACATGAGATTATTGAAAACATTTTCAAATGCGGAAAAAGTCTAAGGAAGAAGAAAAAGTTAATCGAATTTGGTGTAGCACGTGTAGTGTCATCAATCATAAATATCAATGTTGCTGTGTTGATGTCCTATTTTGTGTCAAAATCGGAAACGTGGCTATTAATGATAAAATCTTAAAAACAGATTCTTTTTTTGCAGAAAACATGTACAATTTTTTATGTTTTCAAGATCGAAAAAGTACACGAACTGTTGTGCTTTCCTTTGGATGCTTTCGCAACCGCAAAAGGCATAATTTGAAAAGAAAAGTCTTGACAACGACAGCCTCAAGCTTCAACGAAAAGAAATATTTAAGTATTAATATCACAAAAGGAAATTATTGACTATTCCGTCAACCAAGTCATAAACATGAAATTTGATATTTAAATTGAGATTTCTCCTCCACTGATGGAAATAAATTTTTAACGTCGAATCGTCATGCAAGAAGAAAAATATGTCAACACCATGACTTTTCTCATCTACATGAAAAAGTGTCTCATTACAAAGGCTCAAGTCACGAAAGATGTCTTCTCTCTTCCTTCCTTATTTCGACAACAACCATGAATATTTAATGGAGCAAATAAACTTAATGTTCGTTCTCTTTCAAACTGACCAACAAATTCATCTGAGATTGATGTCAAAGAAAGTCTTCTTGTGCCAATTACTTCTCAAATAAGAAAGATACCGGCAACAAAGAAAACTTTGGGAGGTTCTGACAGCAACTGTGGGAAAACTTTCGACACATCTTCCAACCTTTCAATTAAAAACGTTGAACAACCGTCACCGTCACTTTCACTTTTAATTCAATAAGAATTTTAAAAAGTTTCTTATGTTGTAATGGCAAAGTTCTTGAGTTGTTCTCAATCTTCTTTCAAAAATGAACAACGAAATTTCATTTAGTCACAAGCGTAGACGCAAAAAGAAAAATTTAAATAAAACGTTTTCGATGTTTCAGATTTCGCTCCAGAGACATGTCACATGACAAGAAAACTCAAGTGATTCAACAAATAAATAAATAAATACATTTATTTCTACAATATTTTTTCTTTCTTCTTTTTAACAATTAAGTACAATTAGAACGCTTCGAATAGACACTCCACAATCACAACAATACATGACTCGAAAGTTTCCTTTTTAATATCAACGGCATTTGTCATTAATCTCAAATGTTAAATCATCAACACTTGTGCATCTATTATCGACACCACACATCATAAATTGCTTTTCACACTTGTAAATTATCTCCTACAAGATTGTACAATGACCATTCGGATGATGCAGTTTATGATGTCTACCATTAACATGTTGTTGTGGTCGATGGTGAGTGCAACCATTACAACACACATGCTGATGATTTTGAGAGCAGTTAAAGCTTTGACTATTCGGTATACAATGTTGCGTTTGGTAGTTGCTTGTGCAATAGTTGCTGTTGATAGATAAAAGAATTTCTTAAGAATCTTAAGCAACAAATAAAGTACGTGAAAGAAAAATTGGAATTTGTTAAATCTTTTCAAAGAAATTCAAGATATTTCCATTGTCATCACAACTTGAATTCTCTGAACTTTTTCCTTCATTCAATGTTTAAGAAACTTACTTGCAGGCGCCTTGTAAGTATCCGTCTGATCTTGAACTTGGTGGCGGCATAAAGCACATCCCAGGCAAATCAGTTTCGTAAATATTTTTCACCATTTGATCTAAATTTTGTAAAGCTTTCTTTTGCGATTCAGACTCATCAGGATATTTTGTATTCTTGAGATTTATTTTTGAATTACGCTTCTGTTTGCGTGATAAACTTTTTTCGTTTGCAGGTGTTGCTGTCGTTGCAGGATTTTTCGAGTTTAAAAGTGCTAACTCTTCCTCGGTAAACTATCAAAAAATCAGCAATAAATTGAAGATAAATATGAAGATTTAGTTAATATTTTCACTCTTCATCTTACCTGACCAGCAGTTACTCTATTTCCTCGTGAAGTTGAAGCACGTGATGGAACGCAACTGAAAGGTGGCGATGACATCGGTGAGAAAATACTTGCAGATACTGAAAACTTTCGATTTTGTAAATCTTCAAGGAATTCTTCTGTATCTGTGATGAGATCACCAAAAACATCACTTGGACTTTGAATGTAAGCATGACCTGTTGAGTTTGAACGTGAAACTCGTGCACTGAAAATATTTCTCACTGGAGAATTAATAATTGATCGTTTAGCAACGTCTTCAAAAGTCACAGGTGAATAAACTCTTCGCTCTTCGACGTTATTTTCAGCTTTATTGTGCAGCATGTACTGTGGCATGCTCATACGACGGTCGAAGTTGTACTCAAGTGCTTTCATGGGGCTGTGGTTATGCTCATTCTCAAGTGTTTGTGAAAGTGATGTGCGGTTCTCACGATATTCAAGCCAATATGTTTTCATGCTTCCTTTTCCCTTCACCTCGATCTCACCACGTTCTGAAACTTTATAATTCGTTGGTAAAAAGCTTCTCGTCGTTTCTGATATGTGAATTTTCATTGCAGCACTTGTTGATTCCATTCTGCTTGCTGTGTTCACTGAATCTCCAAACAAGCAGTATCTATGGAAACCAAAGGGGATTGAATGAAATAAACCTGACTAAGCTGTTCTCCTTGTTGGGATTTTGAGGGAGGAAAATAATTTTCCGTGAAAGATTTCAAGGTTGCTTAACTCACAAGAGAATTGTTTAGCTTACCTGGGCATTTTTAACCCTACAATTCCAGCAACAACAGCACCCGAATGAACGCCAACTCGTATTTTCAAGTGCTGTCCAGTTGATGGATCTTTCAAATCTGTTATAGCTTCAATCATGTCTAAAGCCATATCACAAACCTTCTCAGCATGATTTTGTTCCTTCTCAGGAGCTCCAGACACGACCTAAGATTTTTCGAGAATGAGAAAAGAATTGAGAAACATTCAGATTGAGCATTGAAATTTAATGGCAACAGAAAGCTAAGTATGAACTTTTTTTAAAAAAATATTTTCTCTCAGCTTGCAGCTGCTTTCTTTTTGTTGGAAATGCTTTCTTGATTCTCGTGGGATTATTTGAACATAACGACGTTATTTGCTTTCATATGAAGTCGATGGGTTGAATCCCATAAGTGGAAACGATGAGTTCATTTGAATTGACTTCGAAGAGGTAGCAAAAAGTGTTTTGTTTCATGTGTTTAACTCTTTTTGAGAAAACATCAAAGCACGTCTACATTTCTAACACTCAGCAAAGCTCTCAAATGAGTTTGAACTTTTGACTGACTGCTTTCCATTGAATTAAGTGTAAAATGAGAGTTTTCAAGCATTATTGATAAAAGCTTTTTCACGATGTCAGCGTTTATGGGTTTCAAATCACATCCAACACCCTCGAAATTGAAAGCAAAAACCGCAATAGCTAAAATTCTCTTCTTACCATGTACGCATCTCCAATCGTTTCAACCTTATACACATTGTTGCCTGGAATATATTTAATGGCAATTTAATATTTTGTTATGACAATTTCTTGGCGCCTACGTACGTTCGGTTAATGTATCAAATATCGAATACATAGCATTGAGCATGGATACAACTTCCATGGGTGTAATACGACTGCAGATCTCAGTGAACGTGACAACATCCGAAAACAGAATCGAAACGCTATTGAACATCTTTATGATGACAGGTATGAGAAAAAAAGAAGGAAAATATTTGAAACAATGAATGTAGCGGTCCCTAAGTATACGACGAAGCTACCATAAACTTACTTCGCAAGTATCGATTGGATTTTCCCCCCGACGGAGCCTGTCTGCAACCTGTTTGGGAATCATTTGATACAAAAGCTCATCTGTTCGACGCATTTCTTCATCCAGTTTTCGCATAGATTCTTCAAGCTTTTTTGACTTTTGCTGTTCTTGATCGAGAGCGAGCTTCAATTCAACTGATTGTTGCGTGCCAGCTAACATTAAATCTCTGCAGGATGTTGAAAAACATTAATGAAATTTTATTTAAATTCGAAGAAGATTAAAATTCTGATCACGTAATGAACATGCTTCCGAGTTTAATTTAATTTGAACTTCATCATTGACCTTCATACTTTAACGACTTCTTCTATTCTTTTCAAACAATATCATTCTGAGACGTTTAATTGATGATTAAATTAGCATTTAAAAGACTTATTTCTGACTCATCTTCATGTTTCATCAACTATTCAAATAATGTTGGCAAAATTCTTAAAATAACTTTCTCGCTTAGTTTCCTTAATCTTCAAAGAGAAATTGAATTGAATCGTAAAATTTCATTATTATGATTAATTATTTTCAACATTTGAGAGTTAGAAGGCATTTTGTGGAGTTTTTAACCATCAAAACTTGATAAATATTTTTAGAAATCTCACTTTAATCATGTCAACCTTTTTATCATAACTTGGTAAAAATTCAGTGTACGTAAATAGAAAGCAAGCATCATTATGTGATAATAATGCGATATAATGACCTTGATAATGATTACATTACCTGCTGAAATCGTGCATTGATAAATCGTTGATATAAAGTCCGGTTGATATGAGTGATGAGAGCTTTGGCATAACCGGTGTGCCGAGAAACATAATCAGTCGCCAATCTGACATGTAAATCATTTGACCTTTCAACGTAAGCTTTCGTTCTAATTCTTCTTCAGAATCTGAATCTTTCAACATCAATTGCTCTGATTTTCGTTGATCACCTGCTTTAACATCCTTAACAGTTACTAGTTCGAATATGTTATTGGTCCTATTGAGTATCTATACGTGGGTGTGAATTATATTGATGTGATTAAGCCTTTTTAATGCTACTCACTGTTTGAAATTTGAAGGCAATAAGTGGTCGCTTCAAGTCAAACCAGTCTATGATTTTCTTATTCAGTAGATCTGGCAGAATAACCATTAACGAGTTGCCTATGCTTCGTACCACCATGTCGGATCTAAGAAGATTATATAAAATAAATGAAAGGAAAAACTAGACAATCTAATCTGATCATTGAAGAATTTGATAACAATACAAATCCATACCCGAATACAATACAGAACGGAAAAATCTCAAATAATACTGAAGCACTTATTGGCAAATGCTTTTCTTCTCGTGTCATCGCGAGTGAAGCCAAGGAAAAAGCTCGATTATCGAATATTAATTGAAATGTGTAATGATTCGTTTCTCCCAGAAACTCCGATTTTATTAATTCAATTTGCATATCTTTATGATAGAAATGTCTCGCTACCTAAAATGACACAATTGTTGAGGAAGTAGATTAGATATTCAGTTTGGTTTGTAAGTCTTTTCCTAATATGAAGTCATAGAAATAAGTTATTTATTTGGGGAAGAATGAAGACAATCAATACTCATGACTTTAAAAGTAGGGAAAAGCAAAGAAGATATTTCAATTTTAATAACGATGATTTTTCGTGACGTGATGAACATGACATTGTGACGTGTAAGCTTATTTGCTTGTTCAATTTACATCTCATCATGAAATTCTTTACATTGATGGAGAGATAAAAACATTCTTCAAATATTTACAATGACTTTTATGAAGATTTTTCATGCTTAAAAATTGATTGAAAATTCCATGTTAAATTCATTTTCAATCAATTCTTAAGCAAGAGAGAAAAAACTTGACAAAAGTCAATGTAGATTCAATGGTAGCATGATTTCAAACATACGGGAATTTCTTTCACTTAAATATTCAGTTAACGTCGATGAAGTTTTTCTAGCAGAAATCCACTAAACAAGCAGCGTTTGAAAAGTTCATTGATGCGGGAGAAATCATCGCTTTCAAGGGAACAAAAACAGTAACAAACCACAACTGTTGATTTTCATTAAATATGTTAATTTAAAGAATATATTTAATAATCAAGAGTACACTCACTTGTCGGATCTGTCCCATAGTATAGTAAACAAAACCTTTTCTTCTCGTGCGATAATGAAGCGTTAATCCATGTCGTGTTTCATTCTCACAAAAAAATGACGGCGCTCTAAGAACACGATGATGGTTGAAAGGGATGACAGAGGAAAAAGATTAATTTGACATTTTTACAACCCTATAGAATCCTTTGTTGTTTAATTTTTAATAAAAGTTTCAATTTACCTCATCAACGGATAGCTGAATTTGAGATACTCGTGGAGATTGTCCAAGCCGTTGAGAAAATCTCTCATGTGCCGACCAAGCACCGAAAGAACTCGGTCGTATCCATATTGGCTTACGAAATTCACAAAGTAAACTCCCATTTGATCCATGAATTCTCTTTCGGATACACCAAGGATCTTTAATAGTGGAAACATAAATGGTTAGAGAATTATAACGGAAACAATAACTCGAGGAATGTTGAGCGTTAAATTGAAATGCTTTCAGTTGTAGCAAGGAATTCAAGATTTATCTTCGCCTCTAAATTTTTGGGAAATTTTCATTCTTTCTTTCTTTATTTCATTATTTCCTCTTTTCATTGTGAACATAATAATGCGTGAAGAATTTTTTTTTAAATTATGAAGCGTAAAAAACATCACATGAAGGTTTGAGATTATTTCAGTATGTTGTGTACACATGAGTAAAAAAGTTATTTCCCAGTATTTTAGAAAAGCTTCTAAAAGATCAGAAGCGGTCTGAAGGATCATAAATAAAATCTGAATACAAAACAAGCTTTAAAAGTCGAGGGAAAGAATTTATGAGAGATTTTAGTAGCAGATATTTAAAATACTTTAATTTTGATGTCAGACATGATTAATTCTGTGGATATCTAGTTAATGCTTATCATGACGACATTTTCATCATAAAACTATTTTAATTTGAACTTTAGAACTTGAAAGTGATATTTAATTAAATTGTTATTGAAATATTTCATGTTAACACCATAAGATGACAAAACTTTCAATTATTTCATTCAAATTGCTTCAAGTTAAACAGTTCACAACCTTTCTCAACAATTTCATTATTTTGTCACCCTTTAATTAATTAAAAACACATCTCATGGGATGGAGCATTAAAATTCTCTTAGGCAGCTTTCTCAGTTCACACAATTTTTTAGTAGGAAATTTAAACACTCGGAAAAGAATTTCTTTCATTTTGTAGATTGTATTTCGTCTTAATTCTCTTCTAAGTGGGATTAAATATGTCTTATGGAAAAAAGCTACATTTTTGCAATTAAATATGATTTTTAATTTAGGTACTTAGGTTTTAATGATTTGTATTGAAAGAATGGAAGAAAATAATTAGAAAACTTACTCGTTGTGCAACTGTTGCCAAGTGAAGAAGTAATTCTTCGTCATAGTCATCGTGAACACCGAAAGAAGGTGATGAAATGCCAGCTTGTCTACGTATCTCTTCCCACTTTTCATCTCCAAATACCGTCTTCACGTATTCCGACAAGTTCTCCAGCAATAAACCATACATAATAGAAAATTTATTTCCAATTTATGGCTGTGGAACAAAATTGTTTTCCAATGTTATCAACTGCTTCAAAAGCTAATTTATTTGTTATGAAATAATAAATATTTTTCATTTGCTTTCAATTGGACAGAATTCAATTGGATATCTAAAGCTTGACATTGTTTTAATTGTATTTTATGCTTCAATATCATTATTCAACGTGCTAAACATAAATCACTTTTTTCTCCGGAAGCAGCATTGTAGATGTATCATGAATAATTCACTGAATTGAACACAATTTGATGAGAAAATTAATTAATTATTTTTTTAACGATTTGATGTAATTAGAGACTAAACTTCTTTAACGATTGGATAAAATGTTTGCTCGAGTGCTGCAATTTATTGTCACCTTTCTTCTCTAATCTCGCACGTATTTAATAAATTCTTCCTTTCATTAGACGTTTCGTAAAGCGACTGAACATGAGCAATAAGTTTGCTTTCTTGGAAATGGAAGTAAAGAATTTCTTTCTTTTTGTCTCGTGTACATAAGAGAATTGAGTTTACCTCCTGTGGACGTTGTCTTGGAAAATTTAATGAATGGCTCGCTCCCTTCCTTCCCCTCTTTCCATTCCGATCAGAATTGTCTTTTTTCTTGCTGTTTTTATAACATCAATAATTGCGATTACATGTTTCCGTTCAATATACTATCAGAACAAAAAAGAAACAGAAGCATTTTGTTGTCTATTCGCTTTTATTCAAATCGATGTTTGACGTTTTTCGTCTTCCACTTTACACAAAAAGCAATCGCACCAGTCGGTCTCAAGTATTTCAATTTTTCGTCATTCTTCTATTTTTGTATATAAACGAGAAATTAATAAATTGAACAGTTTGGAACGAAAAAAAAATTTCATGTCTCATCCAATGGTTGAGAAGCATAATGAAAAGTGGACAAAGCGAGAAAAATCAATAAATTAGAACAAAACGGTTTCAGGAGATGCTTTTTGCTTAAACAAATGAAAATTTGACAACGATATTAAAGAAAAGAGGATAAAGAAGAACAGAAATATTTGAAGATATGAAAGAAAATTGGGTTTCGATTGTTATCAAACAATGCTTTGATTGAATAAAATTGATGCGATGAACTTTTATTTTTTCTTCTTGTCATTCATATAGAATTCTTCTTGTTATGATGAACTTTCTGAAAGTTTTTTTTTTAACAAGAAACAGCTGAGTCTGTGGTTGCTTTTACGCTAGATTAAACCCTCGATCATTCAATTTTCAACACATATCGAGATAGATAATCTAAATAGGGTTTACTCGACTTAACAAAGCATCTCAAATAAAACTCTCAGATGAGAATATTTCTGAAATTCAATTTTACATTCTTATATTTTCAACGAGAAAATAAATCCTTGATGAAATTTGTGAAAAAGTTTCTTTACAGCCATCTGTGTCCAAAAGCCATACACTGTTGTTACGACATTTAGGAACAATTTCATGCTTACTTTCTCAGTTTGCTTCAATGAATGTTCATAAAATTCAGCAAAGTCCTTTTTGAGACTTTAATATCTTTAAGCATCCATAAAAAACATTCAATGTCCGACTTGATAAGCTTCCACTCATTTCAAAAACATCTCAAAGTATTTGTTTTATTTCGTCCGTTTCAGCTTTATTTTTTATTTGTTTACTACCTTCGCATATTTTTTATTTGCTTCTAAACATCAAATTGAATGACCTTCGATCAGAGTCAGAAAAGTTTTTACTCAATTTTCATCGTTATTTGCTTAGCAAGAGATTGTCGACGGCACTTTAATATTGACATTCAATAAGTCAACCTTTCATTTTTTTTATTGTGATGTGATGATGTATTTATGAAAAATCATTTGATCGTTAAATTTATTTGATGGCAAGAAAGGGAAACTCAAAAGGCGATTAAATATTATTTCTGGACTTTACTTAGTTGTCATTGATAACTTTTTCCTTCATGATTTCAATCAACATTGTATGAGTTGGTTTAAAAAAAAGAACATGATATGTGAAAGAATTAATTTCCCCATTAATTAGCAATGTGATGCCTTTTATATAATTTGTTCTTAGGATGTCTATTAGCACAGCATGATTGCAGATGACTGAAGTTAGAAGTGACATCACGACGACGTTAAGGATTAGGAAAATATTTATAATGAGTCGAATTTAACAACTCGCTTAGAAATGAATAAAGAAAAAGATTTTTAATGCTAATTACAATAAAAAGATTATAAAGATAATTATGAAACGATTTTTTTACTTAATAGATACTCAAAATCAGATAAGATATCAGATTTTCCATATTGTACCAAACTCATCTTACATGGAAGGAAATAATCATCTACTTAATTTGGTGCATGAGAGATTTTTTGTTCATCTCAAGTTCCCACATTACAATTAATTACTTTTGAGAGGAGTAAAAGAAGAGTTTTGAAATGTGGAAGTTTATCAGGGTTCTTTTGACATGTTTCGCTTCAAGCAGCTCTCAATTACAAACTTGAGAAGCTTAATAATATAAATATGCTTATAAGGAAGAGCCTTTTTAAGGCTGTAGGATCTTTGATACAAAGATTGAGACAATTTATTTATTTAGAACAACATTGAACAAATATTTAAGGAACATTTAAAGTCAAATATTATATCAAAAAAGGGAAAGAAAATGCAAATGAATCAAAAATTTACATCCCACACAAAGTAGGTAATAAAAACTTATACGCATCATGAAATCTTTAACTTCTGTTAGATTTTGTTCTACAAAGTCAATAATTACTTAACATGAAGAAAGTATCTAAAATGTGAAGTTTAAAAAATTTATTTCCTTTCATTGTTTGCTATACAAACAAATCTCACTTCCAGGATTTATTTATCTTTTTAAATTTATATTAAAAGGAAAGCTTGAAGAATAAAACTCTTCTTGTACTCAATTGATCAAAAAAGCTTAAATGATAGATAATGAAATAAAGAAATACAAAACAAATCGTCCTTGTACAGAATCTGTCTGAGACATGAAAATATTTTCGATTGAGTTCAATGATAATTAAATACAGCTCAATTAAAATGAAAATTACTCACAAACATTAAGTTGAAAGGGATTCGAATAAATGAACTCTGTTATTTGGAGCAAATAGTATTGTCATGTCATTTACAAATTAAGATGCCATTCTTAAGGCTTAAAGTCAAACTGAAATATTGACAGTTCTTATTTACATTGGGAAATGGCTGATTAATCTTCTCCCTTGTCTCCTCTTAAATAAAACTCTTTTCACGGTTAGCTCAACTTTAGCACGAAAAGATTCAATTGTCCTCAAATTAATTGAAATTACTTTTCGAAAGTTTAAATGAAAAAATAATTGTAATCAGGAAAACCCCAAACACAAATACGACCTTCTCACGACAGTTGATTTAGACTGACCCAAATTATTCCTGAACATTATTATGCAGGCTCTTCAAATAGATATTTGAAACACAAAAAGATTAACATTGATGTTTAGTCACCAACCACAATTAAAAAAAAGATAGAGAAACAGAACAATAAAACGATGTCAAATAGGACAAAACTGACAAATTTTAAGATGATTTTGAACCATTTTTGTGGTCTACTTAATTTTTTTATTATCCAGAGATGAAAGAATAATAAAAATTGGAATGGAATTTTTTAAAAAAGAGATCCTTTTATGTCCCATTCAATAAATTAATCGTTTTCATCTTTTCTATCCGTCCCATGTAAAGTTTGATCAAAAGAGAAAACTTAAAGGAAAAAAAACTTTTGATGAAGATGAGTAAGAAAAATGATACTTGCATGGATGTTCAGCAAAAGGAAACAACCATCAAAATTTATCGACACACATCATGACTGAGCTTAAGCAAACATATTATTTAATTGTTTGTGATTAATAAACTTTATGGATCTTGTCAAAATCACCACAACAGAAATTAAATTCACCGTAAAATTTCTCGTAATTGCAAAGATAAACTTTTCTCATCACTTCGACAAGAATTTTCACTAAAACATGTACAAACTAAGCTTTGCAATTTAATAAGGAAGACAGTTTCGGAAAATTTATGTCAATGGTCTGCGCTCAGTAACTAATTCTGCTTGACCTTGTCGTTCTGTTATATCTTTCGTCTCATCTGGCACGTAGACATCGAAAGATCATTGACATGCTTATAGATAGTGAAATGTGCTGAACAATGGGGTGAGAGTGAACTACAATTTAGTTCCATGTTATCACGAAAAGGAACTATCTAGGAAGAGAACATAAAATATTTTGAATTGTTTCCGAATTCACATCTTTAGGAAATTCTTCAAAAGGCTTTCACGAAAATATCTCGAAAATATGTTTAAGGAGGGGGAATTTTCCACATGAATTATTAAAGAACTCAGTAAACATGAATTAATTGTCATTAAAAAGTTTAGCTTTTATCTCTGAATCCGTGATTAAACTTTCAAAGTAATAAAAAGAGGACTTTTTTGTCTTATTCTTCAATATCTTTTTTCAAAACATTTACTCACTCGAAGTGGTAAATAATATTAAGTGGCAGTGAAAAACTCTTCAAAGGGTATATGGTTCTTATTAATATAATTAAAAGCGTCTTCAGAGAAATTAGAACAGAAACGTGCCGTATAGTCTGCTATGTTTATGATGAAACTAACAAAAAGGCAAGACTCACGTGGGTGTAATAAAAACCCCAAAATATATGAATGATCCGAAACCTTTCAAGAGATTGGAAAACTTATAACAAAACTCGATGCTTTGTAAGTTTGTGGACAACTTATAAGTCAATTTTTGGCATTTAAGTACAGTATTTTCACAAAATTTCAGAAGCATTTTCGCGTCACTGACAGGTGTTAAAAATAGTTTTCACAAATATTGAACAACAAGATTGCTTATGAAGCTACATATTACACTCATATGTTTCGATTCACGTGTGCGGCTATTTATAGATACAAATAAAAGAGAATTTAGTGAATTTTTCCGATAAAGAAGACAACAAATACAATTCAATGTCATTTGCGATACTTTCCTATTTGGTTTTTTCTTGTTTTTATTTTTAGTGTGTAAAGTAAAAAAAAGATACTAACCATCGCGAGAGAATTTTCCCTCCCTTACGAAAAACGATAAAAGATTACAACACCAATAGCAACACTATGATGTTCCTTATCTTTAAAGTGGTTTTCATCTCTTACGTTTAAAGTAATTTCTTCTCTTTTTTCTATTTGTTTGCCGAAGCGCACGTAATTCTACTCAGAAAAATTTCTTGTGTCTTTTTTGATTTCAAAGTGTGCTGTTGCAGATTAAGTCAAAAGAAATATTTTAAATTCCATTTGAGCTGTGGTCATTGTTAGCCGGAATGCAATTAAAATCGTTACTTAATTACTCTACTGTCATTCAAATGAATGACTAACATTTATGGTTATCACTTTTCAAATATCACTCCGCAATTTAGCAAAGACGTGTTGATTCGATCACAACTCACGGAGAACTGATTCTGTAGCTTTCGCTTTTTTGTTATTTTGCTACAATATTTTGAGTATTCTATTTTTCTTTTGAATTTTCGCAAGTATAGAAAGCTTTTGGAGAGTCAAACTAAATATGAATGAAATAATACTCAATAAGTTATGCGCATGACCCAAACTCGAGAGATAAGTGTGGGTGAGAGAATATCATACAGCATATCATCTGATGACAACAAGAGCTTGTCTATCGCAGATTAAAAAAAAACATCTTGGCCGGTGTCACAAGAAATGTTGATTTTCAATATCAAATTCTCAATGAGGAAGTCCCAAATGATTTAAACAGGAATTAAATTGAAGAAGAAATCTTTAAGAAGATTTTAAATTATTTACGAAATCTAAATTTTAGAGAAATCTATTTACATATCTACTTCTTTAATCAAATATCATTTTTTACCAACATAATTTCCCCTGAGAAGCTTAAAGTTATTTAAGAAATCTCTTTGCACAATGGAAAATGATTTTTGTTGTTTTTTTTGAAAAAAGTTTAAATTCTTTTTCTTTGTTTATGACGAATATCATGGAAAACATAATCCTCTTGGCTTCTTTCTCCTTTCGTTTTCTTGAAAAGAGGTTGAAAGATGAACCTTAAATTGAAAACAATTTTAATAAGCTTTTGCGAAGGTTGTTCGGAGAAGTTTTAAACAAATATTTAAATTTAAAAATTTACTTTGATGGAAATTCTTTGCATTCATGTGAAATATTTAAAACAATAATTTGAAATGTTATGTTCTTGATAAGATTAATAAACAATTTAAATCATGTAAAAATACCGCAAGAATGAACAATTACATTCAGTTCTGTGTAGGTTTTTCATTAAAATGTCATAAATGGTAGATATGAATATTTTAATATTTAAATAAATTAAAATAATTCACAAAATTTCTTAAAATTTAATTTTCCTACGTCAAATAATTTGATTCAATGCAGATACAAAATTGCAAATTTTTACTTTTCGCTACCATACACACATGGATCAATTATTTTCTCATAAAGAAATGAATATGTTAGACATGCAAGAAATATATACAAGTCTTTGATTATAAGTCTGAGTAGATTAAGCATTAAATCTGAATCATTAAAAGCGTAAAAAATCTTCAAACAGAATGAATTTATTCTAATGCAAACATAAGATGTAATGTAATAAAGTAAATTGAGTATGATACCAAATCAGATGTTAAATGAAGCTTACTTATCATGACAATAACTTCTGTCACTTTTACTTTCATCAGCTCAAGATTATTCAATTCATTTCGTATTTTATCAGAATGAATTAATAATTCAGAGTATGCTCATAAAATGGTAATCAGACGATCATGAGTAGGGCTGATTCAAGCATAAGCTTTAGATAAAAGTTTCATAGATGAATGACATGTTGCAAAGCTCGGATATAATATTTTCAAACAAAGGATCCCATCAAGAATAAAATAAAAAGAGTTACAAACAATCCTACTTACTTGTCATGCAATTTGTTTTGCAGACTTTAAATATATTCAAGGCAATTGTCTCAGATTTATGTCAATAAAACCGAGAATATTATTATTAATGACGAAATGATAGATATCAACCTAACTTCCATATAAGTAGCGTATAATTTATTTATCCAGTACAAAGCCTAATGTGTAGCTTCTGAATAGAGGCTGATAGATAAATATGTGTTCTTCAAACTTGATAAATTACATTTACATTGCTATATCTTCAAAATATGTCATTGTATGTAACTTGAATTGAAAACCGCATCAATCAAAATAAAGGAAATTGAATTTCAAATTAATTCGATGTAATCTAATAAAACGTTTTGTTATGTTGTATCAATAGATTCCGAAACAACGATAAAGCTCGCGTTATGTCAAGAAATCTTTTTCTTGAAGCATGAATTCAAACGCAAGCTTAACACGTGAAGCTATTATCGCTCTAAATTGAATATCCAGACTTTTGCACAACCTTCAACGCTAACACGTTAAAATCTTACACCTTTTTTATTCACAGAGAAGAAACAATTTCAGCTTTTTGCAAATATCTCTGCTAACCATGGAAATAAATAACTTTTAATGATTTTTGCACTTCTGTGATTCAACAGCTGAAATAGTATAAATCACTTTAAACTTCATTTATTGCGATTCATTGAAAAAAAGTTTTGTGATTGCAAAGAAAAAAGTTATCAATTGAATTAATAAATGTTTATGTTCAATTTATCCAACGATGTCATTAAATATTCATTACCAACTTCAAAGAGACGTAAAAGCTTTATGAAAGCTCATGGAATGAAAAGTTTTATAGGCCTAAATTAAACTTTTCTGTGAACACATAAACATATTAAAACAAGCATACAATTGAGCTTTGGCTGGATAATCTATCACAGACGTCACATTTACGAGCTGTGTGAAAGAATCTATGATAATTTTGAAAATTATTACATAGGTTTATTTTGAAAAATTTGTTCCCATGAGTTTTTAAACGTCACTCTTTCGAATGATTGACAGAAAGTTTTCAATTTTCTTCTTCACAGCACATTTCATCAAGCACATGACCCTGGAATCGCTTCAAAGTCAAGGGCAGAGTGAAATCAATCAAAGGATCTTCTTGTCTTGTCTTAGAAAAGACGAAGAACATCCTTAGGATGTACATAATATCGTTGTTAAAACTCGTCCTCGAAACATGCCACAATGTGAAGCAAGAATAAAATTTAGGAAAAGTCTTTCTCTTAAATCACTTAGCATCATTCGGTTGAGTTCGTTTCTGTTGAAATGCTTTGGTGTAATACCTAATTGTGATGCTATTGAATTAATTAGTATTTGACTTTTGTCTAATTGATAAAGTTTTATTGGAGGGAAATTTTTATTTTAATGTTATGTTTATGTTTATTGAATGAGAAATGATTGAAATTCAACATTTATTTCTCTTCTCTTACAACTTTTGTAATTATGATACAAAAACTCCTATAGTTCAAATGAATGATGCTTAGAATAGTTTAATAATGAACAGGAAAAAAAATTTACAGCACATGTCCAGTTACAAGAACATTTCATCATTAGAGAACCAACTCTTTGCTATACCTATGGCTATGTTTGATAAACAAAAAGGCAGAAAATAATTTTCTCTACCTAACGTTGTAAATAATTCTAATCCCATTTGTTGAGAGGGAATGAATTATTGAATAATTCTAACTAATTGTTAACTATGAGCTCCTCTATGAGGATTAAAGTTTCACGTTTATTTTTAAAGGAAAAATGGGTGAAATCTTGAGAAATTTCACCGGGGAATTTAACTCTCGAAATGATTCTCTATTTCAATTAAATAACATATTGATTAATAGCATTAATAATGCTAACAAAATTTGCAATTAGATTCAAAAGAAACAATTAAAATAAATCACATGTTCATTCTTTTCTTTTCGCACGTTACATTTCATATTTCCCCGCTCAAAAATAGACTCAATTTAGTGTTACCATCGCTTGTTATTATTTTGGTGCGCAGAAATACTTTTTTAGTTTGTTTTGACTTTTGCGCATGCTCAGATATCAATAAATAGGTGTTGAGAAACAAAATAAACCAAGAGCTAAGCTATATCATGAACACTCACACACACAAGCAAGCTAAGTGTCATATCGATTTTTCTGTCTTCGCTCTGAATAGTATCTCAGTTGTGTCTGCTCGATCAAAAAACTCCATAATCAAGGATAAAAACTGTAAAGTTGTGGCTTAAGTTATTTATCTCCTTATCATAAGTGAATTGTAAGTATTTGATGAAGAAATTTTTTCATATGACTTTTGAATTGAAGGTTTCAATTAATTAAAACTTTGATCTTTGATGGCCAATGAATCTAATAATTTAATTTCGCCGGCCTTTCACATTAATCAACATAAAAATGTCAAATATTCTTTTAGAATATTTCTCCGTCGTGATTGAGTAATCAACAAATGATGCAAAGGCGATTTAAATGGGTGTCGCATAATAAGTTTTTGGTAGGCAGTGGTGACGGTGGAAATAAGAAGCCCCATGCAAGGAATCCCAATTTTGATTCAGAAGAGACAAAGTTACTTATACAATTGTGGGGTGATCCTCAAGTTCAAAGAACTCTCATAACAATTCATAAGAAACATCCAGTGATTGCGAAAATTGCTGAGCGAATGCGTTCGCATGGTTACAATCGAAGTACCGAGGAAATTAACACTCGAATAAAGAATTTAAAGTGTTTATATAATCGAATTAAGAAAGATCTCGAATCAGGATTGCTAAACGAACCGAGTTGGAAACATTACGGTGCAATGGATGAAATTTTAAGTCGACCTGTTTTCGGCAATTCAAATAAAGTTCCAACAGGAGCGAATAAAATTGTCATATCACCGATGCCAACATCAACAAATTCTAGTCCACCGCCACTTGAAGGGCCATTCTCGAATCTCGGAAGTCCGTTTCAAATCAAAGAAGAAGACGTTTCAGATGAAAACAATGTCGAAGAGTCAATGGATTTTGAAGGTAGTGAATTACGTCCTGAAGATCTATTAAGCGTCATTGATGATGAAGAACAGAATGAAATTCAAGTTAAATCAGAGCCAATTGAAGTTGATAGTGCGAAAGTTTCAGGAGAGAAAGAGTGAGTTTTAAGTTAAATTTAAAAGCTTTAACTAATATTAAATTTTGTCTCAGAATATCAGATTCGGCGGTAGCCGATTCATCGACTGATCCCGGAATGAAAGAAGGAATTGTCGTGCCAGTTTCTCTACCTTCGTGTACTATAATAAACCCAACAATGACCAAAAATATTATAAATTATTCAAACGACTCGTTAAGTATAGCATCGGTGGTGTCAGGATCACAACAATTATCACATCCCCAGCCACAAACGCAAGCTCAACCAATTCCAATATCTCCAAAGAACGCTTCACATGCGTCAAATAAAATTAGTTTAGTTCCAACGAAACTTCTCTTAAAATCTTCTACAGTTAATAATTATAAAGCAACACCCACGATAGTCTACAGCAGTGTACAATCATCAACATCAGTTGCTGGAACTATCACGACAAATGCACAAAGTTCAATTCCAATGAAGTTTGTTGTTGTTAATGCTGTGAATAACAATGCAAATGCTCAGCAAACTGTGGTACAAAAGTCACAACAAATCACATTAAATAAGTCGTTAAGTCAACTTCAACAATCACAGAATTCAGCTTTTCTGGCTAATAAATTTATTGGAAGTACGCAAGGTCAGAAAGTTCAAATTGTACAAACAACAAACTTCAATTCTGTACCAAAAGTCTCAACAACTGTTACGAATGGTGATATGAACAGTAGTAAAGGAAATCAGAAGCTTCTAGGGACTAAATTACCAGGTGAGTTGATTTTTTGAATATTTATCAGTGATAGTGATACAAAAATATTTCCCAGCTATTCGAAACCTATTGACAAACATCGTTGAAATTGAGAATCAAAGGCTTGAAATTGAAAAACAACGTTTTGAATATGAGAAAAGTGTCGGCAATGAACTTTTATCAATGCTTAAAAGTTTCATTTCTTCATCTCAATCAACAACTTGTGAAAGTAATCTTCAAGATGCCAAGGAAAAGTCACTTGTCGATTAAAACTTCTTCAATTATAATATTAAAAGTTCTGTGAATTTTTTTTAATTTATTTTCCACTAAAATTCTTGTCAATAGATTTTTAAAACTCATAAACGAAGTGATAAATTTTTGTCATAGAAATTAAGAACGAAAAGAAAGTATGAACATGTGTGATTGATTATTAATAAAAAATTAATTAAGTGACACAAAAAAACCGAATTATGCAAATGAAATTGATTTTTCATCATCTAATGATGGTGGTGGAGTTGTAGGTAATGGAGGTGGAATATCAGAATCATCAGCTACAACCTTATTAAGTTGATTGCGATGTTTATCTACGCGATTCCAAACATCGTCTTCTTCACTATCGGAACTCATTGTTATCGAGTCAGGTCGCGAAATTATTTGTGTTTCACTATGAAATGATATTTTCTTAGGCACTGGACTGACAGAACTTTCTGTTGACTTCAAAATGGATTTGGGTGCGAGAAGATTATCGTTTGTTGTTTCTTCATCTTCTGCTTTAATATCAACAATTTCTATTGATGAAATAGTTCCATCTTCAAACTTTTTGATAACAGAAATCGGTGGTGTTAAACTTTTCTCGTTTTTCTTTTCATTATTCAAAGGTTCAAAAACCTCGACAGGGATTTCAATTGTTTTTAATGTGACTTTGTCATTATCAGTAACATCGGGAAGTTTATCATTAACTTCCTCGACAGTAAATCTTGTATCAGTTGTTTGATTTACTTCCTCATCGTTTTTGTAATCTGTGTTCAAATTTGAAACAACTGTAAAGGTTCTTACATCACCCACAGACAATTTTCTTCCTTGGACCTTTGAATCAACTTCTGATATTTCATTTGGATTTGATTGTTCAGAATGTTTCACTTCAGTTTTAACTTTTACTTTCAGAAATATCTCATCAGCTACAATGTTATCAGAATTAGTAACGATTGACTTGTCATCATCATTTGAAGCATTTTCGATCTTCTGAACGTTGTTGGTCGTTGAAGCGCTGGATGTGCGATGAATTAATTTTTTCGTTCTTGGTTTGATACGTGGTGGAGTTGTCGGAATTTCAATATTCTCAACAATTTCATTGATAGTTGCTTCTTTCGGTTTTTTCAACTCAACTCTTGGCTTTTCAAAGCTATCTTCCCTTGATTTACGTTTCATGGGCGTGGGTGGTAACGCAGCTTCAGGTGAACCTAACGATTTAGCACTCTCAGCTTTTTCTATTTGCGCTTCGAATGTTTTTTCATAGAAATCGGAATTTACTTCTTGGAATTTTACGGCTTTTTCCACGGAATCTTTAATTTCGTTTTTATCTTCTTTCTTATCTTCACCATTTTCGAACGTTTTTTCGTTTTCTTCGTTGTTGATATTATTTGAATGAATTTGAATATTTGAATCAAAATTTTGTGGTTTTTCTGAGCTTTCAGAATTGTCAATAGCAGACACGTTTAAATCCTCAATCGATTGAACTTTCACGATGTTTATCTTTGGTGTTTGAAGATCTTGAGTAATTTCTTGAATCTCATAATCATCAACTGATCGTTCTCTGTATTGCTTTGGGCTTAAATCCTGACGCATCACCAAGTCAGGCATCGATGCGCTGTTGCGTGATTGCAATTGTTCATGAATTTTACGTTTTAAACTTTCGTTCTTCTCAATCATGGCAATTTCCTTTTCTCTTTCTGACAATTTATTTGATGTTGAAGCAGTTTGTTGAATTGTCGTTATCTGAGTATCATCACGACTTGAAGGCTTCGTAAAATTTATTTTGTTCTTGAATGGCATACGGAAAATACTTTGACGATCATCTGTTAAATAAATAATTACAAAATTATTAATAAATGTCAAAGTAAAAGTTATTAATCACTGAAAATTAATCTTAACAGCATATATCAATTAATACTGAGTGTGAACAGTTTCAATTGATGATAAGACATGACGAATGACTATGAAGCACTTCATACACTTGTTTCACTCACTGTTTTTCGCCTTTGGTTTTACATCATTTGGATTTATTTTTGACGGAGATTTTTCCGAGAGTATAATCGTATCAATGTCAGTTGATTTACGATAAACGCCTATCGAACAATTCTCTCGATATTCTGTAAATGAAGTTGTCCTTAACAGAACTGGACTTACTTCAACTCTTTCAGGCTGTTCTAATGTTAGCCGATGACGAAACCAACGAAATTTTATTCCCATCGCGTTGATAAAGTTGACAAGATAAGTTAACAAGATGATTGATAAGAAACTTTGCTAACAAATTTTCAAAGTTACTAATAGAAAAGAAATTCATCATATTAATTGCCATTAATCCAAGCAATCGGAAGTTGTTCTCACCAATAAATTTAATTAAAACTTTTGATTTCTGGTAGCGAACTCATCAAGGAGAAACAAACGAACAAACTGTAGGAAAGGAATTTTTCCTAAGTCGCGTATCAAGGTAGGAATGAATAAATATGCGATAAGATAATTGTACACAATACCGTATTGTTAACATTCAGATACTCTTCAATTTTTTTTTGTATTCTTTGAAAAGCTATTAATTTTTTATAATTTGTAGTCAAATTAAGTTTCTTTTAATTGTGTGCATGTTGTCGGAACTCCACACAGACGGAAGCTTTGTTCTTCACAATTTCAACAAGGTCTCATTCTCTTCTTATGAAAAGCAATACAAAACTATTTCATTTCGCAAAAAAGAAGCATTTTTATTAGGTATTAGTTTAAAAAATGATTGAATTCATAATTGTTGCGGTTTAAATATTTATGAGAAAGAAATGATGTGCAAAACAATACAATAAACGCGAGAAGAAGAAAAAATGCACATTTATGGAGATAAATGGAAAATTAATTAATCTCATTGAGTGATAACGATTTTAGATCATTTTTGTTGCTTTCGTCTTGTGATGTCCCAATTATAGATTCGCGCCATTGCTACTTCAACAGTCGTTTGTTGATTCCTCAAAAATTCCTTTAAAAAAAGAGAAAAAATTATTTTTAAAAGAAAATCCACATGAGAATAATTTATATTTCATACTTGATCATGCTCAAGACACCGAAGATTCATACTAGCTGAATCTAAGTTTTGTTTTAATAGCTCTTCAGCTTCATCCAATGGATATTCGAGCATGACATTAGCACCAAGCCATAGACATACTGTCTTTGTTTTCTGGATGACTGACTTTACAAAAACTTGCTCACTTAGAAGAATGTTTGTTTGTAACTCATCTTCTTCTTGCTCTTTTAAAATTTTAATCATCTCAAGTGACTTTTGGAGATCGGGAAGTTGTTGTCTTAATCGTCGCTTACGAGCAATCATGTTCATTTCCATAAATTTATATTTGCTATGTTGTTCGTCAAGCGATTTCAAAACTTTCTCTGCCTGAAAGTTATTTTCTGGTAAGGCCATAAATTGTTCAACATCGTCCTTAAATTAAATGGAAGGTTTCAGCATAAATTGAAAATTAAAAATCATTTGATCGGAAAAATATTTTCTTGGTTATAAAATGAAATAATTTTTAATTGGCAAGTCTTTTAAAAGCTACTCACAACAAACACAGCCTTTGGTATTCCAGCATAGCTTTCTTGCCCTTCAGGAAGAGCTGGTAAATCTTTAGTTCCAGCCATTTCTATTATTATTTTTTTCCTTTTAAGACCGAACTTCTTAACTTTTCAATTTTTTTGTTCTTGCTATGTTTCTTTCTGTCCGACTGTCCGCAATATTTTTCTATGTTTTTCAATTCGTTCAGTAAACATTTTCACACGTCACGTGGTCATCCTACCGATGAAGTAAACAAAAACCTCCCACAAAACATTGTAAGTCATTGAAAATCATAAAAGTGTCATATAGAATTCAATTTAAAGTGTTTATTACTGTAATTGATCAGTTGAGAGATTAAAAGTTGATTAAACAAGTTGTCATTTCTTAAGGTAAAGTGAGGAAAGAACAAAACTTTCATTTTTGTGCTTTTTAAGTGTTTTTAAAATATCTAAATTGTGATGGAATAAATAATTTTTTGCTTAATGTGAATTATCATTGTGAAAGAACACTTTCAAAGGAATTTGGAAAAGATATCACCGAAACATTTGCAGTGTAATGATTACATGCAATACATTAATAGACTTTCATTAATTTCGCAAAATGACGTCATTTAGAAACCTTCAAGATTAAACAAACTCATTATGAACAAATCTAAATTAAATTTTTATCGTTAATGAAAGAATAAAAATACATCTACCTACTGTAGGTAATATAACAAGTGTTCAATGTGTGAGAAGAAACTCAATATTATGAAATACTTTAACATCGACATTTCATTCTCTCTTCTTTTTCCATCACGTTTCTTTCTGGCGTTTCTTGTTAGAGCGTGAAAAAAAAGAAATTTTCGGTTTTTCCAAAGAAAAGTGAGGTATAAAGAAAAATTTATGTATGTAATTCGTCTAGGCTGGCTTTCGTCATCGCTTAGACAAAAATTGTACAATTTGTTCAAATCACGATGACTAAACTATTTTCTTCACTCTCAAGGATGTTTTTAATGCTCTACAATTCGATTTAAGCATTCAGTTCTAAGAGAGCGGTTGTGCCGGCAACAACACAATCAATATTTGCTTTGCTTGAGTGTAATATCTAAATGAATTAATACGCACAGTTTGAGTTTTTCGAAGCACTTTGAGAATACGCAGAAAAAATTATCGAAAGGTTCGTGGGAGGTTTTTGAAGTTTAATTTTCACTGCGAATCATGACACTTCAGAAATTGAAATTGAAATGATTAAAGTATTTAAAACCGGAAAAGAACTGATAAGATAATTATGGAACTCTTAGTAGAGTGGCAGTGATGAATGATGATACAATTCCATTCGCAAGTTTTAAATATTACGATTACTTGAAAACGTAATCAAGAGTTTTATGAATTCTTTAGCAATGATAAGCATTTCATTGAGTGTTACATTTTCATTTACTTCTAGATTGAAACTTGTTTGACCAGATATGGGACTTTTGACCGAAGGAAGTCCACTCTCTTGGGAAGAAACGAAAAAACTCGCAAATCATGTCAGAGAGCATGGAATTCAGCAATTTATTAATCTTTATGAGAGATTAAAGGATCGTCAAGGTGACATTCTCAAATGGGGTGATGAAGTTGAATATGTGCTTGTTAGGTTCGATGACGACAAACAAGTTGCACAAGTGTCATTACGTGCACTGGACATTCTGTCAAAACTACAGGAAAAAGAACAACAAGATCCAGATGGTGTTAAATCTCTCTGGCGTCCGGAATATGCTGCTTACATGGTTGAAGGAACACCAGGAAAGCCTTATGGAGGACTCTTAGCGCATTTCAATGTCGTCGAATCATCAATGAAATATAGACGTGAAGAAGTCGCAAAACTTTTAAATTCTAACGAAGCTGTCATGTCACTAACAAATTTTCCACGTCTTGGAAGTCCAAAATTTTCCTATCCATCACACGATGTCCGTCCTGACGATCCCGAATGTGCTGCTCAATCGCTTTACTTCCCTGACGAAGCAATTTTCTCAGGACATCCACGATTCAAAACTTTGACGAGAAATATTCGACAACGAAGAGGTGAAAAAGTTTCCATCAATCTTCCCGTGTTTATGGATGAAAAAACTAAAATTCCTGTGGAGGGATCACTTCCTGGTATGGAGAATTACGTTCATATGGATGCGATGGGATTCGGGATGGGTTGTTGTTGTCTTCAACTCACATTTCAAGCATGTAACATTAACGAAGCTCGTTATCTCTACGATCAACTGACACCACTTTGTCCAATTATGTTGGCGTTGACAGCAGCATCGCCAGTTTATCGTGGATATCTAACTGACATTGATTGTCGTTGGAATGTGATCTCGGCTTCAGTTGATTGTCGAACACAAGAAGAAAGAGGATTGAAGCCGTTGAAGGAGAATAAATTTAGAATTCATAAGTCACGTTATGATTCAATCGACAGTTACTTATCACCAGAAGGTGCAAAATATAACGACGTTCCATTAACATATGATCAGGATGATTATCAGAAGCTTCGTGATGGTGGGATTGATCACTTGCTTGCTCAACACATTGCACATTTGTTTATCAGAGACACGGGTGAAATATTTAACAAAATTTTCTTCTTTTTTGAATATTTTTGTGACCTTTTAAATATTTTTCTAGTTTCCCTCTTTAGCGAGAAGATTCATCAGAATGATGAAGAAGAAACTGATCATTTTGAAAACATTCAATCAACGAATTGGCAAACGATGCGATTCAAACCGCCACCACCAAATTCGCCAATTGGTTGGCGTGTTGAATTTCGACCATGTGAAGCACAATTGACAGATTTTGAGAATGCTGCGATTGTTGTTTTCGTGGTTTTACTCACGAGAGTTATTTTGTCATTCAAGCTAAATTTCTTGCTTCCAATTAGCAAAGTTGACGAGAATATGCAAAAAGCACAAAACCGCAATGCATGTCTTAATGAAAAGTTTTGGTTTCGTCGAAACTTTAGTGAGAAGAAGAACGATGAATCTTGTGAACCGTGCGATACCGAATCAGGCTGCGAAGGATGTGAACTTTGGACGGTAAATGAAATCATCAATGGTAAGGACAGTTTCCCTGGTCTTATTGGTCTCATTAATCAATACTTGGCGAGTATGGAAGTTGACACAGACACTCATTGTTCGATTCAACAATATTTGAAGTTGATTCAGCGAAGAGCCTCGGGAAGTTTACTGACAACTGCTTCTTGGATAAGGAAAGAAGTTTTGAGTCATCCTGACTATCAGTAAGTCTCAAATTTTTTCTTTTTTTCTCCATTTAAATGATTCTTAAATATTCCCATTAGGAACGACTCAATTGTCACTGAAAAAATTAATTACGATCTTCTAAAGAAAGCGAAGAAGATTCAAGAAGGTTTATTACCATGCAATGAACTTATTGGTTGTTTTATGAATTCAAAAACAGCTGAAGAAATTCCACCAGCGATTGCAAAGCAACATCAGACGCCAGTAACATCAAATCATCTTACAAATGGCAATTAAGGAAACGACGAAACGATACGTAATTAGATTTAAGCAAATTAACTTCGTGTGATAACATGAAAATTATTTTTTAGACACATTGAGGGAATAGAGGGAAAGTTTAGTTGAGTGCAAATTTCACTCTTCGTCTACTTATGTGTAGAAATTTTATTATTTTATCCATTCAAAGTGCACTTAGAGATACCTTTTAATTAAGTTTTTGATAATAATTAAGTTGCAGAGCATTTAGAAAAGGCAACGAATGAAGAACAAAATGTTAATTAACAAAGTGCGGGTCGTTAATCAAATTGATTGCATATTTAGTTCCTTGGTAAAGTTTTCTTTTCATCTTTTTTTTTATTATTGCTACTTTCTTTTCAATTTCATTTGTTACTTATCATTGTTAATAAATAAATAGTACAAAGCCGTGAAAAATATTTCGATTCATCTTCGTGTTTAAAAAATTTGTAAAACGAAAATGTTAAGAGAGAGCAGATGGAGGGATTGTGTCGGTTACTTTTCTTTTGTTCCGGAACATAAACCAAAACCCTTAAATAGAGTCACAAAAACATGCCTATACACAATCTTTTTTTACAACTTTACACAATATCGTAGATTAGAATCAGATCAGAAGTATTATTAAAGCTTATTGACTTTAGATAAGATTACAGTTCATATTAACCTAATTATTGATTGAGCAAGAAAGCATATTGAATGGAAACAACAAAAATTACGTTTCATCGTGACATTTGAAACCAAATTTTGTTGTAAAAGTGAAATCAGATGAATCGCTGATAAATATTTTTAATAAATTCTTTGAAGTTAGCAAATAAATTTTACGAAAGTATGGCGATTAGAAAAGGCAATTGAATCTTTCTTTTATCTTCCTCGTTTTGATTTCTCTCTCAGTTTTATTAAACATTTTTTTCTTTCAGCTTTAAGCATCGAATTTTAAAAATTCTTATAAATATTTTTTATTTTTTTTTGACACACACTAAAATTTAGTTTGACATTAGGAGAAAGTTGTGAAAATAAAATTAAGACAGCAAATATTTAGTTCAATTATTTCCTTGTTAGAGCAATGAAACTGCAATGAAAGCTTCTGTACTGAAGCTCTCGTTGATGCGTACGAAAACAAAAGCTTTCCTTGCAGTTCTGTCGCTTATAAAGAAATGATTTGAAGTACGATTTGGCTGTCGAAATTTCATTCCCGCAATTTTCTCTTTACGTCGTTTGGTTTTCATTCTTCTTCATTTTAATTAAAGTTTAAGTACAGTGCATGCTTCCTATAAACAATCCAAAGGGAGCCACAATTTATGCAGTTATTGAGCTTGCTTATATGAAGCTTGCACTGTATTTCATTTTTATATCAAATAGTTTTCATTCGAATTAGACAACGATAGCAATGCGTCTTCTTGTTTTGTATGACTCAAAGAATTACAGAATATCTAATTCATTTTAACGAAAGAAAAAGAAAATTAAACTTTTCACAGCAATAAAACTAGAATTTTTCCATTTCAAAACAATCAGAAACTTAACAAAATCTTCTCTTTAATTTCCTTTAAATTTTTTTTCTAATCTTTAGCTTTACTTTGCTTTTAAAAAGCTAATTAAAAATTGAAGAATGAAAAGTTACAAACTTCATTATATCAAAAAATATTCATTTCATTTTTTATCTAAAAACTTAAGTTAAAGTGATAAAAAGTCAAAAAATTAAAAATCTTCTAAAGTTGCAATTTCTTTTAATTAAAAAAGTGTTTCTGTTTTACAAACTTCAATTTCAATCGATTGAGAAATAGCGAAAAGCGTAAGAAGATTTTTAAGGGGGATTACTAACATTTATTAGATGCTGGTCTGAACAGGATAACGTGAGTTGATCTTTGAAAACAAAATATCAAACTTTAGAAGATGATCCAAGACCACAATTCTCATAAAACTGAATAAAAAAATGTTTATGATAAATTTAAAGAAGATTGTGTGTAAAGAAGAACATGTGAGGGACACAGAATAAGGAAAAGCAACAGATTTAATTATGTAAATATAAAAAATTGTTTCTACTCGTGACGAACACCACATATGGAGATGAATGTTCCGTAATTCTGAAGATAACACGAAGGTATCACCGTAAAAGCGATATTTGCTGTCTTCGTTGCATCTTTAAAGCTCTTCATTGTCTTGATTATTAAATTAGCTGGCGATGGATTCATAACTTGATAAAAAATTCGAAAATGAATAGCAGGAACATTTTCAGTTGTTTTTGGATATCCCTGCATGATTTTACTCAAATTATATTGCATGATTTCATCCAAATGACTTTCATTGAGTGAAGTCATGAGCGTTTCATGTCGTTGCTTCATTTCATCGGTCATATCAGTAAGTTTCGTAGAAGATGATGTTTGACCTTTAATGAAATTAAGAAATATTTATCAACATCGTTTACAAGGAAATTTCAAGCACACCTGTTGATACATAACAGATTATAGCAGCACAATTATTCTCATAATTCCATCGGCGACGAATTGAAATTACGTATTGATTGCCAACAGAACATCCGGTTTCTTCATCTGATAAAAAATCGTGTCATAAGTTGAATTTTTTTTAACGAAAATTGAAACTCACATTCAAACTTATTGTTGTGCGTGTGAATCCAAACTTGCCATTCGACAAGCGCTTTTCTCGGTAGACCTGGCACGACTATGTAATCCATTATCGCGTTAGCTGTTCGCCTTTCCTATAAATCAATCAAAAAATTCTTCTCATGAATTCTATAAACAAGCAAAAAATAGAAAAATTTCTTCACCCATTGACGCCTCGCTTCACTGATATAGCTTGGATGAGTGACAAAACAAATACCTTGCACAACATCACGAAGTTGTCCATGTGAGTTCATTGCTTTGGCAATTCGATTGATGTGACGAAGTATCAATTTACATTCCTGTTTTATTCCACCACTGATTACTTTCATATTACCAGGAATCAAGCCAATTTGTCCACTGATGTAAGTGATTTCACCAATTTTGGTTGATTGCGAATATGGTCCGATGTTAGCTGGTGCCCAATGGGAAATTCCTTGAACATGCATTGTATGTCGCTTGTAATCAGTTTCTTTAACATGCCCGGTCTTAAATGCAACCGCTTCCATGATTATATGACAGCCATGTGGTAGGCACGTTTCAACACAAACACGAGTTGGTGGATTTTGGAAGTTAAATCTCTGGATGTAAACATCATTCAAGATTGAGTATTCACTGATGTCGCGAACATAGATTGTGATGTAACAGATGTCGTTCAACTTCATTGAATGTTCCAGAATGATTTCTGTTTCAACGTCAATTGAATAATCAATTTTCTTTCTCATTTTGTCTTAAACATGACTCACTTACCTTCAAGTTGATTCATCGCTTTCTCAACTCCATCTTTTGTTGTTTCTCCTTCACCTTAAATTTTTAATTTTACGTTTTGCAATCAGTTCATGAAAAGATTTTTCAATTTACCTTGAATGCTAGAAATCCAATGCCATCCTTTTGAGTTTGAAACAACATGAGGTTGATTCTCTAAACGATTCTGTTCGTATTCGAATTTCATTTCTTCTAAAGTTTCCTGTTCTAAGCTGTTGTTTTTTGTCATGTTCATGCTTTGACTGCGACTGTTAATCATTTAATTATTAATCATCGTCATCATTATTTACTTATTTGCTTACCTGAAATTCCCAGCAAGACTTCCACTATGACTACTTGGCATTCCTGAATGTTTTGCAAAATTCTCTTTCTCAATGAATTCCAACTCAGTGTCAGTTAAATCCGGATCACTCAGGTCACTGTAGGATGAAGAATTAAGTTCATTGATGAAGTCCAACGAATTTTTTATCACATATTCTTTGAAGTCCGATGGTTCTTTTGCTTCAAGATGAAGTTTTGTAAAGTTTATGTAGCCAACAGGACAAACGGGATCCGATGAACTTATAATAACTTGATGATCGTCACTTTAATTGAAATAAAAGATAAATGAGATTAATTTTAATTGATGTGACATTTGGATTAACATGTCGACCTACATAACGATCCGTTTTTTGAAGAGCGGACAGTCGAGAGTAAAAGTTTCATATTCACCGCCTTCGCCACAAATGTTGACACCGTATTTATCGTGCATCTTCAACAAATGTCCTTGCATATCTCTTATTGACTTTCCCAAGTGTCTCTCGGGCGTTAAGCCCAACGATGCCACTTTAATTATAATAGCTTCAAGTTGACAATCAATCATTTCTTGTAATAGTTCGCCTTGGTCTCGTCGCCATAAATAGGCTAACGAAGTGAGATTCAATCGTGAACATCTAGGAAGAAGACAAGAAGCATTGAAAATTAATTAGATTTATGTAAAGAAGGAAAGCTTACACATTCTCGCATCGAACACGTTGGTAATCAGAGAAAATTGCACCAACAGAGACTGCTTCAATCTGCATCTCGTCCTAGATAATAATCACAAAGATTGAATGAATTATTATTAAACTGACTTGTTTATTTGTTTACTCACTTTAACTTGCTTTAAAAGCTCATACAAATCTTCAACTTCATCGTCCTCTGTCGGTTCATAAATTTTTCCTTTTTGCGTTGTCAACCCGGAAGTGGTTTTCCGATATAATGGAAGTTCCATGGCTTCTGCAAGCATCTCGATGCCCATATGACCAACAGTTTGATACATAAACGAATCAAGTTCATCTGAAAGATGAGACAATGACATCACTTTCTTATTAAATATACACTTCATGTCAATCACCTTTATCTGCTGGATGTAAATTTGCTAGTGCAACAATCTGCATTTGAGATAATGAGAAAAGGGAAAAATTCTGTTTTCTTTTTTCTTCCATCAGTAAAATTTTCAGCTTTTTTTACCTCATGTCCCTCGCTTTGACAGCATAACATATTGAAAGTTGAATCCTTTCCACCGCTGACTAATGCAACCACTTTCATTTTGCTTGTACTATTATAAGGTTTTATTCTATTGCTCTTTGATAAATGATCGCTTTGTAATTATGTAAAATTCCTTGGTGAGACAAAAACAATGAAAAAAAAAAGATTTTTCTTTCTGGTGTTGCAATTAGGATTTTACGAAAACAAAACCAAAACTAATGGATGGTAAATGGTAAATCTGAGGCGAATCACTATAACACTTGATGAGAACCGCGTGTAGTTAGTTTTATCGCGTTATCAGACATTCTAGATTAAAATACTTTTTAAAACTCGTCTGTGTTGGAAATCGGTACCGATTGTGCCTGAAAAGAGCGATTAGAAAGCTACGCGGGTTTACTAAATTTGAATGACAAAAGACCGTTAAATTATTTTAACGTTTTCTCGTTATAAATTTTATGACCTGTTAAGTTATATTTTAACGATTATTGGTCCCAACTGTACAATGTATCAGGAGCTAATGATTCATTTAAAATTTTTAAGTGATAATGTCTTTAATGACTCATTGCTCCATCATTATCATGACACTATTTCTTATTTATTTTTAGATTTTTTTTGCTGTCAAATCTCATGTTTTCCTAATAACGACTGATGGCAATTAAGTGAGAATATTTATTGACTGACATAAAAGCTAGCCAACCACCATTTGTTCAATAAAATTTTTGTACGAGATTAAATTTAATAAAAATATTTTCGAATGAATCTCAATCAAATTCAAGCTGAATTTACTTTGATGAAAAACAAAATTCTTTATTTCTACTTAGATTCGTTGACATTAAATATTCGTATAAAAATCACCAGACGGTCATAAACAAGAAGCAACACGTGATAGAGAATGATTAAGTGATATTGATGATTTCCTAAATTTGTAATTATTTTATTAATTATATTTATTTTAAATTGGAGAAAATTAATCTCAATCTGAAAAATGAGGAAAAGTTTTAAAATAAAACATTTAAATTTACGTGGAATTATTTTTATTTTCTTCGCAAACTGTTAGCTTACAGCGTTATAAATGAATTAAAAAACTATTTATTTTGACAAATTTATTCAATCAACTCTTTTGTTAGACAAAAAATTCCCTAAAATGTTCTTTTTTGTGTTTCTGACATGTTGATTATTGACATGATAAACTTAAATGAATACAATTAAAAGGAGATTTCAAAACTATTTTAATAATTAGTTTACAAGTTTTCTTTATCTATAGATAAGAAATATCATTTGACACAAAGGAAAGAAGAAAGAAAAATGCAAAAAAATTAGTTTTTGTTATCAAAACCATGTTCAGATTCGCAATATTCAATTATCTTCATCTAGTTAAGATATTTTATGCAGGTTTTAATATTCATCGGTTAAATTTCTTCTTCATGTTATTCATCTCATAAAAATTATCGTTAATTTTTGTATTTTAGACGATTATCTATGTAGGAAGCATTTCAATGGGTGATACCAGAGACATAAATGTTCATTTGATTTGAGCACCACTTGTGATTGATTATTCTCATGGAAATTAAATTATAAATTTATATCTCATCTCTTGATAATATTTCATGTTTTTCTTCTTCTGTATAAGACTTTTCTGGCTCATAAAAAATGATTTGCACGGCAGTTTCTGTAAAATCTCCATTCATTCGAACTGAGAAGCGTTCAGCATTCATATTTGATATTTATGAACTAAAATGAGCCTCAAAAAATTGAATATTCTTGCAATCGTTCTGTTTATTCTTAAACATTAATTTACTCATAGAAAAATTATCACAGTTTCAACAGAATGAAGTCATTCCAATCAACTTTCTGTTCTGTTCATTCGTGTCGTTCAAAGACAATATTTTATCTCCTGTTTTGGAACTTATAATTAACTTCTTCTAATATCTACCAGAAATTGTGTTCAGCTCTTCAACAGGAGCATTTGTCGTTAATCTGATCATGAAAGGAAATAATAATAATAAACTTAAATTAAAAATTATTTTATTGTAATGAGGCCAAAGTTGAGTTACTCATGTAGGATGTAAGATCTTGATAACTAAACTGATGAGTGAAAAGAAAAAAGAAAAGTTTCAAATGAATACAAAAAACTCATTTTGAAATAGATTCAAAAATAAACTTACTTGTGAGAAGTGCGGTTCTTCTTGAATTGATTGTAAATGAACAGCGGGATCTGGTGGTGTCAATTCCACACTCTCCCCAGTAAATTCTGAGTCGAAGTAACGTGTGTCAGTGTCTGATGTGACTTGAGGTTTAAACGGTGGCACAATTTTCTTATTGACTAAATCATTCCAATTAATACATGCGAAGAACGGATGAGCCATGATTTCTCTGACATCATCGGGCCCACCGCCAAGTCGTTTCTGTGGAGTTTTTTCCAACAGTCCACTTAGCAATGCCTTCGCTTCATTTGAAATATTTCTAGGGAACTTTACATCTTCCAGCATGATCAATGTGAAGAGAACGTCGTGATCACGATTATAAAAAGGCAAACGACCGCAAATCATTTCGTACATAACGACACCAGTTCCCCACCAATCCACAGCACGTCCATAATCATTATCTTCAAGCACTTCTGGCGCAAGATATTCAGGAGTTCCTGTTCATTTAATTAATGATTCAAATTAAAACAAATTCTTTTCTTGAAAGTTTCTTCAATTTACCACAAAATGTTTTTGTTGTTCTGCCATAAGTAATATCTTCTTTACACAAGCCGAAATCTGCAATTTTAATATGCCCATCTTTGTCCAATAATAAATTCTCCAATTTTAAATCACGATAAATGATATTGTGTGAATGTAAATATCTGTGACAAGAAAGAGAAAAAGGAAATCAGTGAGTGAAACAATTAAAAAATCATCAAACGAAGATCATTTTGATTTATTCGACATTATACTTACTTAAAGATATGTTTGTGTTAAACACATCAGACAAACTGAGACAGAGAGAACGTCAAAGTAAATAACAGAAAAATAATTAAAGGCGCGTGGCAGATTGTGAGTAGAAATGTCAAGACTGTCACAAGTGAGAAATGTTCTTCTTTTTTACTTCTCGTTTATTTTCTTTTACAAGTAACTGTAGCGTAAATCGAGTGATGTCTCGATTCAAAAGCCATTTGAAGACATGTACGCATTCATAAGTAAGTTGTATGACTCAACGTCTTGCAATGTTTGCAACTTTTTTCGAAATTCTTTTTTCTTCACATGTCTCATTGAAAGAAATGAAACCTTTCAACGCCTCGACAATGAGAATTTAATTTTCTTTTTATAAAATGCGAAATGTTATTTGAAGAATTAAAAATATTTATTCGCACAATAAAATGTATCAGAGACTACCAACTCACGATGTAAACATCATCGTCGCCAAACGATTACTTTGCATTTAATTTCACACACTCTGAGTGCTTATCTACCTTTTTTCTGCATTTTCATCGACGCCAGAGATTGGAATAAGATAATGTAAAAATTCACGAATAAAATAAATTTAATTATCGAGTGAAAATAATGAAAAACATTCGTGGAAAATAAACATTAAGTAATCTCAATTTCAATTCTTATTCCTGAATATTTTCTCAAACAATTTCAACATTTTAAACTCACTAAAATAAATATCGATTTCTGTTTTCTGTGCGCCTTAAAGAATTTGCAAAAAACAAACATAAAACATTGCAAACACCCGCGCAACATTTTTTTAAATAAAATTATTTTAAAAGATTTTTTTACTCGCTAATGTCATCATGAAAATATCGCGAGATGATAATATTTTAGCCATAACAAAATTCGCATTTAAAGTGGCACATGCAGGTGGGAGCTGCAAAAGAAACTGTCAAAATGCCAACATAACAAAAATTTCCAGAGAAATATTGTGCAAATAAATTGCGCATCTGCACATTTTGTTTTCTTCGTGTTTTTCACTTAATGGAGAAATAACTTCAAATTTTAATTTCGCGTGGCTAAATAAATAAGTAGATCATCACTTTAACCGCGAAGGTTTAAAGAAAACAACAGAAAAAACATCAAAGAAACTTGATGAAAAGGATTAGTCACAAAAAAGACGGCGGGGAATGTGCATCGCTAAGCGCCATCCCAAAAATAAGCTTCATATCGTCAATGAGTGAATATTTAAACAACCAGCTGGTCGTCAATTAAAGCGCAACGGAAAGCGCCGTAAATAATTTAATTAAAATTAAACCTCATTTCTTCTCGCCTTGCTTATAGTTCGTAACAATCATGCAATCAAGTGCTAGAGTGGGAAATATCATTTGTTGTTGATATTGTCAGAAAGATACGGAGGAGTGTGAGAGAGAGAAAGAGAATCGCACTTAAAAATAGCAAAATTTTTAATTACCCCAAGGCTGAGATGATTTCTGCACCATAGAATCGTGTTCGTTCCTCAGAAAAGATGCGATCGCGACTCAAATGGAAAAACAATTCACCGCCGTTGACATATTGCATCACAAAGCACAAACGTTCGTTGGTTTGAAATGAATATTTAAGTGACTGCAAAATAAAAGTAGAAATGAAAGGGAAAACATTGCTTTAAATAAATTACTTATTTAAGTTGAATGTTTGTTTGTTTTTGCTTTGAACTTACGATTAAAAACGGATGATTTGTTTTTTGAAGAACTCGATTCTCAGCCATTGTGTGTTTGACTTCATCCTTTTGAATGATGACTTCCTTCTTTAAAATTTTTATAGCAAAAAGTTTTCCGGTGGTTTTTTCACGACATAAAATTACTTTCCCAAAAGTTCCTTTTCCAAGGACTTTTAAAAACTCAAAGTTTTCTAAAGTCTGCAATTATTGTCGTTACTCAATTGTCATCTTCAAGCTTAGTCTGAAATACTTACGACTTTCTTTCTTCCACTAATTTTTCCTCTCGACGTCCCTTGCAATGAAAATTTCTCGTTCAACAGCTCATCTTCAGCAATTGACGCCATTTCAACATCTTCTGACATTTCTTGTTGACGCTGTTGGTCAATTTCACTTAATCGATTGGCAACACTTCTGCAAATGTATCATAATGTCAAATTAATTCAAGAAAATTAACGATAATCGTCATTTAGTTGATTCATCGAATTTTGGTATTTATCAACAAACCTACGCATGTAGGAAGAAAAAAATTTTTCCGAGAAAAGAAAATCAGCGCAATTTAGAAGAAAACACAAGTTAAATTTTTTGGAGAAATGTTCATCGTTGAAATTACGATTTGAAGACTTTTATCTGTTTCTCTTTTACGTGTTTAGAATATAAAAAAGACTAACGTCATCAAAATATTTTTTTTTTATCAAATTAAATTGAAATTAAATCGTCACAAAGAAAATTTATTTATAAAGTTGCAGACGTAATTTGAGATGTTTTTGTTATGTCTGCAAACGTAAGCAGTCAACGATTGTTTTTCAGACAAGTGTTCAAGTGTTCTTTCATAATATTTTTGAATACAAGAAAGTATTGATAAGCGACTTCTGCAATCGATTACAACGATTGAAGGTCAAACCTTATTTTTAATTACAATTCACAACTGCGATAAATATTTTGTTGTTCATTTAAGCCAATCAGAATTTATTAATGTCGAGTGAATTGAACTTTGCTTTTAATGTGTGGCGCTAAAATGTTGACGTGCAGATAGTCATGTGACTTAAAAATTGTCGTGTCTTGATGAACTATCGATTGATTCTGTTTCAAAAATTGTCAATATTTTGCCGTTTTTACTTTTTATGAATAAAAAAATAAGTACATCAAATACAAAACACCTGAATTATCTTTGTTAGAAAATTAAATAACAAAGTTTATTTCGAAAATAGAAAAATAAGTTTAACCGATAACAACACATGACTCTTTATGAAGCAAACAAGTACTTTCAATAGGCGCCAATTGATTGTCGTAAAAAATATGGCAATAACTATCGAAACAGAATTTGCTCGAACTGCGCGACACTGAAATCGTCATAATAATTGTTTTAAACATGCGACAAACATAAAAAAAATATTTTTTAATTTTATTTCTTATTGAAATTTTTTACTGCTAACAGAATCGACAGAAATAGAAAAATTCATTGATAAATTTGAAGCAATCACTTCTGTTTCAGTAAATTTATTATCAGTTTACTTTTTTTTTATTTGTTGCATGCTTCACACTTATTGTGACAACTCATTGATAACGTTTTGCAATCGAGAAAGGCGCTAACGAGCGTGAAATCTTCTGAATGAAGTTTTTAAAACCTCATAAAATTCTTTCAGCATTGAACTGGTTTTCAATTCTTTACACAAAATTGATGACAAAATGTTTTTCTTAATATCGGTCGTGAATTTTATTCTTTGATTAATATATTTGAAGCTAAATTAGTTTGATATTCTAACGAATAAAATTTTATATTTTTTGTCACGGATGAACATTTTTTAACAGATTGCTATCCATCAATATTGATGCTTCTGAGAAGAATATGCAAAGAAGGATTTGCAAACACTTTGACGAGCCGCCAATAAAGTTTAGGTAGAAAACAAGGTTCAAAGCGATTTACTAATGAATGGAAACTTACCGAATGGCATCGACCCATTGGGATCTTTCGTGTTCAGTTTCGACATAGAACATTCTTTCGATGACGGTGGTCAATTGTAGGCCACGAATGATGAATGTGAATGGACGTGGGCGATCCACAGACATGATTTGACAGCGAGCGACGGTGAAGTTATTTGAGGGTTCGGTTGGCACCTGAGTGTCTGGGAAATTCTTGTAACCGACCAATGAACCGTCTGAGCGTAAGATGAAGTAACGTCGACGCCAATTTTTGATGTGTTCGCCACGCTTAAACAACCATCCTTCCTTAATTATTTGACGTTGGCTAACGTCAATATTTTTCGATAATAAATCTGGTATTTGACCTGATTCGATTGACGAACTTTCGAATAGTCGAAGGCCACTTGATGACGACGACGATGCTGCTGTCGTTGAAAGCGACATATTTCTCAATTTATTTATTTATTTATTTACTCTTCACAACACTTCACTGTAATCTTTTCTTTTTCTGTGTTTTTATTTTTCTTGAAAGACTTTTGTCTTTAGGCTTTTCTTTGTCTCGTCACCACATTAAAAACTTGAGCGAATGATCATTAAGAAATATTTTATTTTGCTCAATTTCCTTGTACACAGAACACTAAACGAGGTTCGCACAAGAAAGTTATTTTCACCATTCAACAAAACAACAACGACGACGACGACGACGTAAGAAGTTTTTCTATCTCTTTTTGTTTTTTTTTCTTCCTTCTTTGAGGTATTTCAAGCAACAACAATTTCAGTTTCTTTCAGTTTCCAATGGATCGAAGAAATGCGATTAACAGTTAGATTTCTCGATTTCAACTGAAGAATCTGTTGCGGTTGATTAGCGAGCAGCAGCAGCAGCAGTAACATCAACAGCAATAACAGAGTGTGAATGAATGAATGAATTCAACGACGATGTTGATTGTTCGAAGAGAGAACGGCAACGACCACGACGACGACGACAACGACGAGTGTGTTGTGTTGAAAAATATCATGAAATGAAAAATAGAAGAAATAAAAATTTAAAAATGTAATATCAATTAATGGGAGACGAGACGAGAGGAGCGCGCGCTCGCAGTTGTGAGATTGTATTTCTGTTTTTCTGTGTTTTCTTCATTTTTGGATGGGAAGAAAATCTATTGCGTCATCGCTCTCACATTTCGTCTCGTCTACGAATGTCCAAAGCGAGAGAGAGCATTCCTGTTAACATAGATGATTTCATTTCAAATAATAAGCTAGAAGACGTGAGAGGATCGACCATGAGTTAAATAAGATGAAAAAGAGTTGAAAATATTGCAAAAAAAAATTCCATTCTTCTTGAGTAACTTTTTTGAAATGAATTTGCGTATGCCTCCAACACTTTTTTGGTTTTCTTCTTTGCATTCATTTAACGAATTTCCCACAAATTTTTGCTTTCTTTCATTCTTTTTCTCTTCATTTCAATCACGATGGCTGAGCGTGTTTTGTTATTGTTTTTTCTTTCGCTAAAATCCTTCAAAAATCAGTTCAAGTCCATTCACATTTGCTTGCGGCGAAGAATAAAAATGTCTACAGTCAAAATAAAACGTTCAAATTCTCTTCAAATTATCACATCTTGCTGCATGTGCAGGATATAGAAACGTTATCAGTGTTTACAAATTCATTAATAAATACTTTACACTGTCTTGATAAGTATTTATTAAATAAAAATTCCATTCAGAATATTGCCATTCAAGCTTTTTTGTACTGTGATGAACTTGGTACATTGTAACCATCATTAAAATTAAATGATAGCTTTTTCAAAAATCAAAATATATTTAAATGACGTAGTTATAAACTAAAATTTATACTTTCAGCCTCTTTCTGTATGCCACCATGAAATTATTTAAATTATCCAACTCGTTTTCTAATAAAATTTGTTTTTGAGAGTAAACTGATTATACTAAGAAATTATATTGATCTCATCATGTTTTTAAGATTACCGTTTATTTTTTAACTATTACAAAACTGTTTTATGTCTGATAACTGTAAATAGCGTTAAGAAATTAAAAACTTCGTCTTCAACTTTTATTACCTACTTGAGCTGTTTTGAAATGCTCCAATCCCATAATGTTTCTTAAATATTTATCATTGTCGATACTAATTCACATACAAATATTAGATGATTGAACACTTATTAATATTTCTAATGTATTTAATTTTCACTCACCAAGCTTCTGATCCTATTTTTTTGAGGAATAAAGTAGAGAATATAAATTTTTCGATAAAATGTTTGTAGCTTTCCAGTGGAAGTGATGGAGTACGCTTAGTTGTTCAAATTTTGAACTCAAGAACGCATTAGCATATTTTTGGTCAAAACGTTGAGCACAACTTTATGTATAAAGATAAAACTTTGAACATACTTTTATGAAATTTGTGAACATAAAATTATCACATAAAATTGTTAATTTCTATTTTTACCTTATTAACGTAATTTGTCTAAATAAAGTCGTTAAATCTTATGTTGTTTGTCTTTAATGTTTTCTTGATTTTCTACTGAAAAAGATGATTAATTAAAACAAATTAGGTAATGTCCAAATTGAAGATTTATGGGATTTCACTTAAATCTTACAATAAAAATTTCCTAAGAAAATATTTTTTCAGAAAATATCGTAAGCATAAGGTTCTCGAACATAAACGACAAAAAAAAACAATATTTCTCGAGCAAACGACTTCAGCAGCATGAATTCCGACAACTGAACGTACCTCAACGGGAACATAAAAAGTCATTAAGCGTTCAGAGAAGACGGAAATTATTTTTGCGCGATTTTTCTGTGAAAAAAGTGAATTAAGTCAATAGTTTAATTTTAAATCGCGTAATTATATGGTAAGATTTGGTATTCAAGGCTTGAATATTTTCAAAGTTGTTAGTTTTAAAATGAAATAATAGTAAAAGATTTTTTTACAATGTTTGGGTGAGAAAAAAAACATGGAAATTTCTCAATCATGGCTCGTAATGTCAAAAGTATAAATAAAACGACATTAGAGGGTGTGTGAAATGAAGTAAAATAAATAAATAACGAAATTTCATTATAAAAGAAAAGTTTTAATGGTCAAAAAATACACTTAAGTTATTTGAAGGCTGGTCCCGCCGCTCAAATTACTACGTCTGTCTGGATATTTGTGAGAGTATAAATATTGCCACATTTTTATCATGCCTTTTTTTTCCCTCCCATCATAAACAATTCATGCATCTCATATTACATAGATTTCATAAATTATTAACATACTAAGTACAAACAATATAAAAAACGAAGTTCCTTAAATTTTAAATACTTTTTTTGGTGCTTCTCTTTTCTGCACGAAATGTGAATGGACTTGAAAATTTTTTTGCGAAGCTTCACACACGCTCGAAAATTGTAATTCATAAGAGAGGAAAAAGAATGAAAGTAGGAGTTGACTTGTGCAAATTTAGATAAATTTAAAGCTTATGAATTTTGCCGAATTATTCACAAGTTTATCGTTTGTTTATTGATTTAATCAGAAATGAGATTTCTCGCATTTAAGTTTTGCGCATTTTTTGGCTGATTTTCTGATTTTTTTCTCAACATGAAAGAAAAGAAAAATGTTTGATTTCACATGAGTGGGAAAACGAAAATACTCCGTATAACGTATATCTTTTCTCTCGCTTTGCTATCGTAGACGAGACGAAATGTGAGAGCGATGACGCAATAGATTTTCTTCCCATCCAAAAATGAAGAAAACACAGAAAAACAGAAATACAATCTCACAACTGCGAGCGCGCGCTCCTCTCGTCTCGTCTCCCATTAATTGATATTACATTTTTAAATTTTTATTTCTTCTATTTTTCATTTCATGATATTTTTCAACACAACACACTCGTCGTTGTCGTCGTCGTCGTGGTCGTTGCCGTTCTCTCTTCGAACAATCAACATCGTCGTTGAATTCATTCATTCATTCACACTCTGTTATTGCTGTTGATGTTACTGCTGCTGCTGCTGCTCGCTAATCAACCGCAACAGATTCTTCAGTTGAAATCGAGAAATCTAACTGTTAATCGCATTTCTTCGATCCATTGGAAACTGAAAGAAACTGAAATTGTTGTTGCTTGAAATACCTCAAAGAAGGAAGAAAAAAAACAAAAAGAGATAGAAAAACTTCTTACGTCGTCGTCGTCGTCGTCGTCGTTGTTGTTTTGTTGAATGGTGAAAATAACTTTCTTGTGCGAACCTCATTTAGTGTTCTGTGTACAAGGAAATTGAGCAAAATAAAATATTTCTTAATGATCATTCGCTCAAGTTTTTAATGTGGTGACGAGACAAAGAAAAGCCTAAAGACAAAAGTCTTTCAAGAAAAATAAAAACACAGAAAAAGAAAAGATTACAGTGAAGTGTTGTGAAGAGTAAATAAATAAATAAATAAATTGAGAAATATGTCGCTTTCAACGTCATCAAGTGGCCTTCGATTATTCGAAAGTTCGTCAATCGAATCAGGTCAAATACCAGATTTATTATCGAAAAATATTGACGTTAGCCAACGTCAAATAATTAAGGAAGGATGGTTGTTTAAGCGTGGCGAACACATCAAAAATTGGCGTCGACGTTACTTCATCTTACGCTCAGACGGTTCATTGGTCGGTTACAAGAATTTCCCAGACACTCAGGTGCCAACCGAACCCTCAAATAACTTCACCGTCGCTCGCTGTCAAATCATGTCTGTGGATCGACCACGTCCATTCACATTCATCATTCGTGGCCTACAATTGACCACCGTCATCGAAAGAATGTTCTATGTCGAAACTGAACACGAAAGATCCCAATGGGTCGATGCCATTCGGTAAGTTTCCATCCATTAAGCCGAAGAATCGATTGCTAGTTGCTAGTTCTGCATCATTTTCGATCCAGCAATTTGTTAATTTTTATTTTTTTCATATTACTCACTGAGATTGTTTACTTAGAGTTAGCTTTATTGTTAATAAAATGTGAAATGACGACAATGTGCTAAAAATATTCTAAGCGTAAAACCATTTTGAGAAGCAACATATCTCACTCGTTTGATAAATTAAAAAAGAAAAAAAAGAAACATTTCAAACTCCGTTTTATTATTGAAAATGACATGAAATTTATGAATGAACTGTAGGAAGAAAAAGTTTATCACCGACGTAGAGAGCAAAGAGCATCTCTCTGCTTATTTGTCTCAGTGTGGTTCCAAAGTTCTTCCGAAAGAATGTTAAGAAACGTGTTGAATGATATTGTCGATTGCTATGGAAATTTTCCGTATGAATTCTCTCGTTTCGATGACAACAATTAAGTAAGAAATTAGGAAAACATGAAATCCTATAAAAAGACAAAGAAAGATTCTCAAAAGATTTCTCTGATAAACGAAATCAACATGTTTATTTGTACATACTTAAAGCACTTGTCATCGGTTTATTTTATGTTTGTAGCAGGAAAACGTGATTCATTGATACCCTCGGAATGGAAATGGAACGTCTTTCCATTGCTGAGAATTCCCCCCTTTTTAATGATTGATACCCTACAAAGGATTATTCAGCAATTATTTACAACCATAACTTAATTTCCCTTCAAATTTTTTAACTATTTATATCGCATTCATGTTGATTCATGTCGTAATCTATTTTCAATGTTAAATAATACAAAACTTGAAAAATATTTTTTTATAATTCCGAGAAGCCTTTTAACGACACGATTGCATAATGCTCATACCTAGAAAGGAATTTACAATTTTTTTCACTTCTTCGGCGCCGAAAGAAACAATTGAACTGGCGTCTTCCGTTATCAATGCCTTTCAATTCAATTTACTTTTCGCTAGAATTCATTGAGAGGTTTTTACGTTTTCTGCTTTATTTTTTATTAGATATTTGATTCCATATGTGGAGTTCGTGTTATCATCACACAACTAAAAGTAGAAACACTGATATAAGTGAAGATAAATATATAATTATATGTACGAGTGTATAAGAAAAATAATCGTTTATAAAATGTATGGAATGCGCGTAGAAAATGATGTAAATATTTCTAGGATAGACCAATATAGAAATCATAGCATTGAAATCGATATTTTCCTCTCTCAACATCGTCATTGACATAACACCGCAGTTTCACGTCAATATTTTAGCGCCACATCGAAAGAAAAATACAATGAAAAAGCACAAGTACAATTGAGAGTGAGAGGGACGAGAGGGAGAAGTAAAGAACACAATATTTCGAATTGTGGATCGCTTTGAATGAAATGTAAAAAAAGAAAAACAAAATATTTATCGCATTTACAATTATCTACTACAGAACTAAACGTCTGACCTTCATACAATGTGTGTGATCGATTTTCAACGATTTCTTATCAGAGCTTTTAAACTTTAATATAAAATTAAAAACATCCATAATGGGTATTTCCAATCAAGATTTCTATACTCAGATAAAAAGCAAATAAAGTCAAGTGTTGACAAATATAATTTCCGCTTGTCATGCTGACTCAAATAAAGTGACATCATACAAAATTTCCTTGATGACGCATTAAAAGATGCTGTCTTACATACGTACTTATATGACGTCAATTTTTCACGATCCTACACCTACACAATACAATAAAATTTATTCTACAAACATACAATTTCCGTTGACGAGTATTTGATTGATGAAAAAAGGAGAACTTGCGTAACGTAGCACCGGACAAAATTGAGCAATCAGAAGAAAAAAAAGTGCACAAGCTTCTCGATTCTATCAACGAATGTCGTTCATTCATGATTTTATATTTTTTTGCATGATAATTTGTGGGCGTTCGAATGAAACCGAATACTATGCTTATTTTTTTCCTTGGGCATTTTTACGAGATATATACATGGCATTAATTAATTTAATTACTCTAGGAGTGTCGCCAATTGCATGAGCGAAGTTGATCAACTCGAGCAGGATGACTTGATGGATGATATCGAAATGGCTTCAATAGCTGAAGAAGAAGATTTGGACGAAAAGTTTTCTTATCAGGGAACGTCGACAGGAAAAGTCAACGGAAAGAAGAAAATCGTGAGTTGTCGGTGTATAAATGATTACTGGAATGTCTTGTTTAATTTGCGAAAATAAAATCATTACAGACGTTGGAGAATTTTGAATTTCTTAAAGTTCTTGGTCGTGGATCTTACGGCAAAGTTATTTTATGTCGTGAAAAATGCACTTCTAAGTTATATGCTATAAAGATTCTCAAGAAGAAAGTCATCATTCAGAAGAGCGAAGTCGAACACACAATGGCAGAGAATCGCGTTCTTCAGAAGACGAATCATCCGTTTTTAATTGTAAGCTACACAAGAACATTAAAATCCTTTTTTATGAGTCGATAAAATTCTCTTTTCTTTCCTTTATTTTATTCTTTAGTCACTCAAGTATTCCTTCCGCACCAATGAACGTCTCTGCTTCGTAATGCAATATGTGAATGGTGGGGATTTATATTTTCATCTCAGGAACGATAAAGTATTCTCCGAAGAACGAACGAGATTCTATGGCGCTGAAACCATTTCAGCTCTTGGGTAACTTCATTCATTCAATGATTCTTATTTTTTTTAATAACTGATTTAAAATAAACTCGTTGTGTTGTTCTTACAGCTATTTACACTCTCAGAACATTATTTATCGCGATGTTAAGTTGGAGAATTTATTACTTGACAAAGATGGTCATGTTAAGATTGCAGACTTTGGTTTATGCAAGGAAGACATAAGTTTTGATCGTACCACGAATACATTTTGTGGTAAATTTCTTTCTTCAAACTTTATTTATAACAACATCAACTATAAAAAGAAACGTTAATAAAATTATTTTTCTTAGGAACTCCCGAATATCTTGCACCGGAAATGCTTGAAGACAATGATTATGGTCGAGCTGTAGATTGGTGGGGTGTGGGAGTCGTCATGTACGAAATGATTTGCGGTCGTTTGCCATTTGACAATCGCGACCACGATATTTTATTCAAGCAAATAATGATGGATGATGTGAAGTTTCCTCGAAACATTTCCAACGAAGCGAAATCTTTATTAAATGGACTTTTAGAGAAAAATCCTCACAAGAGGCTTGGCGGTGGGCCTGATGATGTTAAAGAAATCATGGCTCATTCGTTCTTCGCATGTATTAATTGGAATGACTTAGTTCATAGGAAAATTGTGCCACCGTTTAAACCTCAAGTCACCTCAGACACTGACACACGTTACTTCGACTCAGAATTTACTGGAGAGAGTGTGGAATTGACACCACCAGATCCCGCCGTTTATATTCATTCGATTCAGGAAGAACCACACTTCTCACAAGTAATTTCAGCTATGCCTAAAAAAATTAAGAAATTTTTAACTGTCGATTCTCCCTTTTCAGTTCAGCTATCAGGCTATGGCTTCTTACATGAGTAACAATTCAGCATTAATATCGCTTACATAGAACAATTTAGAGAAAAATTAGAATTAGAGCCAAATCTAGAGAAAAGAATGTATAATTCCCAGATCTGTGATACTTTTAGTTTTTAAGATCCTTTAAACTCTATTCGACTTGCATGTTTAAATTAAATATTCTAATGTATTACGTAATAAAATTAAATAGCATTATTAAAGAGCTTCCATCTAAATTATTCTTTAGAAAAATAAAATTTGTGTTTTACTTCTTTCTTATTTGATTGTTAAATTATTTCTTTCAGTTCTTTATATCTTTACATAAATCTTAAAAGTTTAATAAAAATCTGCAACTTGACTAGGGACAATTTTTAACGTATTTTCAAATTCCGTGCGTTCAGAAATTTTGAACTTCGTTTTTCTTGATTTCTGATATTCTCTCTCTCTATCTCTTCCTTTTTGAACTACCTTCCGTCAAAAATGGTATGTTAATATTTTAAAATAATAAATTAATCAGTCTAACTAAACATTTTCAGACTGAAAATGAAAACTATTAAAAGATAAAGTCAAGTTTTTGTGTTACTAATTGAAGTTTTCTTTTATAGGGTATCGACATTTGTCATAAATGGGACAGAAAAGTCCGTCGCACACAACCCAAATCACAAGATGTTTATTTACGCTTGTTGGTTAAGGTGAGTTATCAGTTTTATATCAAGAATAATTGTGAATAAGAATTAAGATATGTAACTTAATTTTGAGTGAGAACAAAGCGTAATTTTAAAACATAATTTTACATGTTGGGATGAAAATATTTCATAACCTAGCAAAAAATTATTTTGTTGTTGCTCAACCATCGAAACATTATTGAATACTATATCTGATTATGTGTTTTAGTTGTACCGCTATTTGTACCGCCGTACACATCAAAAATTCAACAAGATCATTCTCAAGCGCTTGTTTATGAGCAGAATCAATCGACCAGTCATCTCGATGCAACGCATTATTCGCTTGATGAAGAAACGTCAGGCAACTGAGAACAATGTTGCAGTGATTGTGGGAACTGTCACCAATGACTTACGTGTTTTGCAGGTTCCAAAGCTCAGAATTTGTGCTCTTCGCGTTACTGAACGTGCCCGTGAAACTATCACTAAAGCTGGTGGCGAAATTATTACATTCGATCAACTGGCATTGTTGGCACCAACTGGCAAAAACACAGTTATGATGCAAGGTAAACGTAACTCTCGTGAGTCCTGTCGTCACTTTGGAAAGGCTCCTGGTGTGCCACACTCACATACACGACCATTCGTCCGATCGAAGGGACGTAAATTTGAACGTGCTCGTGGTCGTCGTACATCATGCGGTTACAAGAAGTAAAATGTTTTGATTTCTTAAATATATGGAAGTTAATATTCGTGAACATCCAACAAATGCGAATAAAGATTCAATCTTGTGAAAAAAGAAAATTTTGTTTTCCATTCATGCATTCTTTGTTTTGTTTTTGTATATTTAATCAAATAATTTTGATAAACATGAAAGTTCTTTTTCAACCTTTTCTGTTATTCTATGAACGCCTATGGCCAACTATAAATTTAGCTTATCTATTGCAGTCATAAATAATTTTATAACTCTCTGATTAGATTATTGATTGCCGGTCGTAGAGGAACAACCTGTAAAGTGAATCGTAGCTATTTAAAAGAATCTTTAGCCAAAACGCTATCACCAATATTAGCTTCGATTGTATCCAATATAGCTTGTAACTTGTGCTATTCGAGGCAAATTTGGTATTAATTAAATTCTTTTTTTATCGCTTCATCTTTTAAACGATTTTAAGAAAAGATTAAACATTTTCTTTTCTTTAATCTTTTTCCTGGAATTTTAAATTTATAGCTAAAGCCATTGAGACAATCTAAACTTATGACAGCATTAAATTTTTTCAGACATTATTCGAAAAATTTTATTCAATCAGTACAGTTGCAGTTTGTTACACATGACACTTCTACTTCTTTATTTATTTAAATATAGTTAATGACGATTGATCGTAGGAAAGTTGCTGGAATTAAAAATTCTTAATAAAAATGTTCATGAAGAAGTTAGAGTTCATCATTTCGAATTGAAGCTTCTTCTTCGTCTTCTTTGGCTTTTTTATCTTTTTTGGAAGATTTCTTTGATTTTTTTTCTTTTTTATCAGTTTCACCTTTTGGTTTTAAAACTTCATAAAGGCACTCGGAATCTTTTTTCGCAAGCACACGATCTCGGCACAAAAAATCAATCAGAGGAGCTTCTTCTTGTCGGTTGAAATACCATTCCTCGATGTCAGGTTCGTAACGCTCCAAAAGTGTTTCACATTGACTTTTCAATTGAGTTATTTCAGCTGATGGTTTGTCCCAAAGTTCTTCAGGAATTCCGAGCTCAACTTTCACTCCTTTGTTTACTAATCCGTGAAGAGTTTGAAAGGTTTCCGACATCCCCTTTGCAAATCTCGTACTGTCTTTACGTTCTTTGTGAATGTTATATTGAAGAACCTGGTCGCAAACATCCTCAAGTGATTCAATTAATCTTGTTTCACTCTTTTTGTATTCTTTTTTCTTCTTAGGTTTTACATCGTCAAGAGAATAACTAAAATAAGATAATGAGATTATTTTAAAGATTATTCAATTAAATTTATCAAAATAAAATACCCAAATTCCAAAACTTCATGAGTTTTTCCTGTTACTGATAACCTTTCCTGTAGCTCCGTTGCTAATATTTTACAAGCCTCACAATGGTTTGCATATCTTAGAAAATACCGGGAAAAAGATAAAACTAAATAAACATTCAAGCATAATTTTCAAAATATTCATAATAACTCACTTTACACCGTGAAGTTCTTCCTCAGGCGTTGCAGAACACGTCATAGCAATAAAACAGATAGCAATCAATAATTTAAACATTTCTTAGTTTGAATTTATTAAGATGATAAAGAAAAGAAATTCTGACGTGGTTTTAATCAACGTTATGCTACTTATTTTGTATTGCGAGACAATGAAATTTTAATCGTGCTTCTTGTATGAGAACTTTTTCAGTACTGAGTTATTATCAATGAGCAGATACAGTTCAATTATCACAAATTTAACAACTTTACAAGTTCCATTTATCAACACAAGTTGAATGTTGTTGATTTCTTCACTTCACATGAGAGAGAGAGAAGGGAACAATCTAGCCATCTAGCGGAATCTAACAAATTAACTAATAAAATTATTTAATGGAGCTCTAATATCTTCCTTCTGGCCTAAGCAAATAAAATGAATGTTTCTTTACGAAATGATAGATAAAATTCTGAAGCTTTAAAGGCACCACAGCAGTTACAAATAGAAAATATGTAGGTGATGATGATCTCTCTCAACAATTCATTTCTATGTGACTTAACAACGTTTTCGACTTAATAATATTTTCAGAACTCATTAATTTAATGGTCCTTCCAAATTCATCAGAATTTAATTGTAAATTATACAGTTTTTAAGACAATTGACTAAAAAAGTCATAGGTAATCGTAACAACAACCCTAGGTAGGTCGTTATATTGAAAAGGGGTACACAAGAACGCTTTGAATGTTCCTCTAACCATTTTACATACCCTTGTTTTGAGACGCAAAATTTTATTTTGCTCGCACTAATTTAACAAATTTTGCTGAGAAAAATACCTTAAAACGCCGCTAAAAAAGGTTAAAAACAAATTTAAACATTGTCAGAAGTGAAAGAAAATGTTAGTACCCATGCACAATCAAGTTTGAGTGTAAAATTGTACAATATTTTAGAATTATGAAATTCTATACAGGAGCGTCTATAGATTTTACTATATCGCGGAGTGTAGAAAAGAAAAAAAAACGAATCGAGAATGACTTTTGTGAAAAAGCTTGAATTATGTATAAGTCAGCAGACACGATTCTCGATTCGCGTTTTGTTTCATAAGTTCATTCTTCTATTAATAATCAAAGTTTTTGGAACATTTCTGATAGTTTTAAGTAGAATTATGACGAGGTTATGTGTTTTCCATTATTTTCACACTCGTTCTTTCTGCCTTTACATGTGTTTCTTCTCGCGCAGAGCTTTAATCGAGTGAAGAGAACTTAAAAGAAACGTATAAATTGATATCTGGAAGCAGCGTTTGATCAACTGGACGCTCAAAATAATTATTATTGTTAAAATCATAACATCATCGTATGGTAAGAGAAAAAATTAGACCTTGGAATCATTTATTGCAAAAGAAATCAACTCAAATTGCGTTTTTAATTTCCATAGAATATTTAGTGAGCAGCTGTTGGACAATCATAATCATTTAATTATCGCTGCAACAAATGATTCCTTATCGGGTGAGTTCTCGTTCCTTAATTACGTCATCGTCAGAAATTTTAACAGAAAATTGAAGAAAAAAGCTTTAATAACAAAAAAATAAAAAATCTTCTTTTAGGATCTAAAGTTACATCAAAAAGATGAAAATTGATAACATTTTGAACAAAGAGAAATCACCTGATAAAGCAACGATAGCAGAACGAAGTGCCAGCATTGAAGACATTAAAAAGTCACAAAAGTTTTTCGACTTTAATGATCTGACAGCGACCAACATAAACAACAATTTGTTGCAAGAACAGGAGACGATTTACGATTATTTGCCGCCGACAACAAGCAAACTGAAGAAGCTTCTTCTAAACAGCTCAAATATTGACAACATCGATTCTCATCATAATCAGAATCAAAAGAATTCCAGCTTCATTAACAACAGTGCTGTGACAGTGAATTTAAATAACCTAACACCTGCCGCCAAAGATTTTAACATCGTAAATGTAAGCAACGAAGCAGCGTTGCCACTCGCCACAAGCAACAATAATAAAAACACATGCAGTAACAAAAAAGTGAATAATGTTGCGAAAAAGAACAACGCTAAAAGTGTTAACAAACAAAAACTTTTCCTATGCAGCGAGTGCAACGAATACTTTCTAAAGTTACATCTCTTTAATCATATAAAAAGTGTACACAATAAATTCACATGCTTATATTGCTACGGGTTCTTTGTCGATATTGTTGGACTCGAGAAGCATCTCGTGAAGAAACATAAAGTGCATAATTCGTCGTTTATAGATGAACAAAGTTTGCAATGCTTCTTGAATATCAATTCAAGTAATGTAACAACAAAAATCTACAAGGCTGTTTGTTGTAAATGTGGCGAAATCTTCACGATAGGAAATGACAGAATATCAAATCACAAATGTTGTGAAAATGAACTTTCTGGTTTACAAAAAGAAGAAATTCTTCCTCAAAATAACACGACAACATTGGATGTAGCCAAAGAAAACTTTTATTGCAATCAAGCTATTCAACAATGGTTTCAGCCGTCAACAGCAACAACATTAACAAACACAGAAAATCATCCGCAAACAAATGAGAATCAACCGATCTTAAATGAGGAGGATTCTAGTCAACCATCATTAAATGTTTTAAGAAATAATAATGATTCGTTGTGGCATGAGAAAGAGGAAGAAAATCATCAACAACAACAACAACAACATCAACAAAATGAAGAAAAAGAAAAGTTGGTTGTGCCAAAACTGACATTAAAAATTCCAAAAGCATTTCAAAATCAACAGTTCGACAACATTGATTCAGATGAGGATAGTGGCGATGAATGTGACGACAGTTCTGATGACGAGAATGAAGTTTATGAATCAAATAATAGTGGAGGACAAAATATGTCAAAATCGAACGATCATGATGACTTTTCATCGTTAAGTGACAGTGATGGTGCTGTTGCTTCGGTTGTACCTGTTAAAAAGCCCGAAAATTTACCGAGTCTCAAATTAAAGATAAAAAATTTGGCAAGTAATAATCCTGAGAGTGTTCTGGAAAGTTTCGACTTTCCTCCTCCTCCTCCTCCGCCTCCATTAAATGATGAAATAAAATCCACGTTAAATGAAGAAGATGAGAAGGAGAAAGATGATAATGGTGATCATCCGATGGACATTTCAAATGCAAGTGATGTTGATTTATCAGAATGTCCAATGGACTTAGAACCGGAAAAAGTTAATGAACCTCAGAAGCTCATCATAATTGACGGTGTCATTGTGACACCAGCAAACGAAGATGTTCTCACACTCGATATAAATTTAAAGGAAAGTCTCGACAAGATTGAAATTGTGAAACTTATGAAGATCTGTTTGAAAGCGTCGTTTCCATTCTGTCTTTATTGTAACCATGCAAGAAAGATTGTTGTTAATGGACGTGCACTTGCAACACATTTCATCAGTCATCATCGCTTTCATGCTATGGTTGACAGCATAACAGCTGAAGAACTTCATCCAGAGAAGATTGTTAGTAAGTTTGAATCGTCGATTGATGAATTGAAATCAAGTTTCTTTAATTTGGAAACATTTGATAATCAAGATGATGAGAAGAAAGAAGGCCATGTAACAATTTCACATGACAAACTTTATGAATGCTTTCAATGTCGATTTCAAACACCAATTCATAAAGAACTTTATCTTCATAATCGTAAAATGCATCAAAAGTCGCTGATAAATTGTCTCATGTGTAAAATGATGTTCTACAGTTACAGTGAATTACTTTGTCATATTTGTCCTGGTGTCGCCAACAAGCAGATGTTTCTCGATTACAAATTCTATTGTTGTTTATGTAATCTTGACAACATTCCATCAGCATTTCGTTTGATGGTTCATTTGCGTAAGAAACATTACGCATGTGATGTTTGCTTGGAGAAGTGCAGCGATCAAAGTAAATTATCAAGTCATGTGTGGAAACATAAACTCTTTCATCTCTGCTATCGTTGTAATATTTGTTATCGTAACAAAGCTGATATCATGAAGCATTTATTTTGGAAGCACGGAACCGAGGGAATTGAATGTAAAAAATGTTTACAAAAGAAATGGCCACACGTGTATCATTTTTGCATTCCACCAGCGACCTTTACTTGTGTACATTGCGAGATGAGCTTCTCAAGTGCAATGGCTTTGAACGTTCACACGAGACTCCATGAAGACGGCGCTAAATATGCTTGCTCTGAGATTGGATGTGAGAAGAAGTTTGTGTCACGAAAGCTTTTATTACGTCATCTTGAGCGACATCAAATGGAATTAGCAGCAGCAACTGGTGGTGGTGATAATGATGGTCAAGAGAGACCGGAAGGTATTGTTATGATTCCAGCGGAAATTCCTGATGGATGTTGTACAAGAACAATGCCAGTTGTGTTTAAACGACTCATTAAGAAACCGGCAGTGAGGAAAATTGAATCGGAAGTGAAGACGGAAGTGACACAAGATCAACAACAACAGCAGCAAAAGAAAACAGAAGAAAAAGATGAGAAAAATTTACTTGATTTACCTGAAACAAATCTTAATCTTTCGGAAAGTTCTGACAGCGATTCGTCATCTGATGATGAAGGTGAAGCTGGTGAAAAGTCAATTGATGCTTTAGCGGCGCTTGTTGAAGCTGGGATTGAAGATTCTCTTATGCCATCGGACTCACCAGCAAAAGAAGTTAAATCACTTGCAGAGCTTGCAAAAGTTTCATCATTGAGTGATTCAGATGATGATGCGGACGATGAAAAGAAATCGACGGAAGTGAAGAAAATTGAAGAAACTTCAACAAGTGAAAATAAAGAAAATATTAAAAAGGAAGAAGCTTCCGATGCTGCTGCTGAGCAGAAAATTATAAAAGAAGAGAAAGTTGAATCGAAGAAAGTGAACGACGATGATGATGATCAGAAAATGATGGAAGATAAACTTCCAGCTAACGTCATTCTTCATGTGTGCCAATCAGATCATGACTATGCAAGTCTTTATCGACCATCAAGTGGTGCAACAAAAGACGATCTCGAAGATATGATAAAAACAGCCAAGATTGAGAAAGAGAAAAAGAAAATTGAAAAAGCAAATGCAAAAGCTCAGAAAATGAAGAAAGGTGGAACGACAAATAAAAATGATGACTTCTCATCGAGTGATACAAGCAGTGGCTCATCATCAGGATCATCTAGTTCATCTAGTGGTGGAAGTAGCTCAAGTTCAAGTGGAAGTAGTTCAGATTCAAGTTCTTCTGAAGCGTCGAATAAAGAAGTCAACAACAAAACGAGAAACAAGAAATTCTCTAAGAAGCGTGCAAAGAAAGAAAAGAAAACAAAGACGGAAGATGCAGAAGAACAGGAAGTTCCAAAAGATCCCGATGACATCATTTATGAGTCAGATTTGTTGACAGATGCAACTGACACCGATGAAGATTTCTACGATGAACATCCTTTAAAGCTCGACAGTCAAATGGCTGAAAAACGAAAGCATTTATTAAAAGGCGGCGTAATTGATGGAATTGTTGAGAATTCACGTCCATCGACACCATCCTTACCACCTGACGAGAAAATTGAAAGAAAAATGAAGAATAAGAAACGAAAGAAGGAACATCGAAAGTCAATGTCAAGTCCTCGATCCAAACGTCCACACAATGACGACACAATGTTGATGAACACAACAAATGATGAGTACAACAATCATTTACGTTTTAATAATCCACCTGACACACCGCAAATGAATAAAATGATGATGATGAGTAATAATTATCATCATCAGCCGCTTCAGACATCAACACCATTGTCGTCATCATCAGCAGCACCAAGAATTGAACTTCATCAAGCAAATGAAATTCGTCAACTTCTTCAATCGACACAACAGCAACCAGTGTTGCCGATTCTTAAAGAACAACATCTTCAGCAACATTATCATCATCAGCAAATGGATTACATAAATGTAAGCAGTCACGTGCCATCAATTGCATCATCAGCAACAAGTAGTCGAAAGAATTCCGATTCCGAATCAAATCTAAAGCGATCACAAAGAAAACGAATACCAAATAAGTTTTATGGTTACACAAGTGATGATGAATCGATGGCTGCACAATTAGCTGCAAATATCGCTGATCCATTTAAACCAATTCCACCACCGAACCTCACTTGGCGTAAAGAAGATTTACCGACGAAGAATAAAAGTCCTTCAAGTACGCCGAGAATTGCGCCATTGAAATTAAGTCTTGGTGGAGTGAGTAGTGATCAATTGCAGCAACAACTTCATACATTTGCTGTTGAACATAATCAAGAAACATCGCCGAGAATGTTTGATTACAATTACGACGCGTCAAACACAACCTCAAACGATCATCAAACGCCATCAAATATACCTCAGCATCAACAACATAATTTAAGTTCAAACGTCATCAATCGACATGTGAGTGATCCGAGCGACACGAGCGATGAAGATCAATTGCATATTTCTGAGCCACGTCGTCGAAAGCGAAAATTACCGCCAAGTCAAGCGAACTCGATGTATGCTTTTCATACACTTGAAACGCCACCGACAGCAGTGTCGCAGCCACCAATACCGAGATTGAAGTTGACAATTGGAAGTAATAATAAAATACGAAGAAGGAACATAAATCCATTAAAAGTGTCAGCAGCAAAGAAAAGAAAGGTTGCAGGAACGGGAACAAAGAAATCAGCAGCAGCATCTTTAGCAACAGCTTTGACAAAGCCTGCAATAACATCACCGACGTTTAGTCGTGGTGTGTTTAATCCTTATGCGAAGCAATACGATGCACAACCACCATCGAGAATTTTAAAGTCGCCTGCATTCAATCAGGGATCTTACAACAATAACAACAGTCAGGCGATGAGTAGTCAACAAATGTTAGCACAGGAAAAGCTCGAGAAGAAGCAGAAACTTGAAGAAGCGATCATGAACACGCAACAATATTTCCAACGGTTTAATCACACGCAAGTCGCCAATTCTGATATTCCACAAGATTCAAATCAAGACAGCGATGGTCGCGTTTATTGTTATTGTCGTCGTCCTTATGATGATCTTCAAGGAATGATTGGATGCGATGGTGCCAATTGTCAAATCGAATGGTTTCATTTTGAATGTGTTGGAATTCTTGTACCACCGAAAGGCAATTGGTATTGTCCCGAATGTCAAAAGGAACAACATCAGCAAAGCAGCTTTTGAAATTCAATAATAAATCAATGAAGAATGAAGAAGAAAAAATTAAACGCTTAAGAGTAATTAAAGAAATATTTAAAATATATTTTCATGAAAAATTCAGATCAGATCAGCAAATTGTTTCTTTTCTTTTTGTAGAGAGTGACAAAAGTGTAGAGAAAGAAGAAAAATGTTAGCAAAAATGTTCTGATTAAATTTTCATTTATTAAATATTTTAATTCAAATTTTTTTTTTTGTTTCTTGATTAAGTTGTGTTTAGAAGTTGTTCAACCAACGACTAGAATTTGATGGAAATTTCTTTTATTTACATACATAGTTGCAGTCTTTGAATTCATCATGAAATGGAAGAAAGCGTTGTCGGATCGTTTTACTCGTTCACTCGCTTGCTTTCATTAAAGAGAAGACTTGAGATGACCGAAAGCATTTTTTATTCTCTTTTCTTCGTTTAATTAAACTAGTTATTGATGAATTATTTTGTAAAGGTAGTGAAAGTTATGTTAATAATGTAAATATTCTCTTATTATCATTAAATTAATTAAACTTAATGTCAACATATTTTTTTCTTGCTTTTTTTATCTTAATTTTGTGAGTGAATTTATAAATATTTTTCTTCAACACTAATTCACTCATAAATCATGATAATGAAAACATTTTAAAGGAAAATAAGAAAATTTAAATTGTTTCTTGTCTAGATCAGTAATGAAAGTTTTCATTTTCTTTTTTTTTCCCCGATTTCATTAAAAGTTAGACATGTAAAGTTATACAAAATGAAACAGAAAATAAAAATCTTATCAAAGACTATAAATAAAAGTTAAAAATTGTTCTAATTAATCTTTTCAGGTTTGATTTTTATTCATCGCTTCAATGTGCTGTTTTCAAGTCTTTTTTAATTCAATCTGACTATCAAGTTAAAGTAAACATGCGAAAAGTTTTTTTTATCAAATTAATTTGACAGACGACTTGACGAATTTTCTCTTATGAAAGTCATAAAATTCTTTTTCTCATAAAATCATTTATTTAAAGCTTAAAAATTATTACTTTAAAGTCTTGCAAAGTTCTTCCGTTGATGCTTAATTTATTTATCACACATTTAATTCTATAAAAGTCAAAAAGGAATCAGAAATGTTTATGATGATTGCAAACGAATATAATGATGAATTAAATATGCTAATGCACGGATTGAGTTAAAAACCGACATAATAAAACGATGACAAAGAACAAAAAAAGTAAAATAAAAGAAATAACAAGACCTTGACACTTAAGATCGGGCACGATTTTTTAAAGAAAATTCTTTCTGTAGCTTCTGATGCATTGGATCGGCTAAATGACTTTTTATTTCCTGATCGTTGCTCACGAGAATGTTGCACAGTTTGCAGAACTTCTTTAAAGGATAAGATTGTCCACTTGAAGTTTTTTGAATGCTGAGAATTTAAAAGATTTCTCAGAAAAATAAATAAACAAGAAATGAAACTTACAATCTTCCACTGCTGAGTTCCATTTGATTGTCAAATTCTTTATTGTTATTCGTTGGAAGAAGTTTCTGGTAAGAATGTAAAGGGTAAAGTGCTCGATCACCTAAAGGAGTTGTTCGTCTAATGAAGTCTTCTTCATCATCTTCAGCAACCCACGAATGCTTCATTGGTCGTAGATGTGATGATTTCAACACAACATCACGAGATGCATCTAAGATACTAAATATGAGAAAATGTGATTAACTTTGCTTGAAATTCTGTCAAATTCACTTACTCAGATATTAAATTTTTGATCTTGAACTGCAAATCATATTTCTGCTTTTCATTTAAATCTGGAAAGTCGAGATTCGGTTTCGTGTACATCAACATTGACATGCAGTGACGCAAATGATTTATATTCGCCATGTCGTTATCTGTGAACTTTACATTGACATTTAAAATCGCATCACGTATTGGAAACAAAGCACATCCATTAGTTTCACATCCCAAACCTGTCAACAGCGTGTCAAAGTGTGTCTTGTCTCGGCTTCGTCTTAAAGCCATTTTAGGGCAGAAAATCATTGCGAGAATCTCAGGAAGTCCTGGTAAGTTTGGCAACATTGTAATTTCCCGTAAAGTTATTCCATCTCTTCGATTCTTAACGACATGAGAAGCAATGAAGAGACGACTTGAAGTTTTATTAATGTCGCCATTTAAGACAACAGAATTGATGGAATGGAAGTCGATTTTTATTGATTTTTGTGCCTTTGCTGACAAACTAACAAGTTCAGTTTCTAAAGGTGAATGTGGACCTGAAAGATTCATCGTCATGTTCGACATTCCACGAGGTGGAATCAAACGACTTGAAGACGATTTTTTCGTGTTTTCGAATGATGTGAATATGGAAATATCATTTACGACCGTTGCTTCTCCATCAATTTGAGATGTTGACGTGGAAATCAATGATGTTCGTTCGAAATTATCCATTCGACTGTTGTAATCTTCAGTTATTTGTATTGCAAACTTGTTATCGACCAGCGACTTATTCACATTAACATCGAGTTCATTGAAAAGTGTACAAGTGACAACTTCATTAACAACAGAAAATATTTCAATCTTTGCATGTTTGTCACTTTTAATTAAAGATCGAAAATGAGTAATGGCTTCTGTTGTCCAAACACCTTGTGGACATGTCATGTAATGTGGTGCGATTTCTGACAATTTACATTCGAAACATCTCGGTGGAATCTCAAAAACTTCTTTCAATGCTTTTGGTGCGGGATAAACATTAATTAATGGCACGTCGCTCGTGATATTTCCCAAGTCAATGAAATTAAATTTAATTGCTTCGTCTTTCGATGCTTTCACGACAATTCCTCGATGAAAAGTGTCGTCATTTAATCGAATCACAACATTGTCATCGTGTGTTAGTTCAAGTTCATCACTGATTGAAACATTTTGACATTTCATTGCAGTTTTGATCTTAAATTCCATTACACGCTTTTCATTGTCATATTTTTTGCCGATTGGTTGAAAGAAAAACTTTCCACAATGAACAACGTGAGTGACTTTGCCTTCAACTTCATGAAGACCAGCGACACAACTGCTTGCTGTTGACATGGACGAACAATCGAGATTCGTTGAATATTTAAATTGTTTCGCGTAATTATTCATCGAATCATGATCCATGACATGAAGTGTAAAAATATTTCGTGCCAATTCTTTGTATTTAACAGCGACATAAACTTCCGGCAAAACTTTTCCATCGACCAACATAATTCCACGATCATCGCGTCTGTCATTTAACGATTCTTCACGAAGAAAAGTCACATAAATTCTTCCCAAATTCTCATTATAATTAACCCGCATGTCGTTGAACTTCTCACATATTCCCCGTTCAATTAATGATTGCTTTAAAACGTCATCGTAAAGTCTCGAATATTTTCGTTCAACGTCTTTAAAATAAATCGTTCGATGAACATCTAAGTTATCAATTTCACGATAAATTAAAGCTTCTGTCATGTCATTTGATGACAAAAGATAAAAATATGGCAACCAAGCACCAGCTGCGCAAATCTTCAATAGAAAAGGTTTTTCTTTCTCTTCAATAATCGGCTTAAAATTGTCACTTCGGACTTGTTTGATTCTGTAATTTTCCAATCGACTTTTTATCTCCCAAACCAATTCTTTCACTTCAAATAAATTCTTCTTATCAAGACCGAATTTATCGTACCATTCTTGTTCTCTCACTGCACTCTTGAAATTTCCTTCTTTGATGTTTTTCTGCCATAATTGATAAGCATTAAGAATCGCAATAAGATCCGAACCTGATCCATTACTCCAACTCAATTGACTACTGTATGAATCCAAACGTTTCTTATAATCAAATTTAAAGATTGATCCATTGATGTTTAAACCAGCACCGATGATCACAGCTTCATGGAAAACTGAGAACATGTAGCCGAGAATGATGAATTTCCCGATGTGAATATTGCATGGTAAAGTCGCAATGATTCGACCAAGGAATGTCAAGTCACCGTCATTGAATCCAAATTCACCAGTATCTGCATGATTTCGATATAAAGCGCCAATTTCCTTAAGCAGTAGAATTGAATTTTGAATGTTTGGAATGTCTGGCGGGTCGAGTGCTAATGAAAGAAAATCCAACGGCGCTTGATTCGTTAAAAGTTTCGTTTTTAAAATGACACGTTCAAGTGGTGCACGTTTCATCTCGGGGCTCATGTAATCATCCATTTCATCGAGATAAAAAGAACGTTCAACAAGATGATAAACGACACCATCACAAACTCTTCCCGTACGTCCCGCTCTTTGTTCACAATTCATTTTTGAACACCAATTGAGTTGAAGTGAAGTTAAACTTGACTCGGAACAAACGACGAGATACTTAGTTAAACAAAAATCAATGACAACGTTGACTTTTGGAATTGTTACGCTGTTTTCAGCGATGTTTGTACTTAATATGATCTTTGGGACGTCATCACGTTTAAAAGCAGCTCGTTGTGCATCTGTTGACACTGCTGAATGCATAATGATGACTTGGTAATGTTGTTTGACATCAAACTTACACATCAATGCAAATTCAAAAGCTTCAATTTCGTAAAATCCGGGAAGGAAGACAAGAATCGATGATTTGTCGTCTTTTTGAACGTGCCAGAAGATGATATCAGCAGCGACTTTCATCATCTCTTCAGAAATCAAAGGTTTACTGTAATCAACCTTCGGCACTTTCGGAAGCATTAATTCATCTAAAAACTTCTTTCGAATCGTAAAATTTCGTTCGATTTCCATGTCAACGATCTTCGTTTTAATATCAAGTTTCTCAAAGTAATTTGCGAAGTGATTTGCATTCATTGTTGCACTCATGAGAACGACTTTTGTGTCAGGTGAGTTTGTTGAAAGATATTCACGAACGAGAATTAAAAGCAAATCCATTTCGATGTCACGTTCGTGTATCTCATCTGAGATAAGAAGGAACATAAATTTAGAAGCGATTTTTCATTGAAAGAACTTCTCAACTCACCCAGAATAATGTGCGAATACGATCGCATTGATTGTCCTTTGATAAGCTTCTGTAAGATGACTCCGGTGGTGCAATAAATTATTTTCGTCTTCTCACCAGAATTGTTAAGTGCACGATGCAAAGCAAATTGAAATCCAACAAGATTCCCAATTCGAGATTTCATTTCTAATGCAACTCGTGTGGCATTTGTGATTGCTGCAATTTTGCGTGGTTGGGAAATTAAAATTTTGAAAGATTTCTTCTCTTTGACTGCATTTTCAACGATGATTTTAGGGATTTGTGTTGTCTGAGTAGGAATTTAAATATTACCTAATTATTTTTTTTATAAACTTTGAAATAGAAAAGAATTTTACGAACTTTTCCACAACCTGTTGAACCAGTAATTATGATGCATTTGTGGTCGTTCAAGCTTTTAATAATTTCTTCACGATATTTGTAAATGGGAAGTTCTTTGTTTATACTGAGATCGACATTATCTGGAATTTGCGACTCTTCTAGAGATTCTATCGCTGAACCCGATATAGAAGTGATGGTGTTGAAGAAACCCTGATTTTCTTCCACAGGATCGAATGAATATTTCTTGACATTTTATTGATAATTAAAAACATTTTTCATTCATTTATCTTTGAACTTTAAGAAACTTTTATCAAATACTCACATGTTGTGATGAATACATTTTGAATTAAAACATTTAAACATTTATTAAAACAAACACGAATAATTATGACGTTGCGTAAATGATGATTGACTTTTCTAAAAATACCTATTTAAGGATGCACTGAAAATCGCAAATGGTGTGAGATAAAAATTACTCACGTAAAGTTCAAAAATGTCTAAATTTTTATTTTAACTGAAGTTGATTAATTATGGAATTGAAAAGTGATAAATTGTTTAGTGCATAATAAGAGAGAGATTAACATAATGACAGTAATCAAATTAAAATTTATTAATTCAATAGATAATTCATAACAATGCATGACTAAAATGTTTGACCAGAACAGATACAACAACCCTGAACATTTCAGATTTTAACTAGATTTGAAAGTAATTTTCGATGTTTGACTTAACAAAAGTGAAGATAAAAATTTCTTTCTTGATTGAGACAACGCTATCCGTTACGAATGGTGACGATAATTCAATTATTTTAAGTTGATGTGTAAAAAAATTTAGTCCTTTTAAGCATTCCATGCAAAAAATGTTTGATCAATTTACAAGATTAGACTTGTAAGTTGACGTGCCTTCCGGGATCTGAAGATTCATTGATCTCGTTGATGGATTTGATTAAAATGACTTTGAAAATGGTAAAGCCTCTTAAACCTCATGTCACATTTATAACAAACTATACTTCGAGTTAGATCTGTTAATTTAAATTATATTAAATATATATTATTGAAAAGATTAAGAATAATAATAAAACTCACCTGTATGTTTTTCCGAGTGCTTTTCAAGCCATCTCTTGTTACAAAATTTTCTCTGACATTTCAATACAGGGCAGGAATATTTTAGATTATGTATTTTCATGTGGCGTCTAAGCGCATCTCGATTTTTAGATACTTTATTACATATTTGACAGCAGTTTTCTTCCGGCAATGGTTTAACGATTTCTGCAACTTTTGAAGTTTCTTCCTTTTTGTTATCCTTAATATTTTTCTTATTTTCTGTAAGTTTTTTCAACCAATTTTCGAGAAGGCGTTTCCTTGTCGGAGGATGCATTATTTTGTCATTGTTGGTGTCAGTATTGGAAACTTTGTCATTTGCAGATAAACATTTGTCAGTATCTCGGCATATTTGTTTAAAATTACTTGAGCTCGTCATGCAGCTTTTGTCATTGTTCAAACATTCAATTTCATCACAAGAACTGTCAATTTCAGATTCTGAGCTTAAGTCGATTCTCGCACTAATTTCTGACCATTTCTTCAAATCATATTCGGAACCATTCATGCTCTCCTCTGATTCTGAAGACTCTGATGTATCAAAATGAAAATTTTTATTCATTCCAGTCATCTCCTGAAATGCATGGAACCTTTTTTCCATAATATTGTCAAATACATTCTCCTCTGCTTGAGGATTGCTTTCTTTATCTGAACATTTCATTGCTTATTTACATTTATTATTAAGAGAAGAGTTATAAAATTATTGATATTTATCTTTATTGATAAAGGAACTTGAATCGCACGTGAATCTTACGTTTAATTTTGGGGATTACGTGAGATTATTATTATTTTTAAAATTGCTAATTTTACAATTTAAAAAGGAAGTCGTACACCAACAGTACACAGATAGCTAATTTAGCTTAAAATAAAGCCAAACAAATGGAAATTTGCCTTGAAAACAGGGCTTGGAGCATTTCTTCAATGTTTTCACAAAAAAACTCAACAACTAGGGGATTACAAGGGGAAATTTGAAAAATACCATCTGGGGGATACCAAGGGGAGAAAAAACACCGTAAGTCGAATATCTTCAAAGCAAGTCGGACTGTTCGCGGCTCAACATCATTCGTCGTATCTCTCGTCAAATTGTCATCAACATCAATCTGGTAGTATTTACAATTGTAAAGAAAAATTAGTTTTTAAATCAATGATCATTTTTATTTCATAATTCTTTTTTCAACAATTTATTGACTAGTTCATGGTTGTAAAGTTATATTTTTCTTATTTTCATTTATGCTTAATATGGTTTCAAAAACATTCTGGTTATTCATGTGACTTCTTTTGATCGACATATTTGATTGGTTTGTTTTAAGAATTGTTTCACATAATTTCTTTATTTTTCTTAGAAAGAATAATTTGCAAGTGCAGTGTAAACTGAAGGGAGTTGATAATTTTGCTTTAATTATGTTTTTCCTGATTGATTAAAAATACGTACTTAGATATTTTCTCTAATCTGATAACTTTGAAATGCTAATTTCTTTTCAAATGCAAGTGAATATCAAACAGCTCTTCCTTCGAGCAGGACATTTGATATTTGATCTTAAATTAGTTTCTAATTTTCTTCTTTTTGCAATAAATAGCTAAGATGCTTTTAATTCTAAGATGATGCTTTAATTATTAGTTAAAAAAAGGAAGAAAGACTCTTTTCAATTACCAATGCCTAACTCACAATTTTAAATTCCTAATCAAAAAAAAAAAATTTCATTAGATTTCTAGGAAATGTCAAAGATAATTATTTATAGAGAAACAAATCATCATATTACAAGGTAGAATATTTCACGACATAACATCAAATATAAATAAAGGAAAGTTTTATATTGGAAACAATCAAATATAGCACACAGGAAAATGTCAAGTGAAGAAAAAATTTCAATCGAGAAAACAAACAAAAAATTAAAAAAGAGAGCAGTGATTGAGTGATATAAATAGGTATTTATCATTTTTTAATTCCGCTAATTTTCCTTGAGATGATCGAACCCAATGGCTATGAGTCATTCTTTCTCCCTTCCGCCCTTTTAATTCCTTAAGTTACTTTAAATTCTTAGAATTTTTATGTTCAAATATCAAGTTCAAGAGATTTCCAATGTTAAACAAAATTTATTCGATTAAACATAATTTAAAAAAAGTATTTTAATGACTAAAATGATAAATGAGAGTTGAAAAAATATCACAAAAACCAAAGCAAATTTTTTTTTGTTCTTTTTTCTTATTCAGAGGGAGAAGAATTTTAATTAAAAATATGAACTTAATTTGAACTTCATACGGTTGTGCCATAAGTGCTACCACTACTAAGCACAATTCTTTGTTCATCCATAGATATATCTTCGGGACTTGCGAGATCAACTCGCACTGTATCATTATTGCTGCTTGTATTGTTTCTTCGCCGATGATTATAATCGGTTGAAGATTCTAAATTACTTAAAGTCCAATGGTAACTCGTGTTTGTTGGTGTGATGCTATTACTGCTGGTACTTTGACTCATCACACGATTACTGACAGTAACGCCAGCATTAATTGATTCTACAATATCTTCAGTGTTGTTTGAAGTGATGGTAATTTGTGCAATACCGAGAGATCGATTTGTACATGGCAGTGTCTCAGTTCCATCAACACTTTCACGACTGTCGACATCTTTCATGTCACCACTTCCAGAAGAACTACTTGAATCCAATGAATCATTGCTCGAGTCGATTGCAAATGATCTGAATCTTGTGACTGAATTCAAAGCTTCAATGTCGCCATAACACTCTTCAATTGACCTTAAAATATCCCAACAAAGATCAGAGTCAAGTGGAATCGGTTGATCGGAATCGCGATTATAAATTGAAATTGCAATGTGAACGGGATGTGGAATTGGCAATGGAATGAGCATCTTTTCACTTTGACTTGCTGCTAACTTTTTCCTCTTCCATGGTTTCCACTGATCTTTGGCATCTTCAGATGTGCCAGAGGCTGGGGCACGTCTCATTCTAACACGAAGTGTTTCAAGACCAAACGTTAAAGATTTGTCACTGTTATTGAAGGAAATATAAAATAAAATATTTTTGTGAAATGAAAATTATTACTTACACTCGTTTTTCCGCTCTCCGACAGTTAATTAAGAATCTTGAGCGAGGATTGAAAGCTGACACTTCCAAGTACGGTGATTGAAAACGAATATTTCCCCTTGGAGCATAAACATTTCCAAGTAAATCTGGTCCATTTCCAATTCCCATTATATCTGCAGTGTTCTGTGTCATCTCAACATAACGTGATAATTCCAATTGTGGATGAGGTTCGAGTTTAAATTGAATGTCAGTGTCAGTTAAGGGAGTTAAAAAGTCGAGACTGAAAATATCTGCGTAGAGAAGACTTGCAAGTCCCGCCCAGTCACCAACTGATAAGAACTGTAAATGAGAAATTTTTGATTAAGTTTTTTGTTGTGTGACATGAATTTATGATTCATAGCAAAGGGGTTAGCATCTTTTAAGAATCTATAAGTGAAGTACTAGAACAAGCTGCTTTCATGATATTTTCACTCACTTTCTCCTCCCAAAACTCTTCCTCGGTTATCGCCAAACGTCCGATAACATGCGACGGATAAAACTTTTCCAACATGTAAGCGCCAATCTGAATTGCCGCCTGTAATAAGAAATTTCCATAACATTCAAATTATTCACAGTTCAAAAACGATTTCTTTCACACTTTTTTTCTCATTCGTCATTTACCTTTAATTCCATTGTGTTTAATCGAACTCTGGTTTTAACCGCTGGTTGAAGTCCCAACTGAAGTTCACGTTTTCTCTTTTCGAGCTTTTCGTGCAATGAACTTAACAAATTCTGTCCTTCACGCTCGAGTTGTCGATATTGGCCAGACTTTGACAGTTGAGCTGAAAAGGATCCAAAGCATGCTTCAACAAATTGACTGAAATCTTTCTGTGGCTGCATAATGACTGTCTCCATCGACTTCTCCCATGCTTCCAACTCATCAAGTTCCATTTTCGCTTCAAATGCTGCAAGTGCTTGTGCTGGTGTAATAATGAAAAAATAATCTTGAGCAAGTCCAGGTCCAGAGATTCTCTTAACAGCGATACTATCACTCGAAGGAATTCGACCACATTTCTTAATAAATGTATGAAAAACCATCGAGTCCCAGAGTAATCGAAGCCAATAGCGTGAAAAGCCAACTATTTGTGAAAGAAAATAAATTAAAAGAATTTTCCAATTAAAAAATTAAACTTACAAATCAAAATGAAAGTCGATATTAAAGGACAAATTATTGCAGCAACAGAAATTGCTAAAATCGGTTGAATGATTCCTTGAATGAAAATATCCCATCCAATTGCTTCCAAGAACACACAATAACGATTTCGTTCATCATTTGGTGAGTCTAAGTCATAAATTAACATCATATAGAGATGGAGAATTGTTGTAACGCATGGAATCCAAAGTGGCGCAGCAATGGCAAAACAAATGCTTGTCACACTCACGCTTACACATAACAAAGGAAAAATGAATAGAATCAACAAAGTGCCAAGAAATCCTTTAATGAAATAATTCCAAACACGATTTAAATGTCTCGTCATTCCTTTTCCGATAAATCCCGTATCAGGTTCGGTTTCAAAATGTGTTCTTGACTTTGAAATATGTCGCCACAACTCGATTAATCGTGATGCCATCGTTTGTGTTAAACTCGTTTTTCGAGGAAATAAAGTTCCATTAATCTGCGAGAGTTCAAGGTCGGACATAAATGGCTTGATAGAAATCAAAGCACGCAAGCCAAGTGGTGATGACCACGGTACGATGAATCCAAGTAAGAACATAATATTCCACGTCCATGTCCATGTTCTTTGAAACCAATTCAATAAACGCCATAATGGCCAACGCGTTGTTGTTGTTCTCACAATTTCTTTTTCGACGAGAAACACTGGTTGACTTGGATCAGAGCGTGGCGTTACAATTGACGTTACATGCTGACTTATAACAGTCGGAATTACTTCGCTTTGTCCCTGAAAGTTTCTTTTAATAATCCAAGATTTTGGTGACCAAATTCGACAAGCCCATTGGAAGTTTCGTGTTGGTTTCTTCGCCATTCTCAATTCCTTTACTAAAACTGCTTCTCTTTCTTTCATGAATGATAAATCACGATGCAGAAAGTAAACTGTTTGATGAAGATTATGTTTGAGACAAATTTTTACTGCTTCTTCATGTGCTGCCCATAAAGTTTCATTAATCTTCGATGTTTCAGCTGCTTCTAATCTTTGATTCAACCAAGCACGAATTCTTGCAAGTACCGGATAATTATCCTTAAGTAAACATTCCTGAATCTCACGAGTTTTCTTCACATCTTTCTTCACTTTCTCAATTGACTTGTGCATGATGACAACCGACTGTGCTTGTTGAACGAGAAGTTGTGGAATGCCTTGTCCAAGATCTTCCAGCTCTCCATTCTGAAGAATTGACGTGTAAACCCGTTGAAGATATTCCTTCATCACAGCATCGTTGACCTCTTCTTCAATCTCAACATCGGTCATCTTCTTCTCACGCATTTCGGCAATGAGACGCTCTCTAAACGGAAGAAACCAGCCGCGTGTTTCCTTCTCAAGGATATTAACAAGAATCGGCAAGGCTTTGCGCATGATGTCTTTGGAAAATAAGCGAAGATCGATTTCTTGCTTCTTACATGGACTTAGAAAAATGTATGGAACTGGTTGAGCATTCGCTTCGTAGTTGACGTCAAACTTCTCCATCGTCGCTCGTCGTATTTGATGTTTTACATATTTGCAAAGTGAATCGAGACCATCTTTGTATTCAGGCTGTTGAAGAAAGTCATTTATTTTCATTTTCAATTCACATTGACATTGATTAACTCACTCGACAAACCAATTCAGCAATGAGGTAACGGCAGCGTTCTTCTTTGACTTTATTCTCGAGATTATGTGCGAGAAGTGACGGAACACCGACAATCATGTCGACTAACTTTAACAGACCAGCAAGCAAAGCTTTTGCTGCTTCTTTAACTGAAAAGAAATGTCCAACAATTCGAGCTCTTGCTGTGATGACAATAAATTGTGCTGCCAACGCTAAATCACCCAGAAGCGTTTCCCTTGTCGGTTCAGTTCCCTTTTGCAGAAATTGAGATAATTTCCACAAATGCACCTGGCCCGGAAAGTTTAAACTCGGCACCTCAAACTCACTGAAATGAAAACAAAAAAGGAAATTTCTTAATTGCTCAATTAAAATTTCATTAACTAAATGAAAAACAAATCCATTTAAATAATTTACAAGTGCATGCGACAAAATTCACATTTTCTTTCTTCTCTTCTTTTTTTAAAGACTTTTATTTATGTTTTATGATGTGATGGGAAAAATTACTTAACGAGAATGAAAAAAGTTTTTCATGCGAAACTAAATTCAAATGTTTTAAAAAGTCGCCGAGTTCTGAAGTTTTTTGTTACATATGTTTTTAATGGACTTTTCATATTCTTTGTTTGGTTTATTGACGGTCAGTGATTACAAACGTGAGTTTGATGTGAAGTTTTGTGTGGGCGTTTTTTATGCAAAGTTCTCCTTTTTTGACTAAAGGCGACGACAATCATAAAAATAACTTTAACTAAATAAATATTCGGTAGAATGTTTGAGGATAATGAACGTGAAATTGAAATAATAAAAGTGATGACCTCAACTCCATGCTCTACATAAAAAAAAAAAGAAAACCTTCGGTCATTCAACAAATTACAGAAATGTTGACGAAAGGAAAGTGAAGAGAATTTTAAACAATTTTCTAAGTTTAGAAAAAGGAAGAATGAAGAAAAAGGTTCTTAATTACTTTAAATCGCTTTTCCTTCCATTTTCCCACCAACCTTTCATAAATGTAACAAACAAATCCCTTAAATTATTTTCTAAGAACGTTCCGCAATAAATTTCATAAATTAATTAAACTAAGAAACATTAAAAATCTCAAGATTAACATGTTTAAAATTTTAAATTCATTCTTTTACTTCTCCGTCGTTGTTAACGTACAAAAGTACACAAAATCAAAATCTTTCATGCATAAGTGATAAGATTTAAAGCATTACTTCGAGACGAATAAAAATAAAACGAAATTCATAATAAATGAAGACACAGAAAGATATTTTCTAAGTAAACAAGTAGCCAAGTCATCCATTAATCCATTTAGGATGTAAAATTTCGTTTCAACGAATGTTTTCTTTTTTCTTTGCTTTTTTAATCGTTACCCGGTTGTCAGTATGGAATCCAATTGTTGCATGTTAAGTTTCTTGGGTTTGCCAAATTTATCCTTTTGTAAGCTTCACAAGAACATTTGGATAATGGATATATATGGGGATTAATCGTTAGTGACGTTTGTACAACGTTATCGGATCATACAACAAGCATGATCGTGATAAGGATAAAAACTAAATTTCTCTTTCTTTAAACATTCAATTTTCTTCAACTCACCCACGCTCTCTAAGTGATCTCAATTGTGTGTTTGTAAGTCGTCGAGGTTCGCCACTTCCGTCAGCAGCAACAGCATCGAGTTCATCAAATGGTGGCATGATGAACAAATCTCGAAGATTATTTTTTGATTTTCGATTTGTGCCAACATTTGAAGCATTAATCGGTCCCGTTGTTAATGCGCTTATCGTTGATGATGAGGTCGTTGAAGAGATTGACTGAGGCAAATCTGTAAGTGGAGACACAAAAAAATTGCTTGAATAATGGAAATTACAATCAAATTAGGAACTTACTGATTGGAAATGTTTTCCAATGATATAAAAACTGTGAAGCAACATCTTTAATGTGCTCAATTAACTGTTCAACTTCTGGTGGTGCTCCAACGAGATTAATTTGGAATTTTATTGGCTCTTTCTCCGGGCCCAATAAACTATTTGGACGCGACAAGTTCTGATAATGATGGCGTTGTGTAATTTGCACATTCGTAATGGCTTCTTCACTTGCTAATTCCATTTCCTTCTATTTTCTTGTTTTTCTTCTTTTCCCGTCTGAAATTCTCTATCTCAATCTTTCAAATTAAATTAATATTTAATTCGATTGAATTCATGAGAAGGAGTTATGTACGATGTTTGTCGGAAACGTGTTTCGTTTTGCTCTCTAGAAATGTTAAAAGAAATGTTCATATTTATCTTATTTACTTGCTTCCAGACATTTTTAAAGCAGAACTTTGCATTGGCTTTGAAGGAATTTTGCGTCTGACTTTACAAGATTTCTTCCTTTAAAGTGAATCTCATTAGGAACAGGGAAAGAAAATTTTCATCTTGTTTAAATAAATTATCATGAAGATTATAAAATATTTCTCATAAATTCCGCATTTTAATCTCATCAACTTTGCTTGTAATCAGATTATGAATAAAAAAACTTTCATAACGACAGCGATGTTTAATTTCTCAACATTCACGTGAACTTCCTTTAATTAGAACTTCCTTGACGTTGTTTATGAACTTTTCTTCTTTCGTATTTATGTACTTTCACTCTTATTTGATTTATGTTGGAAATTCTTAGTCCTACATCAACACAAAAACTTCTACGAGATTAAACAAAGTTCGTGTCATGAAATAACTTTTTTATTCACCACATGGGAGCTTTCATGCGACATTTTACATTAAATGAAATGATTAATTTCTGATTCAATCTTGTTGAGTCCAACTAAGAGAACATCACAAAACAAAATACAAAACTATGAAAAATTTATTCCACAAACAATAGAAAATTTAATCCATTAAACGTGATTTGAATTTCAATACGATCTGCTTTCATATTTTGTCATTGGCACGTCGATGTTCTTATGTTACATAAAATTACGTAACATTCATTTCGAAAGTTTGAATTTCTAATGAAATCGTCTCATTTTTCATTTCTTCACTTTTACTCAACTCGTCGCAGTCGAAAAATCGAATAAATCAAAACGAAAACAAACATTTTGACCTTCACACCCAAAAGTTAAGATCCTGACTTGTTATCTTCGTATTTTAATGACAAAGACTTTCCTTCTCGTCATTTTTCTCTTGATTAAACATTCTCTACGATGTTTAAGTTTGAAATGAAATTTCATGTCAAAGCTTAAATGAAATTTTTCCACTTTTACTTTTCATCGAAAGCGAAGACAAATGAGTGGCAGATTTGAATCAAGAATCGATTTGAAAACGATGGGAACAATCGCTAAATGATAAAATAAGCTTCAATTTCATGTGATTTATACGAACGTCACTAAGCGACGATTCTACTTTGGAATTTTTTGCTTGATCGATATGCGAAAATATTTAAGTGGAAGAAATTCCTTCACAACTACGGAATATTTTTTCGCTAAGAGTCTGAGTGTCCACGACAATAAAGGAAAACATTTCACTGATTAATAAGAAATTGATAAGAAAGAAAGTCGACATTATTATTAAACATGGAAGTCATGGAAGAAGGAAACTTAATGGACAGAATTCCGATTCTGTTACAACGCGACATGGAATACTACGAGGTACGAAAGTGTCATTGAAATTTAGGTCATCAAATCTTACATAATCACAAAATTGAATTAATTAAAATATTCATACAAAATCACTTTCGCAGCATAATCAAGTTGTGCTTCAAGAAACAATTTGTTCAGGTATTGTCGGGGGACGATTGGATTTTCCTCGTTATGCTTCATTTGCGTCTGTCAAAATTTGTTTATGGCTGGAAGATGAATATTTCGCAGCTTACAGTCGACATTCAGGACTTTTAGATCTCTCTGAAATAAATGATGATGGAGATGATCGTGATGATGACGCAAATCTTTCAGGTTGTGGTGGAATTGTGAAATCATCAGATCCAGAACGTTTCGTGGTCTTGACGACGAGATCTGCTGACAGCTTACTTGAACACATTCACATTCTCTCCCAAGAGGCTTTAGATCACGCTGATTTGTCTGTCCTTACAGCTACAATTGGAGCAGCTGCTCTGATTAAAAATTCTCTCTACGTTTATCTTCAAAACGTTCAGAAAACAATGTGCCCTCCTAAGGGTGATGACAAAGGCGGATCATTGAAGGTAAAGTCGTTTAAACAAACATTGCAACGCAATTCTATTTTGATTTCATTTGAATTCATTTTTCTGTTACTTTAGTTGAGTTACAAACAATTCTCAGAAATGACAGAAGCACTTGCTGAACGTCTTTTGGATTTACATTGTCGTCTCTTGACACTTTACATTATTCAGGATGCTGATTGCTTACATTGGGAGAATATTCAACCTTTCTTCGAATCAGAACGAGGTTCATACACAATTCAAATGTGGTGGCTTTATATGAAAGGAACGAGACAAGATTTATGGAATTCTGTTCCACCAAGCATGGCACAACGTGTTTTTGCTGGAATGCTAAATGAAACTTTGACAATCTTAACCGTTCGTTACACACAAACAATTCCAAGCAAAGCTCGAAGTCAACTTCTTCTTGTTGACATCTCAAACATTTTACTTTGTGTCGCTGAGCTTCTTCCATCAATTTGTGATTTTGGTGAAGCTTATGTCGGACTCAATATGACAAATCAAAGTAAAATTATTCGTGATGTTCACGCAAAATGTCATGAACTGTTTTGTTGTCTCTTGTTACGTGGAGCTCCATTAGGAATTCTTTACAAACTTCTTAAGAAAGGTACACAATCTGTGGGAATATTTACACAACGCAAAGGTTATCCAAGTCCTTGGATAATTTTTGCTTTACCTAAAATGTTTCCATCAAATCTGAACGGTCATTTGACAACAAAAGTTTCAGAATTTGGAACATTTGCCGCATTAACCATAGAATTGAAAGTTCTTCTTGCGTCACCACAAGCTAATTGGCCGCTCTTGATAAAAGTTCTACTCATGCGTGACGCACATTTGTCGCAAATTATTTTCCATCATTTAATGAAATATTTGCCACCAAGTGATTCATTTATTGATAGTCACATTCAACCTTGCATGAATCAAGAGGGTTTAAGAACGAAATGTGATGGATTTTTATGTGGTAAAGAATGCAAAGACATTGCTGAATGGGCTGCTGTGCAAACAGATCCACATAGACAAACAAACTATCAAACGATTCTCGCTTTGAGCTACATCATCATTATGGTGGGAAAATCAAGCGACATAAATCGAACATTAATCTCTGCGCTTGATAAAAGTCAGATTAGAAATTGGGCTGATTGTTTAGATCGTCGCCAAGTGTGGAATCAAAGACGTCCACCATGGCTTGAAGCTATAATTCATTTAGTTTATCCCGTATTAGATCCCATCGCACACATGCTTATTACAGCCATGCAAACTGGAGCGAGTAATTACCAAGCTATGGCATTAGCCATCACATGTTTCTCCGAGATGTGGGACGCAATTCCCGACTGTCTCTACACCGTCATAATGTGTCTTGCGGAAATTCTACCAACTGATATTAAACCCTTATCCGACTCTGTTCTCATTCAAATTCTCTTTTGTGCACTTTATACGAAGCTGATGGAATGTGCAGCAACTGAAGAACGAGAACATGAAGTTCCTATTGTTGTGAGTGGTTTCATAGAAAATGATCCGAACGTGATTGTTCGTTCGAAGAAAGTTATTTGTCAGATCTTGGCGGAATGCATTTGTTCGATTGATGAGGATAACAAACATACTGAATTACTTTCAGCATTAGTAAATCAATCGATTGAAAGTCAAAAGCGTATGAGAAACTTTGAAGCGGATTTTGATGATATTGGAAATGTTAATGGAAGTTCGTCGAGAGATGATGTTGATGTGCAAGGTACACAAAGAAACACGCAAACAAACGAGACACGCACAGATGAAGAATTTGATGTCGAAAATGCTGATTACATTTCAGAAGTCTTAGCAAGTGACGTGCTGACGACAAGTGTAGGCAAGCAAAGTGTGAAAATGATGTACAAATACATCAAATACAATGTTGAGTTTCTCTTACAACAATTGAATGTCAGTGATGTGGAACCAGACCCGTCGGACAGATATCCCGGTCAACGAATCAGTGAAGAAAAACCCAAATTGCTTAATATGATGTTTCACATCGGTCATCAGCCATTCGACCAATTGTTGACAGGAAAACTTAATCTCGATTATATGGCATGGCTTCAAACGCCCATGTCTCTAACTCCGGAAAGGGCTTGGCTACAAGTAAGCCAACGTTATGAATTCCAAGAAGATGTTCAACTTTCAGCACATGAAGCACTCATGGTACAGTCGGTCACAACCCAATTGAAGAAATAAACAGAACAAACAAACAAACAAACAAATAAATGTTGTGACTTCTTGCGATGTCATCATTTTGTTGTTAACTTTCGTCTTGGGACGCTTCTTTAAATCATTTTTTTGAAACATATCAGAAGAAAGTTTTTCTCTTCCTTCGTCCCTTCTTACGTATCATTTTTATCAGAATAACACAATCGCAAACATTCACACACAAAGTAAAGAACTGACACAAATATGAAAAGAAGAAATCTCAACCCTCCCTTCATTTTCATTTTATGCATTTTGATATAAGCATGAAAAGCAAATCAATAAAAGGACGATTAAGAGCGTTGCTTACACGCAGTGGGATTGTGTAAAGGAAATTTGTTCAGCTCATGAAAATTCCATCACTACTTGGAAGAGGAAAACTGAAAAACAAAAAGAAACTTTTCATCTTCCTTTGTTATTCTTGGAAATGGAAACATTTCTATGGAAACATTTCTATGAAGACTCTTCTTTAACTTATTTAACTGCGGCTCTCTTAAAGAATTTACATTTTATGGCACATTCGACTGTTATCTCATACGAAAAAGATACAACACGCGTAGCAAAATGGAAATTCAATTTCTTTTTCTCCCTTTTACTTTTCTTTTGAAGACACAAAGCTTTGCACAAAGAGATGAAGAGGTTTGTGTTTAAGATAGATGATAAATTTCAATTTAAGAGATTATACAATATCGGAAAGGAATATTGAATGACAATTTTGATTGAGAGAAAGATGAAGAAATAAAATGAAATAAAAGTTTAAACGAAACAAACTCGTTCTTTTTTCTTTGCAGGGAAACACATCTGCGTGACATGCTCACCGTTTTATGTTGGGGGAGAGTCAATGAACCATTTGAAATTTTGTTGTGCAATTCTTATTCATTTTTCACGATTCTTTATTGCTAAACTGTCATCACTGTTTCATTTATATGATGTCATGATGATATCTAAAACTTTTAACAAAAACATCCTAAAACTGTTTAAAAAGATCTGAAAACGAAAACCGCTTGCGGCAATTCTTTGAGCATTCAAGCATGTAGAAACATGGAAGAGAATCACATCAAACGATCAAAGTGACAATGACTAAAGAAACATAAATACAAAAAGAATCTTCGCTTATTATGCCGCATCTCGCCCAGATTTGATGCGACGAAGAAGCAACCGAAAATAGAAAAAAAAGAACTCATAAATGCTGCTTCGGTAGTATTCACATATCTACTCGAAAAGCAACGACGACAATGAATTATTTCCTGCTCATCAGTATCCATCTTGATTAGCATTAGAACAAGAAAGAATAAAATAAAAGCTTTAACAGACACTTAAATCGTTCCACGCGATTGTCAATTCGCGATCTGCTTTATGTTTATCCGCAATGCTATGAAATAAATCTTTCACTTCAATTACCTCAATTGCCGAATGATGAATATATAAAAAAATGAACATTCCAAACATTTTAAGCGCGCACAAGGCGCTTGGAATGTTTATTTTTTTCTTTCTTCATTTGATTTAAAGAGAAACAAGAAGAAGACATGTGTGAACAAAGTCTTGCACAAAGATCGCTTTTTGATAGGAGCTAACGATTTGTACATAAGTTATCAGAGTGATATTCGTTCCGTTAAGTTTCAACACCTGCCCAGCCTGTTTTCGCGATCCATGCGTTTGTTAATCGACGTTCGAGTAAATGAGATTCTATTTATAATGCGTAAATGTTTTGATTAATTATAACCCTTTTGTGTATGTGAATATATAAATCATGTACAAAGTTTAATTTTTTTTTCCTCTCAATTTTACAAACTTCTGAGAAAAGGAAAAAATTAATAAAATCTAATGCGATTACAAAATTGGCAACAATGCAAAGAATATTTTAGCAATAAGATTAAGAATTTCGGTGGTTTTTGCAAATTCTTACCTTTCTAGTTAAATCTTATTAATCCATAATGCTTATTCCACTAATTGAGTTATATGTGTTGTTTTAGAATGTATAGATTTTCACTGCACAACCCAGACATTTAAAAAACATTTTTTTTCTTTACCAAAATTTGTTTTCACTTTCTCTCGCACTTCAAAAAGCAGTTTTTGATCTAAATTGATATTTTTCAAGTAAATATCACTAAAAGCTTTTAATTAAAAGCATATTCTTTCTAATTACTTGTCTTTTTCTTTGTTTAATAAATTAAAACTATTTTCCGTGATTTTAACACTGGCTAGAAAATTACTTTTTAAAAGTACGTTCAGTTTGCGGTTAAACTATTGAAAAGTATCAGCTGTGAAGTTCAAAAAGTTCAAGTTTGATTATATCAGTTCAAAAGTAACATTTGAATTTGTAACCGTTAAATTTATATCTGAAAGACTTTCCCATATAAAAGTTGAAAATTCAGCATTTAATTTCTTTCTCAAAACTTTATTATTTGAATTGCTAATTACATCTCAAATTTTGTAAGTAGTTTATAATATCAGATGCCATCGCTAATAAATTTAGTGCGTGTACATAAATTTTAAATTCTCTTGAGAAATTCATTTCATGTAAAAGGAGAAATCAAATTATCTGATTAAAATTAATTTCTTCTCGTAATTTCTGTACTCATTTATATTCTCTTTACAGCATTGCTTAAACTTATTTTATGTACTCTTTCTTGAATCATTAAATAAGGATAATAGGTACCTATATGGTGTATGATAAGATATCTAAAAGAAAATGTTTTGGTCGATTTATCTAAAATTTGCATTGTAAAAAATTCATGCGGAAGATGTATGTAGATAATGACAATTAAATCGATTGACAAAAACTAATCAGATATCTTTTAAACTAATATATCACAAAAAGTATAACTTACTGGGTAGTTATGAATAAAAAAGTGCTTCAATGACTTGTACGAAACTTCTGAATAGGACATTTATGAAATCTTTTTGAAATATATTAATTTGCTACAACAATCACTTGATTCCGTACGCAAACTATTTGTCATGTGTACGTACAAATAACTGTAGAAAACTCCTTCCATTATTTGTGCAGCATTTTTTATACTTATGTAATATTGAGAGAATACGTTTATTTGATCGCCATGCGAATATTTTCGAAACCAGAATCTTCATCGGAACTTCCTACCGTCAAAACAAGTTTGTTGCTCAAAATATACTTGTCGTCACTTTCAGAAGTCTTTTCTAAAACCTCGCTTATCTTCTGCTCTTTCGTTTGCAATTGAACTTCATCTTCAATGAAGACAATTGACGTTCGTCCACTAACTTCACCTTCCTTTGTTATATTTTCCTTCCCGAAAGTTGTGAAGCTTGGAGGTCCACGTTCAGAATTTGAGCTTCCCGAATTAGAGCTTAATGAGTCCATGGATCCCGTACATGAGGGTGTTGGCAAGATCATTTTATCACTTGTATCTTCGTCAATGTCCAAGAGACTTTTTGGTTGCTTCGGAGATTCATCGTCATTTGTTACTTCTATACTTATAGCTTTTTCTTCTTTGGTTGTGCCAAGATCGGACATAAAATCGCTGACTTCACTACTAGTGCTGCTAACAAGTTCCAATGGTAATCTTAACAAACCTTTTGTATGACAAAGTTCTCCCATTGATAATGGATCTGTTAGCACGTCACTCTGTGGATTTCAATGAAAATTTATTAAAGCTGGAAATTGGGAAGATTTAATCAACTCACCGATTCACCAACACCCGAATCTGGTCTCTCATCAAATTCTTCATCATCAAAATTTCTTCGTATTGGCCATTCAATCTTCAAAGGGAATTGATGATGTTGTTTTGAACTGTCTTCATTATCAGTTACATCCTGTCATCGTAATGAAAGTTTTGAAACTTGTTCAATAATTTAACTGCATTTTTTACCTGAATTTGTGACCATGAGAAGTCAGTTGAGTCATTTGGCCATGTGTTGTGTAAGTGAACTTGATTACTGTTATGAAATGGACGTGAAGAACTTGTGATAGTAAAACCATCAATTTGTTGTGGAAAATTTGAAGCAACATCAGAAAGTTGATGTGCATAAGTGAAGAAGTCAATGTTTCCACTACAATCATCCATGTAGTTAGACCAGAGTTGAGGTTCACTGTAAGCTGGTGACAGTTGAACAACTTCACAAGGATATTCGTAAACAGAATGATAACGTTGAATTTTAAATGCTACTCGTCTTGATTTTTTGGGCTGATGAGATGAAGAAAAATATTTTTAATCATACATTCATAATTTAATTAAATTTTTCTCACTTCTTCCAAGACTTTCTCCTTTTCCGGACTTTTCAAAGATGATCTTTTAGGTTGAAGACTTTGATTCCAAGATGATGGAATAAATTCACCTTCTTCACATGATTCATCTTCAGATTCATTTGAAAACTGTGGTTCATCTTTGAACGATCAAAAGGGAAAATTAATTTAAATTTTATTCACAAATATTTGAGTTAATACCTCCATGGAAATTCGGGGTTGCTGCGATAGAATCCTTAGTTTGTTGCCAATTGATGTCAACAACTTCAACATCTTCAACGTCGTCATAACTCTTATCGTTTGATGTATGTTGAGTATCGTTATTCTCTTCATTCTCTTCATTTGGTTTATCCATGGAAGTGTCTAAAGAAATGAATTTAAATCATTTTCTCAATTCTTTTGTTGATTTCTTATTAATTACCATTATAAAGTTTAGTCTTGGATCCTCCAACATTTCCTTTAACATACATAAACTCTTCACTTGAATGACTTGAATCATCATCACTCCATTCTTTGGTGAAAGAAGTTGTCATCATTCCTTGATTACAAGACACTTGTCTGATGTCAGTTGACGAGCCCTAAATCAAAATTTACAATGAAAATTGTCATGAAAATACTAAAAAAAAAGATTCAAATGCAGCACCGTAAATCCAAATTCAATTTCCAATTCGAAAGAAAATCATGAAGTGAAATTTTCCAGCACAAAATTTTAAACAATTTCTCAAAACTACGGAATAATAAAAGAAATCCAATCGAATAACGCATGCCAATGTTTTGTGAAATTTAAAGACAATGTCAATGCCACAAGAAGATCTTTCATACCCATAAATCATCATCAATTTTATTCATGTTATTGTAATGATGATGATGAAATTCTGCTGATCCACAATCATCAATGATATCCGTAAACTTTTTAAAAAAATCGAAAGTTGTTAATTTTGCCAAGTGTAGCTTGTGAAATGTTATCTCAGCTTGATTCAACAGCAAAGTCTTGTCGATTGGTGCAATTTTCATCTCCTTTTCCATGATTAATATTTAATGAATGTTATTAAAGTTTCTTTTCATGAATGATTAATGAAATGAAAATATTTTTATTGTCATGCAACAAGTAAAAGAAAATTTGTTTTGTTTTTTAGAAATCAACAAAGACAAGAGAAAAATTTATTAACCAAATTAGAAGAATGTCTACTTTTACAAAAGAAAAACTCATAACGAGAACGTTTATGCTTAAAGTAGTTGAAAGGCACTTGAGTTTACAGCCAGCCAATCTTTTCTTTCTCTAAATTATGGCGACAGATAAGAAAAACTAAATTGAACTAATTATTTGTTTTTTGTGTCTTAGTTAAAAGCGCTTGAAGGTTTTCTTAAAGATTTCTTATCACTAAATCTTCGACGATTTTTACACAACAACACAAACGAGCAAACGCTTTTAGAATCTAAAATGATATTCTACTTTTTTAAATGATTAAATTAAGACTAAAGTTTCGAAACATTTCCTTTTTTCCCCCGAAAAGCATACAAGCGTGGGTGGAGATATTTACAGAAGAACAAGAAGAAGAAGGAGAAGAAAGAAAAATCCATTCAGTTGATTAAAAGTTTACTAACTTTTTTCTTATCATTTCCTTCACTATCATCTGATGAATCAGATGGAATGGGCGTTGCAACTATCACAGCATCATCCGATTCTGAGCTCTTTTCACTTTGTACTTTATCTGAATTGTTCGATGTTGTCGTGTTGATGGAGTCGACGCTGTTAATGCTTTTTGATGCATGACTAGCTGGAATTGAATCGGCAACGATTTCATCTGGAATAGAAAATTTGATATACTTGAAATGTTAAATAGAAATTAATTTGTTTTCACCTATAAATTCTTCTTCCTTTTCAATTTCAAGTGAATCAATTTCAATTTCCTTCTTCTTTGACACTTCGTCACCTTCTGGATTGATTGAATCATTGTCAAACACAACTGAACTACTTTCTTGAACATTCAACGTCATCTCCATGTCTTTGGTATCACAATCCTGATTTCCATTCTCATCATTTATTTCATAATTCAAATTATCATCAGTTTCGATCGATATAATGTCATCCATTTGAAGACTATTGACTTTATTATTATCATCATCATCATCATCATCTGCCATTAAATCTAGCGATTCAGATGCAAAAATTGGCTCACTAATCTCTGAAATTCGTTCATCATCGTTCTTCAACACAAGTGAAACGCAAGTCTTCTGATCATCAATTGTATACGTCATGTCTTGTTCAAAAGACAATGAATCAGCACGATTTTGATCAGGCGATGATAAATCATTAACAATTTGTTGAGCTTCAGGTAAGTCCAATGGCCATGAACCATCGTCAATCGTTAATTTCGCTACAGTAATCTCATATTTGGATGTTGAAGGAATTGGAGATGTTAAATCGAGATTTAATGGATGTTGTCGTATGTTGTTCTTCATGACATCAATCGGATCAAGTTCATGACATTTTCCAGCAAAATGCATTGGCGGATCTTCATTCGTTGGTGTTCGTTCGAGACTTATCTTATCATGAGATTCTTGTCGTGACAATGTCGATGAAGCTGATGATCCAGCTGTTTGCATTCTTGGTGACATCATCAAGTTATCAGTCTGATCACTGAGCGTATCTTCGAAATTAAATAATGTGTCGTTCGATGCCATTAAAGCTTTCGGTATTTGACCCATTTGTGCTTCAGCAGATGCTGATTCCATGATACCCGTGCTTGTGCTATCCAAAAGTTTTGTCTCGTTGAAAACAAACGTGCGACATGTTTCATCACATTCCGACTCTTCCATGATTGGTGACAGTGGTCGCTTGTAATTGATGTGCATCTCATTGGACGTTGTCGGTTCACAATTCAACAAAGCACCGAGCAAATCAAACGTTCCAGCGTTCGATGCTTCATCAAGCTCACCATATTTAATTCCATAATTTTCACTTGGTGAACTTGAATCTTTATTGAGATCATCATCATCGTCGAGAAAGTCGTTGTTATGTTGACTCATACCTTGCGCATGTGGCAACATTTCCTTCAATTGTCTTCTCAATTGATCATATGTTGAGCTCATGTCTTCCATGTTTCCCTCCTCATCCTCCTCATCATCGACATTAAAAGCGTCAGGCCTTGCTTGTGGATGCAAATACCATCCATCTTGATTAAACGTTATTGTTTCATTCTCACCTTCTAATGTCACTGTCTTGTTGTTACTTGACTCAACTTGACACTTTTTACTAATTGCTCCTTTATTGTAAGTCATTTTATCCCAAGTCTCACTTGAATAACTCAATTCAATTGGTGTATTGACTGGTGTGACTGTTGTGAGATCTTCTGAACCTGTTTCATCCTTGTCGATTTTAATCGATGGCATTTCTGATATCACCGTTGGCGAATCAAAAGTTTTATCGTTGATTGGTTGCATATCAAATGTTTTATTACCAGTTTGGGTGATGTCAAATGTGTCATTATTGATATCAACATCATCTGGGAAAAGATTCTTCACTTTACCAGAATCAACATTTGATGATCTTAATTGTAAAGAAGCGCATGGTGTGCTCATAAATTTCGCATTTAAACTGCTAAACTCTTCAAACTCATTATCAATATCAATTGGTGATGATTCTTGCAGTGTTTTCTTCTCTAAAATCTTCTCGCAATCTTCGACAACTGAATCAACCAAAATTTTAGCTTCCTCTTTAATTTCTTCAATCTTTCCTTGTTCAAATTCTTCCTCATCCTCGTCATCCTCCAATCCTATTGCAATATCAAGTGCTCTCAACGCTTCTTCAATGCTATTATTATCAGCAATTGACGAGTTGCTGTCTCTACGTTCTGTTAATTTCATTTCATCTTCATGCTCTAACTTTACTTCCTCACCATCAGTTTCTTCATCGAGGATTTGATATTTTTCACTATTATCATTGACTGAGCTCTCAACTTCTGATCCATCATCTGAAAGAGTTTTAAAATTATTTATTACCTCGTGCTGGTATCGATTTCTTTTTTTTTTCTTTGCAATTAAATAATAAAAGATTTTTTTATTACCTTTAGCTACAACACTTTGTCCTTCAACTATCGTATCGACATTCGCGCTATTAAAAAATGGATTTGAGTTGATTCCCGATTCCTCATTAGCCTCTTGCGCGATATCGAGTTCCTTGCGGTTTTTATCATCAACAACAACAATTTCAAGCTCTTCATTATCCTTCGATAGATTTTCATCGTAAAAATCTTTATATGGAGATTCAGTTGTTAATAAAACTGATGACGTTTTTTGTTGCATTTGTTCAACAGTTGTCGGTGCATGTTGATAAGATTGAACATTGTTTGCATAAAGCAATGGTGTTGATGACGATGGTGATTGATGCTTTTTGATATCCTTTTCAGTCTCATAGGTGATCGTATCTCGTGCTGTAGCTGCAAGAACTTTATCTCGATGATTGGATGGAGTTGATGCTTTCTCAATAAGAACTACGTCGCTACTGTCAACAATATCACTACGTGGTGAACATCCATTATTGTTTGCAAGATTATCTGATGAATTCAAAAGATTATCACGCGAAAGATTATTTCGTTCACATGGAACAATCGCTGATGATTCGTTTACAGCTTCCGTTGCTAGAGCTCGAAAAATTGGATATTCATTCTTTTTAGCATTTTCTAAATTGCCAGCCTCGTTTTCAAGCTTCTAAAATGATTAAAGAAAGGAAGAAAAATGTCAGAAAGGTCACAGAAAGATTCAATTCGTTATTTAAACATCTTTAAAATGTGAAGTAGAAAAAACTACCAAAATCCGATCCTTTCGTTCGAGCTGTATGCAGGAAACGAGATAAAGAAGAAGTGATTACAGCTACTTGTTGAAAATTGCTGACTTTAAACCAAAAAACTTTCGTTTTGTGGTTTTCAACTTACTTCAAATGTTTTCTTCCGTCGGAAACAAAGCGCACATGCTCCGAGCAGTGAAATCGCTCCAACAACTGCCAATACACAAACAATGACGACATTATCACCTGTAAACAAAGAAGGATAAAAGAAGAAAAATAAGTTTTACTTGTCTGTTTTTACTCTTTCCACGGACCATTCCTTATTGAAATTTATTTGATGTTTCAAAAGTGGTGTGAGGGGTTTGAAACTTTTAACACTTCAATCGATTAGATTATTTACAGTTTATTTTTCTTATTCCCATAACAATTCAAAAATGTGTGGGTGAACGATAAAAGTCTTTAGATCAAATTGAAATGGTCAATAAATTGTTGTAGATTATAGCGCGAGAACTTTTCTTCCTTTTATTTCAGTTTAATAGTGATAAGAATCGTGTCGAGTTCAGCGAAAACAATTTCTATTTATTATTGAATGATGGATGTGCCGAGCCCAAAGCAAAATCGAAATCCGACATATACAAGGATTATGTTGAGAAAGGATAAAACACGAAAATCCTGTTGATCACGCAATCGACGTATAATAACAATGAAGAATTGAATTCGGGTTTGTCGTGTGATATTGAGGATGATATGATTTTTTTAAATGCCTTTTTGTTCTTTTATTTTTGCGAGATAAACAAAACTGACAAAGGAAACCAAAATTTATGTCTATTGTGTGATTCAGGCGATGAAATAACAAGACATCAACGATGAACCTTAAAGTCGTGTGCTACGACAGTGACGCAAAACGGAATCATTAAGGAAATTACTTTTGAGGACTTGCTCAACAAAAGTTTCGTGACCTTGTAACATGCTCAAATATTTCCTTTATCAGCTTAGTGTTAATAGCGATAGTTTTATGAATGAAATTCTCGCTTGTGTACTTCTCGTTTGAGAGAAAGGCAAAATCATTGAGACTTGTGTAGAACGTTACACACAGCTGGCAGTTGAATGATTTTATTTCTCAAGGACAGTTACAAAGGCTTTTTTTTGCAATAGTGATAAATATTAAAACAAGTCAAGATATCTATCTAGGTAAATGATGTTTGCGATCTTTATGAACTTATTTGATCTAATTAAGTCAGAAAGCGTCGCAGCAGATACACATTAATGTTCATGCGTCGAAAATCTTGCGGAACATCGCACTTGCTTCACTGGGCATTTTAGTTAATGAAATGCTCGACATGGTGATTTGGTAACACGCAAAAATGAAAGGGAAAAAAATAACAAATTATTAAATCGCTAATGTATAGTTTCATGAAAAGAGTTTTTTTCTGTGTCTTTTCAACGTTCACGTCTTCCTCATTTCTACTCAATTGTTCACAACTTGCAATGCATCAGCCGTGTATTAACACAACTTGGTCCAATTATCGATTTTGCCATTTTTTTTATTTCACAAGTAATACGTACCAATAATTGATGACGATGCCTCAAATGGAAGTTGCGAGCAATTGCAACAACCTATAAGACCCACAGATAGAATGCAGAGAGTCAATAAAATCATTTCTTTCCTCCTACTTCATTAGTTTCTTTTAAATTTTTCAACTGGAGAAAATTTGCAACACAAAAAAAAAATTCCGATGCACTTTTTCACGACTTTGTACAAGGATTCTATGCAAACTTTATGATTCAATAACAATAAACACAAAATGGAAGCTAAATAAATTGAATAGGATATGAATATCTGTAGTTGAACTATAAATATGATCGTTTTTCGTTTTTTTTTCGTTGGGAAAAAAAAATTATATACAGAGCTTTGTTATAATCGGTTAGGGATTAATACGTCGGCGCTGTAACACTTTCGAAAATAACGATTTAATTTTTGTTATAACCCAATATATGATGGATTTGAAATAGCAAACACAGATATTTGTTATTTGATGATTTTCTTTTGTAAATAGAATTAAAATTGTAACATAAAAAGGTTTGACATTATTTGAAACTGAATCCTAAGTTAAGGCTGAACAAACTGTTGATGGAGAAGTCTCTGATTCAAATTTTGTCCGTTAAATTTTATAACAAAACCTTCGTCAAATCATTGGTTTGACTTGTACTTTACAACATGAACCGGACGTAAGCTTTAAAAAGCTTTTTTTCAATTATTATCGAAAATGTATGACTTTTGTCATATTTGTTTTCAAAAGCGGACAGTTGATTACATATCAAAGAATATTGAAACAAAAATTGAACGTTTTTTTGGAGTTAAGGTAGAATTAATAAAAAATGTTCACATCAATCTTCAATTTGTAGGTTACTAACTATAATCACGTTTTTCTCCTAAAAATAGCTCCAAACAATAGTTGAATCGAAAAGAGTGATTTGTCTCCTGTGTACAAAAATAGTAAATGACCACTGGAATAGTCGACTTCGACTTCTAAAAATCCAGAATGGAAAAATTACCACATTAAATAGTGAACGACGCTTCAAAAAATATGTACTTACTGGCGAAAACCAAATAATTCGATACACTGAGAACATTTCAGACCAGAAACTATTGCACTTAAATCCAGTTGTTGAGCTGGAACGATTAGACATAAAAATTGACGAAGAGCAAACATGTCCATCATCGTCAGTATCAAAACTTCGTTCTCATGCAAAAAAAACTAAAATAAGACAAGATAATATTAAAGAACTGAAGATATGTCTTGAAGACCTCAACACTGAATGGTCTGCTGGTAATTCTAAATATAAAAAGAAATTAGACAAATGTTATGAGGGAAAGGAATGGGATTCAGAAGACGAGGAGAATAATGATAAGAATAAGAATGAGAATAAAAATAAGAAAAAAGCATCTAAAAAAAGCTTTAAATTGAAGTTGTTCACAAAAACTCGAAAGGCATCAAAGAAATAATTTACATCATCAGTGACGAGTAGATTTGAAGTTTATTTTACTCTAACAATCAAAACAAGTTAAAAACAAAACAACAAAGCTCAGATTCATTTATTAACTTTTTCCTTATTGTTCACTAAGCATCTTCAATAATGAAAATGATTAAAAAAAAGATCAATGAAAAATAAATTAATTTTCTTTCAAACAATATTTATTTTAACATTAAAAAGCACCTGCAATCTTCATGTTTTTCCCATATAGATATTCTCGGTTCGATAAGATATTTATCCAGAAAGAAGAAGAAGAAAAAGTGTTTAATTTCCTAAAGAAAAAGAAATCTTTTCGCCTTCTTATGAAGAATCGAGCCACATCCTTTCTAAATATTTAATTCTTCAGAAAATCCTTTCACGAACTTATTATCTCGATGATTTGTGCATCGACTACGTTTCTTCAACATTCTACGATTTTTCAGCTGATTAAAACTGGTAGAGAATTGACTGTCACTTAAATCCAGATTTAAACGGTAACCTTATCGGTAAACAACTCCAATTCATGGAGATATAGTCAAAAGGCGTAGAAATTCATTTCGAATATCAAATATCTTTTGAAGACGGTAATGGAAGAACGAAGGGATAAAGCTTAGTTGGAAATTGCTAATTTTTCTCCCCTTTCAAAAGCTTATTGAATTTCACATGAGTATAGGGATTGTGGCAATCGAAGAGATGAAAAAAGAAAGGAACTTAATAGTTTCCCTTATTGAAATCGCATAAACTCTTTTCAAATATATTTAGTTTCCACATATATCAGATTCACACAGATTTCCTTCAATATCATTTACTCAAATCGATTTTACATTTTCTCAATCAATTAGATCGATTGCTTGTCTCTGTGGGGACTTACGCCAGAAACAATTTTAATTAGAATGTTTTATCCTGATACTCATCGAAGCATTTCAGTCGGGATTTTTTTATCTGCCATTCAAACATCAATTTATGCAAAATATAAAAGCTAAAAGCTATTGAGGATTTCGTTTCCTGTACACTGCAGTGAAACAAACATAGTTCTTGCAAAGACTTTCGTTCTTCTATCATCGTTGTGCTCGAGATTTTATTCAACTCAACATATTTAGTTGAAAACAACTCTTAACAATAGAGTAACAGTTTCACTCTATTTGGAAAATTGAAGCGGAATTTAATTTGATGAAATCACAATGAAGAAGCAAAAAAAATTCAATTTAATTAACTTTTTCAACTTTTTTCCCTTCAGTTTTCTTCATTCTTTCCTTTCTTTGTGATGCCCGAAAATAAATTGAAAATTTGCTTCCATTTGCTTATATTTTCTTTTTAATAAAGATGGTATTGTAGGAAAATCTCACTTTATCACGTATAGAAATATTCAGGAAGATGGAAAATTTAAATGCGAGTTTTTTAGAATTTAATCTCAGTTGAGTTGGCATTTCGTTGCATGCAAAGTTTCTTTATATTTCCGAAATTCAATATATTGTATGCTTCATTTCATTACGTAAGTTTTATGTAAGTTATAATCTGCTTATAAATTAAATTCCATTTTTGATGGCAGAAAACAAAGCAATTTTAATGAATTTATTCAATATTAGCAAAAGTTTTTATCAACAGAGAAAAAAGAAAAACCAAAAAGGATTAAAAAACCATCTAAAATTTGCGTTTAATTATGTAAAATTGAATTTACTGCATTTAAACATTCAAATGGAAAGCAGAAATTAAAAGCTTTTCGAAAATTTTATCATCATTTGAAAGCTTTTCGAAAATTTCTCTCTTACCAGGAAATGAAGAAAATTAATTGCTTCAATTTCACAATTTGCCATTTCATGTTGAGACCGGAAAAGTTTCATCTTAACAGCAAAGTAGAAAACCCAACTCATCATTCAATTTTTAAACTTACTTGGTTTCAGGTTTCATTATTCAAATGAATTTTCATGAGAGAAACTTTTTCGTTTTCAATCGCTTTCACATTTAGTTACAACAGTCGAAGAAAAAAAAAAAAATTAAAAGACTTAAAGAGCAACTTTTTCTATGCAAAAATTACTTTTTTGTTAATTTTTCTTCACTTTTTTTGGTTTTCTTTTGACTCTGTTTTCCTGCTAAGGATATAAAATAGAAACCATCTTTTCATTCTTTGTTAAATGAAATGAAGTTTATTTTATTTACATCTCAAGTGGCTGGATTTGTGGATAATGTCATGACAATTCCTCTAAAAGTTTGAATTTCTTTTTAACATCGCTCGTAGCATATGATCTCGATTGCAAACTTATGTATGTCAATAAATTGAAAAACTTTTTTAAGTCTTTCAAAGAAGCTCATAAAGTACAGACATCCACTCAAATTTAACTTACTTTTGCCATTATTTACAACAACCCACAAGGAGTACGAAGTAAATATTAAGTTCACATTCCACAACAAACGCCGTTTCTTTCACAAAACTTTTCCTTTATGCAACAACGGAAGGCAGAATAAAACGGGAAAAGCTCACATCTTTTCTTGTTCTTCTTCTTCCTCTCATAATAAAAGAAAATTTAATAAAGTTTCCGTTTGAGGATATTCTCTATTCCCCCCTCGCCACTTTCAAACGATTCTTTAACTCATTTTCCATCAAATTTCTTCATGATAGAAAGCATCTTAGAGCATAAAGAAAAAGTTTAAAATTATTTATTGAATACATACGTAGCTATGGGGAATAACTAGATGTATAAAAAGTGAAAGCTTTGCTCATTTTTATGTAACAAGGAAGATTCAGATATAAATGTTTTCCGCATCATCAAATATCTTTTTTTTCCTGTGCTTTTCACTCTCAATTTTGCCAAAAAAAAATATCTAAAGAAAGTCTAAGCGAGTAAATTGAAAGCGAAAAAGAAATTTATGTGAAAGTTATTCTCGTTTAATTTTTATCACACGGCTTTCACTTTTTTTTTGGGATGTTCATAAATTTATGGTGTTTAGTTAAAGGAAGCTTTAAATTTAAATTTATGATACAACATAATCTCAGGAAATTTAATTTCTTGTCATTTTAATGCACATAGTTGTATGGACTCCCACAGATGCCGTGAATTGCTTTTTATCTCAATGAAAAAAATACCTCGAGAGACATTTTCATACTACTTGGGAAATCTTTTGTTGTTCATTCAACCAAATATGACGTTGTTTGACAAGCCTTCACAGCTTTATCGTTGGTCTTCTTAGGGAGTTGTTAACCCTTAAGTCCTACAGGTGTAAGGGATGCTTTGAAAGATTAAAATATGACACATTTTCTTTCGTTCATAAAAACATTGCCCCTTTGTTCTTTCATTTTTTTTCACCTTTTTCGCTATCTTTGTTGTTCTTCGTTAGTTACAATTTTGAGGGTTCAATGAGTTGTAGAGGATATTCAAAGGAATTTCTTGTTTTGTCAACCACAAGAAACCTAAAGATAAAGCAAAGTACTCTGTAAAAATATAAAGAATGGAACTGAAGCTTCTTTTTTCATATTTATAAATAAGAAGAAAAAATTTTCTTTCCTTTCTGTTCAATATAATTTTTTGTTGCTTCTCTAATTCAAAAACACAACAGTGAGGTAAACGTAGAAGCACTTTGTGTGCTGATATAGGTTTTTGAATGCTTTTTTTCCTTCGTTCGTTTCGTGTTGTGTTTTCGACTCAGTTTCAATCTTTAGAGATTTATTATAACAGAATAAACGTGTTTATTGTATGATTTCTTTCCTTTCTTCATTTTCTTTTCATGCTTTCACAATCAAATGTTTTTCTTGTTGTGTATCTTGGGGAGCATAAATAAAGATCGAGTTTCATGGTGGTATTCGGAAGCGTAAAAAAATATCTCATTGCCATAAAATTTCAATTAAAAGCTTATAAAAGTGGAAAATGAAAGATAAACAAATTGGGACAAGAAGAAGATCTATGAAGGATTTTCTACAAAGCTTATTTTGGGAACATGAAATGGCTATTAATTTTAACCTTTTCTGTAATTAATCATATTATTTTTTTTCAATTTTGGGTTGCTCGGTTAACCCAAAGTTATCAAGTCGCTCTGAAAACATGAAAATATGTAAGTGATGTAATATTCTATTTGGAAGCTTTTTATGATAAATATTTTGGGCATAAAACGCCCACTCAATGGATTGATGACTCCATGAAATATTTTATGTAAAAAATGATACACCATCACTCAAAGCGAACAATGCTGATAAAAACAGTTGATTAAAAATCACTCGAGTTGAATTATCTTGCAAACTTAAACTAATTATGGAAGAAAATTAAATATCAGCATAATTCAACAGAACAAGAGAGTTGGTGCTGACAGAAAATGAAACAAAAAAGTTTTTTTAATAAAAGAAATATTAAGAGAAACATAAAGCTTAAGATTATGAAATTCGAATGTTGCTCTCGTGTGTTCAAAACAGATTTAAGAAGGTAGGAATATAAATCGATATTTTAACCGTTTTCGTGACTATGTAAGTTGTTGTTGACGTTCAATGTTCAGTGTGTTGCAGAGAAACCGAATAAGAATAAAGGATTTCACTTTCAATTTTCTGTTTTCTCAAAATGTGAAAAACAAATTTGTTTCAATTTATTGGGGAGCAATTTCAATATCGTTTGTTGCTAAAAAGAACATTGAAAAGTGAAAAGAAAATGCTTCCGATGGGACACATTTTCACCTCAAGTACGAAAAGTTGAAGTTATTTTTCGTTATGAGATTATCTTCATGACGTTCAAGACGATATTGTCACAAATTATTAAACGCGATAAAGTGTGAAAAAGCTGATAATCGAATTGAAAGTGAAAGTTGGAAAATCTGAAGTTCAAGGTGACAAGAGATGTGAAAAATTTCATTTCCCACCCACGTCAGAATGTTTTTCTTTCTTTTTTTTATTCTATGCCTTCGACAATCGGGGTTAACTAGAATATCAATGAATGTTTTTGACTTATTTAGGACTTCGTTATGTGGGTGTTCCAGTGAATAATAAAAAAGGAAAAAACCCATCAGTCTCGAATTGATTTCAAACTCAATATACCTTTTCGTTCTCCTCTGAAAAAGTTCTCCACAATGTATGATTTTGTCATTATACGGGTTCGTTTTAACACCATTTTGGCATCATTTAGCTTTTGATTTTATTCAATATTCAACGGTCGCCTTGATCCCTCGTCTTCTTACATAGCCTGTTCTATTTCTCATTTTTTCCTTTTCCGTTTGTTGAATCTTCCATTTGTCTCGATCCAGTCATGGTCAGATATATTGCGGCAATGAATTTTATTTACTCAGTCTCTTTGGATTCTTCTGTCATCCTGCATTGAAAATTTATGATGCGAAACAAATATTCTTAAAAAATATGAACCTTTTTTTCTATTTCTCGCTGTTGATATTTATATTTGTTTTTTCAGATTTTTTACTATTTTATTCTATGCTTTCAGAACTTTCTCTTGTGCCAATTACCATTGAAACTTTATCATAGAAGCGAAACCATAGAGAAAGTTTTTCAACAGCAATACTGTTTAAAGAGTCCTAATTAGATTTTTTTATTTTAAAGACCTCTTCTTAATATATTATTAAATTTCTAGTGAGAACGAAAAATGTTTTTATGTTGCCTTAAAGTGAACAAATGAATGAAATGGAAGTTGGAGAGGGAAGTAAAAGTTTTCACCATTAGCAAGCCTATGTTAAGAAATTTATACAGCTTTCATTTGAAGTAGTTTATTAGATGTTTTCGAAAAGAAAGTATCCGAGTATTTAAGGAAAAGGTTCACCTTTTTGCTATTATAGAAATTGCTATAATTTTCATGTTGACACTTTAATGGCTTTGATTTAACTTTATTAATGTATGAAGAGTATATTTGAAACAGAAAACGTAATCGAACATAAATGTTTCATTAACAACAACCTTCAAATTTTGTTTCATGAGAATTATCAACACAATGTTTGAGAATATTTAATTACCAACCAAATTCATCATAAATGCTTTATAGTTGAGTTCTAATTGCAAATGCATTAAAAGTAATTACGATCATAAAACTTTTTTGAAAGGGAAGGGTTGTCGAAAGTTTAACGGTTCCCAAAGGGTTTTATGTCTTCATTTCACATATTCATGTTTGTTTTTTGTTAAAGAGAAATTTTCTCCACACTAATTTATGTATATGATGGCGTTCTGCTTGGTGTTGGGCTTAAATTGTGGTTTATTTATTAGGAAACGAGATTTATTTTTTCTCTTTTTCTGAAAATATCCAAAAGTTTAATGTTTAGAAGGGAAAAGTGTGCGACTCGGTTTTAAACTCAACATGAAACCTTTTATCTGAGCGCGCTACTGCCTAAGCTCAGAATGCAAATTCGATCGTAAATAAATCACGATGAGGCTTAAATGCTCAACCAAACGATAAGAAAAGAGAGAAATCATGAATTAGTTTCGTCTTATCACGAGGGGATGTAGAAATAGGTACATAATGCGCTCTATCATTCTTTTTACATGGCTTTTCGATTAATTCGTGACTTTTCCATCATTCTGTGGAGTAAATGAAAAGTTTTCCATTTAAACTTTGTTGCCTGATTTAAGCCTCTTTTTTTCTTTTTTATTCTTGTTCTGATTTTATGACTAAAGGGTTAGTTTATTTGAAATATTTATGTCGATCCCTTTGACGCTCCATTTATTTATTTGTTTTCCCTAATAACTTTTACCAAGCTCTTCAGCATTAAATTCTGTTTGTCGAGTTTTTAAAATCTCGAGATTTTTTCATTCTTTATTTCGCTTACCAAATCGAGAGAGATTTACGATGGAAATTCTTTTTTCTTTCTTTTTTTTTTCTCACAACTTTATGAGCTTTTATTCCTTTTGTGGGGTTGGATTCCAAGTACTTTTAAAGACTTCTTTTTATTTTAAATAAACGGAAGGATTTCAAATCCCAGATTAAAATTCAAGATTTATTCTCAGATCTTGGAGCTAATTTCCTCCTTCTTTTATTATATTCAAACTTTTATCAATTGTTTGCTGGGTACTTTACTGACCTCTAACAAAATTATTCTTCTCAATTTGAGGTTCAAGGGTTAACCAAGAAATACTCTGTTGGTTTGAATAAATGATTACACGACTGTCATTGCTTGTATATTGGCACGTCGTTTTGACATTTCTAGAAAAGGTCTCTTCTAATAAATAAAATGAAACTCCTGTGACATTGTTTATTTAAAGGGAAAGAAAGCCAAAGACGACGTGTTAACCACAAATTTTTCTTATCTTCATTATGCAAGCTTTAAATTAGCTTCATTCGTTACACGAAGTCTCATCTTTCCTTAAACCACAAAACAAGTAACAAAAGTAAAAAGAGCCTGAATTTTATCCTCTGACATTTCTTCCCTGCTTATTAAGATAAAATTGAAATGATATTGTGTTGTGTAGCAGCTAAAGCAAGACGAAAAGGAAAAATTAATGATGCTCATTTTTCTCGAGTCAAAATTAATTAAATTGCATCACAATGAAAGCATTGATAGAATAATAAAAGACTTTGGAAGCATGGATAAAGTGATTTGGAGTCTGATAAGGAGCCCCCAACGACATCACAACAAAAACGGAAATAAGAAATATAATGGAAAGTAACCTTGAATGTTCATGACGATGATGATGTAAAAATTAGAATTTATAGTCGAAGTAAAAATGACTCCACAAGCCGGAATTGAAAGCTTGAGTTATAAATCAAATGTAAAAGAAGGCGAAAGAGCTCATCTGTCTTGGAATGCTTTCATGATTTTTTGATGAAATGTTCCTGTTTAGTGCTTTACGCTTATGGCCGCTTTTACGTATAATGTGCTATGAAATTGATATTGACGATGAAAACACTTGTTCAATTTTGCGTAATAACCCTCGAAGAATATTTAAGAAGGCTTTTCGTGTTTGTTTTTATACTTTTGTTTCCAGAATAACATTCTTCGCTTATTCTTGTTCTTTATTTTTATTTATACGAGAAACATGAGTGAACTTTATTCCTATCACCAAAATAGAGATAAACAGATAAATTTGCACTTAAAGGAAGAAGAAATATTATTCAACTTTATTGTTCTTCATTCATTCATTTAAGATGCAGAACTTAAAAGTTCAATTAAAAGCACGATTACCTTATGTTACCCAATCTGCAGTAGTCGTTAAATGTTCTCATCAATTCTTTACACTCAAATTTGATGAATTCTTTTTTTTTTCTTCGGACCTAATTTCATCTATAAAGTTCCCTCAAAAAAAGTATCGTAAATAAAAAATATTTGAGGCATTGAGTGTGTGCCAGAACATTGCCGAATATATGAAAGAAGCCCATAAACTCAAAGAGTATGAAAATGTTTTATGACGCAGAGACACACATAAAAGCTTTGGGTTTATGCTTTATCTTATTTGAAGAGATTTTCAAGTGTTTATATTTCCAACATGCTTTCATTACATGAAATGGTGCCATCTTCATCTGCTTCTCATGTTCATCAAAAGTAAATCGTAGTTCGTGAGTGATGTAAGATAAGAAAATAAAGTGTGAGTGCTTTTGACAAGCTTTTTGATGGTGATTTAATCTAACTAACGTCGTCACCTTTACCTTTTGCCTATGAAAACGAAGCGTCTTTCTTTATATATTGCAAACCTTTACGTCTCAAATATCAACGACAAGAGCTTTTGATGAATGATTCACCCGTAAAAAGGATTACAAATTGTAATTTACGGTCCTTAATCTTCAAGAAGAAAAAAAGAAATCCTTTGAACGTGTGCAGTATTCGACAGAAAAGCCCTACAGTTTGATGCTAAATTAAACTAACCGGAAGATTAAACTTGATTGCGTTTTATCTTTTCGTGTAAAATTTCAGATCTTTCCGTTGAAAGTTTTTTTCATTTTTACTGACTTAAGAAAAAAGGAAAATAGACAAAATGGAGAAAGCTTAATCCAGTTTGGTATATTGGAAGTTATTGTTGGATGAATTACTAAGTAAGTTATTTCTCACTGTTTTCTTTGCCTTTCGCTTCCCAAGAAAGTTAATTTTTTTTTTGTTTTCTTATGAGAAAGATAATTAAACTGACTACGGTAGCTGAGATCTCAAGTTTTGTTGTTTTTCGTTGTCTTCCGGTCGACTTTAAGTTTAACTGAAAACTTTTTTTTTATAAACACTCCCTGACGTCAAGAAGGAAGAAAGTTTTGTTGATTCACCGCTCAACTCAAACTCATATAGCTAACAGAGTTAATAACCCAAATAGAAAAACGATAAAAATCAATATCAATGATGAAAATCAAATCTAATTTATCAATTTCATCATGGTAATTGCTCAAAAAAGTGGAATATTGGATTGAGAAAATAAAATTTGTTATTTGATTATTCAACAGCGGTGTTGATAAATTCTCAATTCGTTTTTGACGTTGATTAATGACACGGTTCTTCCATGAGAAAAAAGGTATTTGAAATTCAGCTAATAAATTTAGTTTGTTACTTGATTTCTCAAGTTATAAATGTAGATTAATCTGCCGTCACTCGATGCATCAACTCTGACATCAGAAAAGTTGTATTTTGATATTTAATTTTATTAAGTAGAATGAATTTCTCTCATTGCTTCGTCTGTGGTTAACAAGCATTTCCAAGTCTTTAGATTCATCACACGTCGTCCGAAACAAGCTCGAAAACTATGTATTTGATTGGGTCATTCCCTGGGCAGCTCAACAAGCTCTGGACTATTATACGGAGTGTTCTTATCAACTCATCATTCTCATTAAAATCATCACCATGAAGCCATGTAAAGTTCTCATCTGCAATTTGAGAACTATAGAAAAATTAATCAGTGGAAAATATTTTAGTTGCGCTTTTCAAAAGCTTCCATAACTCTAGGAAATTGTAGAATTTAATTAGAAAATAAATAAAACAAAAGGAGAACTTATATACCATTGGAAATGTTCTATCTAATAGTTGCCCTACTTTCCATTCGTTGATGGAACTTGTTAAACATGGACGTGAAGATGAAAACAAAGGCTTATTTACACAATTGCTTTTGCTATTCGTTCTCTGACATGTTAAGTTTCATACGATGAAAATGCAAAAATTAATTCTCGAAAGCACATTGTGTGAAAACAGCTTAATGACAATAAGTGAAGCAAAGAACACAACCCAAACAACAATCTAGCAGGAAAATTCTCCAGAATAAAGGCAAAGCGGCTTTCAGAATGATGTGAAGCCACTTCGTAAATGATGTCAATATCGGTTTAGTGGAAAACTTTTCCAATATCATTTTACTAATCTTGTTATGAAACTTTACTTTTATCGAATGATTTCAACACCACAATCTACTGATCAATCCCCTTAAATTGCATCATGTGAAAATGTTATATAAGGTGAAGAAAATTTTGTTTTTAGGAAATATTGCTATAATAAAAGCTTGTATATACATACAAGAATCAACTACTCGAAATGAAAGCATGTAACTGGTTTCTATGCTGAAAACTGAGAAGCTTTCGTAGACATCAATACATAATATAAATAAATTTCAGGGATGAAAAAACTTCATCTCCATAGAAATCCTTTTCATTACATCCTTTAATATCATGATGTGCTCCACTCAATAATGCAAGACTATCAAGATAAGTTCACTCACTTCGTTTTATAAGCCTCTGATATGATTGTTCACGAAATAACTTCATGCACAGGTTGAATTTTCCTGCTATCTGATTTCTGATATAAACTTTTCATAATTAGATTTCCTTTTTTATGTTATAAGGGAATGGGGGATGGAACGCTACGAGTCAATATTTGTAAGGAAATTAAAAGTGTTTTTTCAACGCTTCATTCATTCTCTTCATCACTGTATTTTCAAACAGTCCTTTAAGTTGAAACTTCGTATTAGGGCCACGAGTCAATGCTCATTAAACTTCTCCATCATCCACCGACGAATGCAAACACGGTAGGACTGATTTCCATAAACAGACTAAAATATCCGAAAAAAATAGCTTTCAAAGTCAATATCCGCATCAGGCTTCTGCTTTTGAATTGATATTGATTAATTCTCCGTGAAAATTTGCCTTTAGCGCACACTTCGTTATGGAACCATTTTAAACGTAAAAAATGAAATTACGGAAGAAAAAATTGACTTTTTTTATGTTTTTTCTTTTCGTCCATTCTATGAACATCTGCTACGAAGAAGTTTAACAGAACATTAATTTCTTTTCCTAATGTGCTATTCTAAAAATTGGAAGTTTATTGCATACATTTCATGTTTATTTATAACAACTGTCGGAGCTTACTTCAAGCGGTATCATCATCATCATAATACTTAACTATAGAATGTGATATTTGGAACTTCACCAGCACACTGCTGGTAGAAGTTGGGAATATTCATTGTGCCATGAATAGAAATGTTGAATAAATATGCAAAGTTGCTGGCAGCATACAGAATAGAATGACAATGAAAGGATATATAAAAATACTTTGCTGTGATTCCAATTAAAAGTCTTTTCATTCCCAGACACCACTCTTCAAATGATCCGATTCAAAACATGCGTATAACTAATTTCATTTCAAGCTCTTGAAAATTTTCTGTTAATGATCTAAGTATGAAACTCTCAAACTTCACTTAAACTTTATTTCTTGGAAGGAAGCTGAAAACTCTTTTTAATTAAATTTCATCCAACATCCGTTCAACGTTGTGCGTGTTTGCACAATTTATTCTTTCTTCTCCATCCCAACTCAACAATTCTTATTCGTTCCTCTTTTTAATTTTAATTTCAGCGACTAAACCACCTAAGCTTTGTGATGATGCAACAAGATTCGGATTTTGTCACGTTCCTGTCTAAAAGAAAATATTTTGAGTGGTGTGAATAAATTATGCTATGGCGAAATCATGAAGTTGAGATTTGCAGATGCTTTCACATTTCTTTAAAAAAAATTCTCTTGAATATGAATTTAATTATTTCAAAGTTTTTCTTTTTAATTAAAAGAAGAGGCTTCTTAATAGAAGTGTCGAGGAATTTTCAGAATTATTTCAATGACATTTCACAAGATGATTCCTTGTAAAATTAATTTTCATTTTATAAAGTTAAGGAAATTAAATTTAAACTTTTTTTTATCTGATTTTCTTTATTAGATATGCAGAAGTGAAATAAGTACTTTCGTCTTAAATTTCACAAATATATTCAATCATCGTTTCTCATAATTTGCATTTAAAAACTTTATGTGGTTTGTGGAGAATTTAACCAAAATAAAGTGCATACATCTTCCTCCTTGATTTCCAATTTTACTCACGAATTCATAGGTTAATGATCACTTTTAAGGATGGAACAATACGCGAAAACATAGAAGTTTTTGCTTCGTGATTTAAAAATGCATTAAAAGAGAATTGAGTTGGTTCTTTCGCTCCCACAAGAGAATAAATCTTTTTGTGCTTTCACTTAAATATTTATTTTCACATGTTTTCCTCTTTATTTTTTAAAGATTTTAAATCTCCAATTTAAACAAAGGTTTGCATTTCCATCTAAAACATGTTCAATTGAAATGAAATCCCACACGATGCATGAGAAGAATACAAACATGAGAAAGGCGGAAATCATTAGAATGGAATTCTTTTATCAACCATGAAATGTAATTGTCGAAGTGCAAATTGAATGAAATAAAAATTCTACTAGGTAGGTTGAAAATTGTAGCATGAGGACAGAAATTTATTTAATATCGTCAAATTTTTCCACCTTTTATAAAAAAATTCTTTTTATTCATAAATATTTCCATGAAAAGAGATAAATTCAGATAAATTATTTGCAAAGGATAAAAAAACATCAAAGGGAAATAATTTAAAATAATATTTGAATAAACAGTGAGATGTCGAAAAAACAAATTAACTAAAGAATGATTAAGTGAGTGAGACTGCTTAGAAAAATAAATTTAAACATTGTTAACATTATTAAAAAAAAGTTTATTGACATTCGAGAGTATTCAAATCAGTTTTTTATTGCATGAATAAAATTTTGAAGCCACGTTGAAATGTGACATTTAAGTAGTTGATTTATTTTCCACAATGGGCAATAAAAACCATATCACATCTCAAGCTTTGTCCAAAAAACAAAAGAGGTCAAAGTCCTTTACATTGAAACATGTTTAAAGCCGAAACCATTTGATTCCCACAAAGTGGTGTCAAATTCCGCAACCATGCAAAGCGCCATTCGCATATGCTGTGCCTGTGCGGCATTTCTCATATCTAAAAATTTCTCCGCTCACCAAGGATTCAGGATGTACATAATGGAATACATTTTTCGTCGCCTCACAAGCACATTTGCATTATTGAGGGTAGATTGCGGGTGAGAAAAGAGAAAACCCCAGAAGGGGAGGAGACCTTTTGTGTGAAAATTGTTTCACAATGTTGATTTTGTTCTTTCATACAGATCGAGTACACTTCGGAATAAGATTTTATATTTACGAACAAAAACTATGCTATCGTCTCACTTTTACAAAGTTTCAACTTTCTAAGGCAAGCATGTAATGTTATTAAGAAATTTGATTTGCGGAAAACTAATATTGACACCACTCAACAGATGTATGAGATATTCGATGAAAGCAGTTGAGAAAATAAATTGAAACCTCAAGATATTTAGAGTAACTTGTTCCATAACATATTTTGAAATGTTTTAACATCAACCATTCTGACATCTCCAACCCCATAGGAATATTTATGCAAAGCAATTCTATTCTTTCATCAGCATTTTCTCGCTTATTTTTCTCACTTAACAGAACATTGTGAGTTGTTTATCTTTCATTTTCAACTTTTTTATGTGCTGTTGTGAGACTCATTATGTAGTCCCTCATTGCTTTTAAGGTACTGGATGCAGGTTGTTTATTTCATTCTGTCGCTATTTATGTTGCATTAATATGCATACCTGGATAATTTTCTCTGACAGCAGCTTGTACAAATTGTTTTCTTTTAATTTCCATGCTTTCACCTTCATTACCCACAACGATATAATTCATGAAATGTCTCAACCATTCGCTACTAAACTCAAACATTTGCCAAGAAAGTCAAAAAGTATTTAAAGACTTTGATAATCATTCCGGTCCAGTTATTTTTCTGTCATTAACATAGTCCACTAAATGACACTCGTTCGGAATAGCATGAAATTAATTATGCATATGAAAATTTCTTCAACATCTTGACAGTTTCAAACAAAAAAGAAACAAAGCCGATGACATAATCATGAATAAATTAAAAATGTTGAGTTTCATGTCGTCCTGATGAGTTTGGAAGAAAAACATCGTTAATGAAAAGAATCTTTTTGAATAAATTATGATCTAAGATGCTATCAATAAATAAATGAGTGGAATAATTAAAAAAAATAAAGAGTTCCAGACAGATATTTATGAGAATTTAATTAAAGAAAAATTAAAAAAGTTCTTTGATAAAACAACCACAAGCAGCTCTAACTCTAAGGATTCAAACCATAATTCTATAAAATAGGCTGTAAGATATGAAATAATATATAATTCAACCTCAAGTTCACTTCAGAAACGTTTAATGTTGAAATGTGAATCGCAACCCACAATTCGGCGTGATATCGTCGTTTCAAACAACATCAAAGGTGGAGAACAGAAAACATGATAATTCCATTTTCACCTTGTGAACTGCATTACCTCAACTTTTTCTTTAACTTCCTCTCTTTTAGTGTCGCTCATCGAAAATCAAATTTTCTTCTCAATTTCACTCAACTTTCCGAGTGAACAAACAGATGATTTCCATCCGAGAGTTTCCATCTCTTGCGCAATACGATTGTTTACATTTTTTCACATGTATTTAGTCTCTCACTTCTCCTACGATCTTTTGGAAAGATGAAATTCCGCTCTTTCGAACACAGATGCTGGATGATGGAAAATTTCATTATAAAGTTCGCTCATCTTCATATGTTCACGCTCAGTCTTGCAGCGGCCATCATCTTATTCATATCGGAAAAAGGACTTCGTCTCATTATCATAAAAATCACAAGAGGATTTTTTAATTCCTTGGCAAGAGATAGAATTTGTGATTATAGTTTTTGCACATCATAAGAAGTAAAAGTAAAAAGTTGTCAGAATTTTTTTCTTTTCTCTATGCCAAGAATGGATTTAGAAAGGGCTCATGAAAGCTTTATTCTATTAAAGCTGTTTTAAAGTGATCTTAGTGGGAAACGATATTTAAAGCCCTTCAAATACATATCAAATAATGGAAAAAGCATTCGATTAATTTCTATCACGCTTGAAATGAAACGAAAATTTACATAAAATACAGTAAAATGCGAGTGAGAGCATTTAAGTGGAAATCAATAGAAATTTAACACAGAAAAAAAAGTTTGCTCATCAGAAATCATTAAATGATTTTTTAATGAATATAAAAAAAAGCTCAAATTCATGAATAAATTGTGAACGAAATGAAAAATTGAGAAGCAGAAATTAATGGCCTTTCAGTGGAGAACGACTAAGAGAAGTGGATAAATGTCTCGAGAATAAATAAACATCGATAAGAAATAAAAATTGGAAATAAAGTTGGATTCTGAAAGCAGTTGGATTTTACAGAAAAAAAATGATTTTCCTTTTTATTATCATTCACGCTTTTTTTGGTGAGTGCTTTTGGGATTGCAAAATATTTATTTTCATGCTTTTCATCCAAATGAACTCGGAAAATTTCTGTCATGATTGATTGAGTTCGAATCTTTGTGACATTCAGGATAATCAATTCGGAGACTCATGTGTTTCAAATTATTTAGCATAAAATTGTGGACGTTCATGTTCTAAAGTTCTAAAGTGTGAAAAATGAGAAATAGTTAATTTTGTTTTCGCCAAACTCATGGAGCATGGAATATTATGTGATAAATATTTCTTAAATATAAAAGCAGTACATAAAACTTCGCAATAAAGTATAAAAAACGAGAAAATGTGAACGTTATGGAGAAGTGACTTGTGAGCGTTTTGAAGAAAATAAAATAAACTTTAAATAAGGACGAAATATTTTTAAAAAATATTTATTTGTAGAAGTATATAAAGTGAATTTCTTTCAATTATATGAACATGCATATGTGCGGGTTTAAAATTGCAGAAGTATAAACTGAAGCTCTATGAACAAAAGAATTTATTTACCCGAATGTTGAAGTGACGTGCACATAGCCAAGAAGAAACCGCATTCAGTTTATCATGAAATTGAGTTTTTATCTCGAATCGTACGACAATACTTGAAAGCTTTGAACATGTTTTTATGCTGTTTGTTGTCGTATATAAAAAGAAAGTTTTATTTAAAGAACGAAGTTTTTCTGTCTTTGATATTTATTCTACCAACTCTTTTTACCAGTTGCATTTGAAAATGGTTTTGAGTTTTTGACTTTACTTCATCAATGATGAAGACAAAAAATATTAAATCATTTATGATATATTTAAATTTATGTCATTTCGAGGAAATACATCGAAAATAATGACGTTCTGACGTTAGATCGTCATATAAAAAACAATTTCATTCATTTTGTGCTTAAATTACCTTTTCTAATGAAAAAATTCTTTAAAAATAAAAAATGAGAAATTTATTAACGAAAGTTTTTCATTAGAAGTCTTTGGAAATTTTTCTTCCCATTATGCTTGCATTAATTTTAATTTTATTTTTTTTATTTGACTGTAATCAAAGTTATATAAAATATGAAATATTTATTTATTATAAACGTTTCTTGCTGATGCTGCACATAAATCCTTTCATAATATTAAATACTTCATGAAAGTTTAATTGAAAACAAATTTCTTTCATTCAAAAGTCAGCGAAGAAAAACAAACTTTAACATGGAATGATAAAAAGAAATTTCTTAAAATCTTGGAGCTTTATTTCAAAAGCTTCTCGATAAACCAAGTTCCCTTTTTCTACATTGAAATGGGTTCACATAACAAAATAAATTTGTTGAACAAATTCCGTCAAGGCCAAATTGACTGGCCCCTGTTCCTCAAGAAACTTTATTTCAACCTCAGCAGATTTATTCATCTTATAAGGATTGTTTTATCATACAATAGCAGAATAATTGGACCCTTAAAAGATTGTAAGCAATTGAAAAGAATTACTTTGATTGATGAGAAGTGAATTGTATATTCAACTTATTTACTTTCAAGATCATTTTTTATAAAAATTGAGAAAAATTAGACATCATGGAAACCTCATCATTGAAAATATTTAATTAACTAAATGATTAAGTAACAAATCTGTCAAAAAACTTTTGCTTTCAAACTTATTTCCACTTTTAAATGACAGCAGAAAATTATTTAAGCTCCTTGATTTAAAGATATTTAAATAAATAAGTAATTGGGTTTAAAATGCGTTTAATTAAATAGAAAACATTAATCAAAATCTTCAAGAATTGTTGATATTACGTGATAAATATTGGAAGCGATTGTTTCTATCAAGGTTTCTTTATTTTATTTTAATTTAAAACTACCTACTAGATTGTAAAGATCAATGACATAATATTTATTAATGAGAGAAACTAATTAATTATTTCGATATGAAAGGAAAACCAACGACGACTTCACAAATCTTTCATGCAAACTGTTAATACATAAAGTCCGGTTAAGTAGAGATTGCTGGTTCGATTCCAGTCGCCAAGAAAAATTACTTTTCAATTTTTCAAATTTTCATATATCTGTGAGACTTTTCCAAAAATAAAAATAAAATGAATTAATAAAAATTCGTCGAGTACATTTCTCGAAAAATCCCTCGTGGTAAAAAAAAACCCAATATTAATACATAAAGCTCATATATATTCGAAAAGTATTTCTAAAAATAAAGTTTTGTTCTTAATTCCCCATAGAATGCTAAATTTTAAGCTTTCCATTTAATTTCCTATATACTGAAATTATCTTGAGAATTTTAGGGTTTTCTAACAAGTTTTTTACTCGAATTTCCCCATGACAACAAGTAAGAATACTTAAATGAAAAGAGTTGAAAATTTTCAAAAAGTTTAGTAATGAATTGGCTTAATATGATTTTGAATTTAAGTAAAGAATGTGAATCAAGGTTTTGCTGCTGTTTCGTATTTGTAATTTTACCCAAAGTCGTCATTTGAGCTTTGAAAGCTCATACGTTTTCAGAACATACATATTAGATTAATAAAAGCATAGCAGAATGAATTGTCGTCATTGATGTTTATGAATTACTTCTTCATAAATTATTGCCTCTAACTACACATCTACGTTTGAAAGAAGAAGGAGATGTCAACATCTCTTATGTCCATGTAATGACCCTTTAGGCATACGTCATACATATTTAAATATATTTTGTATGAGAACATGAACAATGTTAGTTTAGTTTATACGATGTATCTACAATGCTACCTAATCCGAATATTTGGTATTTGATATTTGACTTCCTAGCATGGCTTAAAGCGAAATTCAATCTCGAAGCAAATGAACGATTTATTACTCCGTATAGAATTTGAAAACCGGAGTTTCCATTCTCAAAGGAAATATGTTGAAGTAAATTTCAAATAACAACATTAATAAGTCTATAACATACACAAGTATGAATACGAACAAAATAAAATTAAATGAATAATTCGGCCATATAAACTTATCTGTTACAAAAATTCTTTGGAATAATAATTTGCAGAAATTTTGAAATGTTTTTGTAGAATTGTAAATAACTTGAGGGCTGTGAATACATTCAACAAAATATTTTTTAATCTTAAAATCATTTTTCACAGATATAAGTAAATTTAATTCTATATTCGTTTCGTTTTCAAAAACAATTTCAAATTAGAATTCATAGCAACAATTTCACATGAAAATTTTCGACAGTATTTTGTTGTAAAAATAAGCGTTCTTGAAAATTAATTTAGCGTTAGAATAGAATATAAAGTATCTTAATTCAAATTGAATGAACAATTATCTGATCACTGCTTTTGACAGCAATCTTAAATCTCGAAAATTATCGTTTTGAAACTTCAACTTAGATATTAAGACAACGAGATTACGTTCACTGACTTTATCTTCAAATCTCGGGTAGCTAAATGTGGGGAGTTTTGTAATCGATTACGAATAAAGGTAATCAAGAGCGGCTTCTCATTCCTATACATTACATTTCAAATCTACCCACAGGGAAAGCTTTTAACTCAACTTAACTTCGAATGAAAGCATTTCACATGAATAACAATAATAATCATAAAGTTACTACTAATGTTTAAGATCGAGTTGATTATCGTGACGAAAATTCTAATGAGCATAAATGACGAAGAAAATGTTTTCAACAGAGCAAGTTTGTTTCTTTTGATATTTATCCACTTGGATTATAATATTTCTCATCCATAAATAATTAATGTATGTAAAATGTGCTGTTCGCTTTTGCCTTAATCCTATTTCAGTTGACTGAAAATGAAACCACTGCTGTTGAAAAGACGAAAATTAAATTACGCGTGATGATGAAAAGTTCTTGGAGAAAAGTTATTCTTCATAGAAATCTCTTTTGTTTCGCTTTATGTTGAAAACCTCGTTGAATTTTTTAAAGAAATTTTGAGTGTTTTTCGGTCTAGCGGAAGCCAATTTCGCGATCAGGAAATAAATTTTCGCACAGTTCACTCAGTGTTCAGTCTCAAGTGTGAAATGAGAGCTTTTAACAAAGCAAAGCGAGAAAACTAAATCATCTGAACGAAACGTTGTTACCATCCAAGACAGTAAACGCTTTTTGACGATGACATGCACGGAAATGTTCACACGATTTGTTCGTGATTTGGTTTTAGAATCACAAGATTGCATTGTGAAATTGTAAGACTTGATGAACATGCATGGAATTTTTGATGATATGAAAAGTGTGGAATGTAGCATCCAAATAAATAAACAACATTCAGTTAGCGTGAAAAGTCAAAATGTTTTTGAATACATGCAGAAATTTGTCGGGAATTTAGTTTATCTGTCATTGCAAATCATCAAGCGTAAATTCAGATTCAGAGTACGGATAAACGGAAATAACAAAAAGCAAAATAAAACTTTCCTTGAGATGGGACAGAAAGATGTTTACAAAGTCATAAAATGAATTCGAAATTAGATTGATAAAATGGTGGGAGATAGAACTGTTTGATTTATAGTTTAAGGCTGCTTCCTTATTTATCTATTTATTTTAAATGACTTTCTAGATTAAGCGACAGTGTTTAAGATCTATGACGATATTTGTATCAATTCAGGGACCTTAGCGAACTGAATTCTTAATAAATATTTGATTAAACTCACTTCAAACATGACAGAAATATTCTCAAATAGACTTAAATTGGAACTCATAATTTTCTACTTGGCTTTACTAATTTTTCATCATATTTTTAATCATTTTCAAATTATTCAGATTTCGTTATGACAACAAATTCGTATGACAATATTGGGCCTACATTTGATATCGAACCACCCACGCGATTAGATTTCACTAACAACATTGGAGGGCGTCTTGATTGTGTTTCGCGAGGCATTCCAACCCCCAACATCGAATGGTTTGATAACGAAAATAATCCCGTTAGCTCGGTACAAAATGTAAGCGAAATACTAGGGAAATGTGATTATCCATTTGTTGAGTAGGAAATTTGATTTCAGATTCGTCACATTCTCGCTAATGGTTCGCTCTACTTTCCGCCCTTTTCGGGTGAAAGCTTTCGACAAGATGTACACTGGACAACATATAAATGTGTAGCTGTAAATTCAATAGGAACAATAGTCTCAAGAGATGTTTTTGTTAAAGCAGGTAAGACAAGGTTGAAGAGATTTTGTTTGAAAAAACAATCCACAATTTTTATTCAAGCGTAAATTTCAAACAAACATTTCGTTCTTCAGAAGTTTTCCTATAAAAGGAAAACTATTTAATAGCCTTTAAAGTGTCTCTTTTGAAAGTAATGTAGTTGAAATAAAATTTAAGCGTCTTCGTAAAAATGTCAAACATAAAGTTGAAATTGATTTTAAAAGCACAAACATCTAGAAAAGTTTTCTTTTTGCTCTTAAATTTCAACTTGACATAGTAAAACAAGTGAAATAACACGTATAATACCAATTTGTCAAAAGTTTTCATTTATCAAGATCGTTGGTTCTTGACCAAGACAACAAAAGCGATAGAAATGAAGCAACAATAATCAGAAATAAAAACTCAGACATTACTTTTTCCTCTTTTTTACCAGAAGCGATAAAAAAGCATTAAACATCGTTCTTTACGAGACGAAAGCGAGAACGAAAAGAATTTGCATAAATTTCCATTTATTCCATTGAGTAAAACTGCACAAAAAGTTTCTCTTTAGTAAATATTTCTGGTGGAGTGAAAGCAAAAAAAGAAAGAAAAAGAAACTCGTATGGGGACGGAGATGAAAATCAATTGAGCACGAAGTTGGATGTTTAAAGAGTTCTTGTGGTGTTTTTCTTTTCTTTATCTCTGCTCTTTTCCCTCCTTTCATCTCGTGCTGCTTATCTTTGATCATATAAAGTAATAAAAATCTATTTAATGTCTGCTTTTTCATCGCGACTTCAGCGGCACTCGTTTGTATTCATTTTATATTTGTGTCTTGTATTCAAAGTTGATTTTATCAGCAATTTTAATTAGGAGCTTCCTTATCTTCTACCTTAATATAATTTAACCGCCATTTAGCGAATATTTCAATCAACGTTTTCTGTTGCAGTTATTCATCAGCGTTACGATTTAGAAGTACAAAATCCGGGCGGATTCATTGGTAGTAATGTAATTATAAAGTGCAACATCCCACAATTCGTAAAGGAATACGTGAAAGTGACTTCATGGCTTGAAGAACCAATGCATAATATTTATCCCAGTTTAGAGGGAGGTAAGTTTAATCAACACCATCACTAAGTTTTAAAACACAAAAGCTTTCAACTTGTTAATGTTCCACTCACAACTTTAGAAATTTACGAAAACTTTTCACTTCTTCTGCCTTCTTCTTGATGAAACATTTACGAGGGTAAAAAAGGGTCCGAATGAAGTATACCTTTTTTTTCCTGCTGTTATATTTATGAATGTTTAATGCGGGATGATATTCGAGCGGTGATGATTATTGTTTTCCTTTTTTCTTTCATTTCTTGCTTCATCATCAAGGCCACAAAATTTTATAAATTAATTTCTTTTTTAGAGTTTGTGGGTGTGGAAAAAAAAGTTTTTAATTTCTTTCCTTCATCAACTCTCAAAAATTTCAGAGTGGAAATGCTTTTTTACTTCCATAATCACTTGTTTATGTGATGAATTGTTAATAAGCAGTTGATTACTTTGCTTATTTCTCATCTCACCACAGACTCGAAATTTCACATGCTACCAACTGGTGAACTAATCGTTATAAATGTTACCCAACATGATGCTCAAAAAACATTTCGTTGTCGAACTCTACATTCGCTGACACAAGATGTTGTCATCAGCAGTAGTGTGGGGCGAATTCAATTGACTGGTGAGTAATAAATTTCAAGCTGAATGGATAAAAATTGCATCGATAAAGCCACAGAAAGACGACATGAGATCTAATTTATGACTCTTACAGAAATGAAGGAACCCGTTCCTCCTATAATGAATGATAAGATCAAATATATAACCATCCGAATGGAAGAATCCGTTGTCATTCCATGTGTTGCCTATGCTAACCCAAAACCTCTTTTTAGGTAAGTCCGCAAAAATTTTCTGACGCATACATACATTATGGTGTGATGAAATTGTGTTAAATATTTGAACATAGAAAGTTCCATTCCCTATCTCTCTTTTGTTTCTATTAGAAGCATGTTCAGAAATGTTTTCCTTCTTTCATCTTCCATATAATTACCTCATTCGACACAGATGTTAATTACGAATAACAGTCTTCTCGGTACTTCATAAAATATTCACATAAGCTTTCCTTTTGTTATGTTGTATTCAATATAAATATTTATGTTGAATACTTTCAGGTTTTGAAAAAGGTTTTTTTCGTATTATTTTTTATTACTTCAAAATGAAAAAAAAAGAAAAGAAAAATTCTTTCCTCAGTAATTGAGCTTTTATGGGATGTGAAACAAATAAGTAAATTTTAAAGCTTCATAAGCTTAAATTAAATTCACCGCATTTGAAATTATACTTTCGTATCTGTCTACATAAAGTCGGAGTTTTATTAAATTAACAAAAATTTAAATTTTCTATAAAGCAGATAAAAGATCTCGTCAACTCAAAGCTCAAAAATTTGGAAGCTTCTTATCAAATTATCTTCTCAAAAGCTTTCATGCTTCAATAACACCGCTACTAACAAAAATTGCTTCACAAATTTCCATATTGACGTAAATCTTCAATGTCTTAAAGATTCCTTCATTCATATAAGTTAGCAAAAGCGAAAATTAAAGAGAATAAAAGAAGGAAAGATTGCGATCTCATTTTCATTGCTGTCGTCAAACTCATATAAAACACTTTTTTGTCACAAATAGCGAAAGCGATTTAACGGGGGAAAATTGCAGAGTAATCAAAAAACAATTTAAGATGAAATCTTGATTTTTATTCTTCTTCTCTTTCTATTTCTTTCGTTTCTTACGTCACGAAATTGTTTCTATGCAGATGGTTCTTCGTTAAACAGGGACGTAATGAGTCAATTGATCACATGATAATGACGGGACGATACAAAATGAAAGAAAGTCGTTTGATTATTCAATCAATTGAAATGTCTGACAACACAATATTTTACTGTACAGCAACAAATGATCAAGGAAGTGAAACATTAGAGATTCAATTAAAAGTTGTAGCACCTCTTCAAGTTCATATTCAACCAATACGTCAAACCGTTGATGTCGGAAAAACTGCTGACTTGGTACGTTTCTTACTTTCCAATTAAATTCTTCATCAGCATTTATTCACTTCCTTCCTTCATTTAGAAATGCATGATAAGTGGAACACCGCAGTCACAAATTTGGTGGCTGAAGGATGGGCAACCACTTAGAACGGGTTCAAGAGTTCGCCTGCTTAATAAGGACAATATTCGTATTACATCAGTGTCAAAAGATGATCAGGGGATGTTTCAATGCTTTGTGAAAAATGATGTTGACATTGCTCAAGGCATAGCTGAAGTTAGTTTGGGCGAAATTGCTCCACAACTTCATTATAGATTTATCGAACAAACCCTCCAACCCGGGCCTGGGGTATCATTAAAATGCACTGCCACAGGCAGCCCTACGCCCCAAATTTCTTGGACACTCGATGGCTTCCCTTTGCCAAATAATGATAGATTGATGATAGGACAATATGTGACGATATCAGGCGATGTCATTAGTCATGTCAATATAAGTGCGGTTAAGACGGAAGATGGAGGTGAATATGCATGCACTGCTAGGTCACGGGCGGGTCAAAATAGCCATTCAGCTCGTCTAAATATCTACGGCATGCCATTCGTTCGTTCGATGTCACCCATATCAGCAGTTGCTGGACGAGTTCTGCAAATTAAATGTCCAGTTGCTGGATTTCCAATCGATAAAATCGTGTGGGAGAAGAGTAAGTGTGGTTTATGGTTAACAAGAGTTGAGTGTAGAGTCTATAGATATCTGTTTTGAAAAGCTTTCTAAAGAAAATTCTCTAGAAAATACTTTTAAAACTTTTTCGGAAATCACTGCTTAAGAAGTTTAACAACGTCGTTAAAAGTTATGATTAAAATTTATCCAATAAAAAATTATGAAAAACTTTGACAGCTCAAACATAGAAATTTCAACAATGCTGACAATTTCAATCTTTTCATGATTAGAAACTCATCAAAACTCATACAAGGAGATTTAATAATATCTAAATTTTAGACAGACGGTAAATATTTTTGGTTTCTTTTTTTCACAACAAGACTCTTTGGAGTTTCCTACCAAGTTATGTAACTAGTTTTAGTTTCTGCAATTGGCTCTAACTGAAATTTCTTTTCTTGAAAAAAAAAACTTGAAGCTCGAATATAATTCTTCTGTATCTCTTTTTAAAATTATCCAGACAATGTTAAACTACCAACAAACATGTGACAGCGTGTCTCAAATGGCACATTGACCATCGAAAACATCCAAAGGCAAAGTGATCAAGGCGTTTATACATGCACTGCAAAAAATAAGCACAATTACACATCACAGAAATCAGTTGAGGTGAAAGTTCTGGGTGAGTTCACTTTGTCTTCATCTTACCTCCGATTTAATGTTTCACATTACATTTCACATCTCTTGATTGAGAATGAAAATGAAGAAGACGAAGAAGAAAATGCTCGATAGCATCATGCGAGGCAAAATACATTTCTAAAACATTAAATGTTACACAAAAGAATTGATGATTCGGAAATTTGCTACTGTAGTAAAGTGTGAATCGTGATTCGTGATGGGAAGAGAAACGATGAGAAGGAGAGTTCAAATATCATGAAGTCTGATATGAACTAAAATCGACAGCATTTCACTATACGTTAGAAAATTGTGCAAAGAATGTCAGATTCTCTCTCATATTAACCTCTGATATTTTTTTGACATTTCCCTTTCCAAACCGTGATTCTGATTTTATTTCACCCAAAACGAAGCGAGAAGAGGTTGAGTCTTTATGTTTATGCTGCTGCTCTTCTTCTTGTAAGAAACTGTCAGAAGTGTTTATATGAAAAGTAAGCACATTCTTCCTGTCGATATTTCAGCAGTCAGTGAATTTTCGAAGCTAATCATACCTTGAGGATGACTAGTAAGATAAAAGCTTTTTGTTAACTGACGAAACAATATCATCGTCAATTTTGTCTTCCCAAAACCATCACATAATAAATTTATAATACAAAAAATGACTTCTGATAGAGACACGAGTTGCTGCGCTCTTTTAAAACATAAACCTGAAAATGATGGCAAAAAGCTGAGAATAAAAAAATACAAATTCAATAACCCCCACTCACATCAGAGACACTTTAAGCAATGTTTGTCACTCAACGAGAACACGAGCTCCTGATATTGACAGTAAGATGTCGATGTCGATGTCGATGTCGATGTTTTGTAATGTCATGATTTTTAACATAAGCCTAAGGCATTTCATCTTACGTAACAGAGCAGTGTGTGCCAATAAATTGAGTTAATCAATTGTATTTGCTTTTACGTTAAACTTGACGAATGACAATTGGGAGAACGTTATTAACATTGTTTTTCTTTCCTTTTCTTTCCACTTCTTTTTTCTTATTCACAATTTTCACGCACCAATTCGCACTGGATTAAAATATTAATTCGCACCCGCACTCAACCATAACTCGCACCTTAATGTTGCTTTAATGACTGTTTATTAAATATATGTTTAGTTCCACCAAAAGTTTCGCATTTTGAATTTTCCAAGGAGCTCAATGTAGGAGACCGAACAAGTGTGCAATGTGTTGTTGGAACGGGAGATTTGCCATTAGTATTCACGTGGCTTAAAGATAATGTGCCCATAAAACAATCAGGAACAGTAGGTGCAAACGACAATAATAATGGAAATTCACGGTACAATAACGACAAAAGTAATAGTAATCGTCTTAGTAATAAAGACACCGCCGACGACAATACCTTGATAATGATAAGGCAAAATGATGAGTTCACCAGTGCATTAAGTATATTAAGTATTAAGCAGTCTCATGCTGGAGAATATACGTGTCGGGTGGCAAATGATGCGGCTACTGTCCAATATGCAGCATCACTTAAAGTCAATGGTACATCATGTCCTAAAAAAGAAATGAAATCATGATTTAGTATAAAAATTTCTTTCTTTTATTCTTTTTTGCGCTTTGCATGATTCTTACGCAAAATGACTTGAACATAAAACTTTTAAAAATTAATGCTTTAAGTACTTTCGTTTTGGTGGTAATAAATATTTTATTGGATGAGTTTGAATGGGAGATGCTTGTGAAGATGATGATTATTTATGAAATTTTAAATAATTATTAAATTGTAAGGATAACAAGGAATGAATGTTACTTAAATAAATTCTAAATTAATGTTAACTAACTATGGATTATTAGAAAAGGTAATACCGGAATGTTTATCGATTAAATTGCTGAAACATTTATATAATCATGGGATTTGATATCCACTTGTAATAAAGATTTCAGCACATTTCATGCGTTTCAAAATATTATTGTTGACTGTATATGCAAATTTAATATTTATCTCCGTATAGGAATTGTTAAACATCTCTAAATTATTCTGTTTACTTGTCCCAGTTTGCATGTTTCACCTCAATTAATGTCACAACGCTGTTCCAATTATTCGAAATTTTTTATGTAAATTGTGCCAATAATTAAGTGTATGTAGGTATTTGCAAAATATATTAATGTTCATTGATGCTTATTTAAAATAAAAATTAAACATAACTTTGTTGAAAAATAATTGTAGGTGATAAAAATATTCGATGCCTGTTTCTGTTTATAATAAAACGTATTGCAGGCATGAAAATTAGAGCAAAAGAAGTAAGAGAATTCATAAAAGGATGATATTAAATTTACATTCTCAACATGCCTTATATGTGTACAAAGATATTAACATATAAATCATGAATAATCCATTATGAGAATTGCCGGATTTGAATTTCAAATTAAACTTCACGTGGAGCAATTGTGGAACATGAAAACGATAGAGAATCGGATGGAGAACATGCAATTTCAATATTTTTTTTCTGATTGCAATTTCAAAGGGTCAAAATTTATTGATAATTTTATGTGCGTGTTCTGTTGGTTGAAAAAATATCTACGATGCATTTTTGGATCATGTATGCAAGGTTAGCATGCAATTAAATATCTTGCGTTGAACAGCATTTTTTTTCTCATACATATTCCCACTTGCACATTTTGCAATGACGTGAAAGCATATCCGACGCTATTGAGTTTTATTATCCTCGATTATATATCAGAACACCACTTGAAAGTTTCCTCTATAGATGATACTAAAAATAAAAGCGGATGGTAATGAAGCGGTGCCAAATATCAATTGGAACGATTCAAGTTTACGCTTGAAACTTAAACTGAAAAGCTCAAATATGAAATGAATACAAATTTCAGTTTTCCTTTTTTCACCAAATTCATTCTTTTATTCTTTCAATAAAAACCGATTTTCAATTTGTTTAGTGCCGCCCCGAATTACGCCATTCAATTTTGGCGACGATATTCAAGAAGGCATGAGGGTTCAAACAATGTGTACAAGTACTCAAGGGGATCAACCTTTCAATATAACTTGGTATCGAGATAGTAAAGCACTTAAAAGTGGAACGCAGACAGATTTAACATCATTCGGCTCTTCCTACCAAAGACATCATTTCGACGAGAGAACAATTGAAATCAATATTATACAATCGTTTTCAAGCATTCTTACGATCCATAACATTACGTCACAGCATAATGGAAATTACACATGTCAAATATCAAACCCAGCAGGAGTTGTCGACTACACAGTCGTATTATCTGTTTCTGGTAAATAAAATTGTTCTGGCAAAGAGATTTTCTCTGTGGCTTTTCATTAAACTCACCCACATAAATAATATGTGACGTAATTTTTCGCACACAACTGCAACTTTCACCATTTCGAGAGATTCAATCTCAAAACCAGGAATTTTATGTACATTCTTATCACTGTTGCACCAATGCATAAAATGGGTGAAATAAATTGTTTTATTCTCGCACAAAGCACACACAAAAAGCACGAAAACATTTTGAAAATATTTTTTTGTTCGAAACATTTTTTGAGAACTTCTTGAATAAGTTTAGTGGCAAAATAACAATTTGACATGTTTATGTTTCAGAAATTATAAATTTCAAAACTTTCTCTTATCTTTTTTTATACAATCTTAATGTGATTTGAGTAAATATAAAGAGAAACTTTGAAATCAAGCAACAGTCGTCCTTGATGATTCAGGTAGAAAATTAAAGTGGTTAGAGTGATACGTGATTGCATGACATGAACGAGTTGAAAATCATGTGGGATTAGAACTTCATGTTGCTTTTACTTTTCATATTTATGTAGACTGCTATCGTTTATTGTTGTGATATAAACAAACATTTAAATTGTTGTAAAAATAATTGCATGAAGTTTTTAAAATATTGCATGAACTTTAATAACTGTCAATCAAATTTAAACGCTTTTTTTAATTATCTGACAGTTCCACCACGATGGATAATCGAACCGAAAGATGAAAGCGCAATTTTAGGAACGTCACTTGTATTGACATGTAAAGCTGATGGTTTTCCCACACCGACAGTTCAATGGAAGCAGTCGCTAGGTGAACAGTCGGGAGATTACCGCGAGCTTATATACAACGACGGTTCATCTAGCATTCAGACATTTAACAATGGCACATTGCTCATTCAAAACGTTACAAGAGAACACGAAGGAAACTTTTTATGCCAAGCGAACAATGGAATCGGTGCGGGCTTAAGTAAATTAATTCGTTTAACTGTTCATGTGGGACCGCACGTCATCATTCGTAATAAACAAGTATCTGTGCGACGAGGTGAAAGAACAACTTTACGTTGTGAAGCTGATGGTGATAAGCCTTTAGACATAGCATGGCGTTTTAAAAATGGACAGATTATTGGGAAATTATACGACACTCGATATGAAGTTAAAAATAATGATTTGTCGAAAGGCGCATTATCCGAGTTAACAATTCTTCAATCAGCATTATCCGATCGTGGCGAGTACACTTGTGTAGCAACAAATGCTTTCGGGCATGACCATTCATTAATTCATTTACAAGTTCAGGAACCACCAAGCGCACCACAGAATCTGCACGTAAATGAGCTTCATAGTCGGTCGGTGACATTGTCATGGGCTGGCCAAGAGAAATATGACACCGTTGGTTATGTTGATCCCCAACCCGTCACACGATACATTTTGCAATTCAAGGAAAGTCAAGACGTGTGGCACGACTACAACCAAAAAGCCATAAGTGGTGAGAAAAATTCAGGACACGTTGGCAATTTAAAGCCAGCCACCAACTATCACTTTCGATTATTTGCTGAGAACACTCTTGGAACAAGCATTTCCAGTGATATCTTACATATTCAAACTGATGGTGAAACACCAAGTGGCTCTCCACAAAAGGTCAATTTAGAGCCTATCGGACCGACACAACTTCTTGTCACGTGGCGTCCTCCAGACAGAGAACATTGGAATGGAGAAATCCTTGGCTATGCTATTGGATTTCATAAATCTGATGAACAAGATCATATTTACAATTACACGAGAATTGGAGCTTCAAGTGGCGAAGGTTCACATGAATTTCGTCTTGTTGGTCTTGAAAAGTACACGGGCTATAATGTAATTGTTCTTGCTTTTAATGGAAAAGGCGATGGTCCACCATCAAAGCCAATGCTTGCTCATACACTTGAAGATGTTCCAAGTGCTTCACCACAGAAAGTCACATGTTCAGCTTTAACTTCACAAAATGTTCAAATATCTTGGCAACCACCACCCGTGAAGAATATGCATGGCGTGATTCAAGGTTACAAAGTTCTTTATGAGACCTCAAATATTGTGACGGAATATTTAAATCGTGAGACAAAAGTGACGACAGCTTTGAGTACGGTTTTACATGGCTTGCAGCCGTTTACAAATTATTCTGTTCAGGTTCAAGCTTTCACGAGAGCTGGTGAAGGTGTCGCAAGTCAAACTCTTACTTGTAGAACAGAAGAATCGACCCCTGATGCGCCAGAAAAAATTAAAGCCATTGTGACTGGTGAGAATTCAGTGATAATCAGTTGGCTACCACCAAGACGACCCAACGGTATTTTATCGCTTTTCACAATTTTTATTCGTGTTCTTGATAAAGGTCAGGAAATGAAAATTATTAAGACAACCTTACCAGCACATAATAATCATTACGAAGCGAAGAATCTCAATCAAAAAGAGAATTATGAGGCATGGGTGACAGCATCAACGAAACTTGGTTCTGGTCCAAGTACGCCAGTCGTTAAACTTGTTCCAAATAGTCAAGTGCCCGCACAAATCGTCAGTTTCGGACAAATTGTTTCAGTTTCATGGAAAGTTGACGTTAAACTTCCATGTTTATACGTCGGTCATCCCAAGCCTACAAGTGAATGGACGGTTGCGAATGAGAGAGCGAAGCAAAGTCGAATGGAGATTGGTGAAGACAATACATTGACAATGCGAAATGTTCAACGTATTCATGAAAGCAACTACACTTGCTACACTCGAAATGCTATCGGAAATGATCGAATAACTTATCAGCTTTACGTTCAAGTACCACCGGGTCCACCGAAGCTGACTGTAACTTCCAATTCACCATCTTCAGCGACATTACATTGGCATATTAGTGACACGGGTGGTGCGCCAATTAAAAATTATCTTCTCACATATCGTCGACACTTTGGAGAGTGGCACGAACTTATTCTTGAACGTAGAAGTAATTCTCATATACTTGATAACTTACAATGCGGCACAGAATACGAATTCACCATAGCGGCATTAAATAAAATCGGAAGTGGAGCGACAAGTGAAACTGTCATTATTAAGACGATTGGGGAAAAGCCGATAGCACCATCGATAGATAACTTCTTGAAAGTTAATATCACGTCCGTAGTGCTTGAGTTGATTCAATGGCAAGATGGCGGTTGTCCCATATTATACTTTACTGTCGAATACAAACATTATGGATATTCAAATGAATGGATAATTGTGTCGAGCAATATTGTATCACAAGCTCGTTTTCCTATTGGAGATTTGGAACCTTCAACTGCTTATAACATTCGAATTCATGCATATAACAACGCAGGTTCAACTATTGCTGAGTACACGTTTGAAACACTTAACATGGCTGGAGGTAATACAAAAATAAACGAGCATGAATGTTAGCTTTGCTACATTTAATTAAGTTTCTCTTATTGCAGTCGTGATGAACTCAAATAAAAGAGGACGAGACATGAGCTATGATTCGAATGATTTTTTCTTCAGTGATTCGCATATTTTAACAGTTTCCATCATTTCCATTTTTGCTGTTATCTTAGCTGTTTTGGGAGTTTGTTTCTTCTTTAAATTATGTGAGTAGAGTTGAAAGGTGTCAAGGGAAATGAGTAAATATGAATGTAACAAATCTCGGGAAACTTTTTATAACATAAAGTGATACAAAGTATCATGAAAAGTTATTTGATAACTTTCACTTGACTTTCTTTCTTATGAAAATTAAAATCATGTGACGTAACAAGCGAACATTTCCACACAGAGAAATAAAAAAAATTGCTTCATGCATCAATTTATTATTCGCAGATGGTAGAGATATATTCGAAAACGATCAAACGCGTCAACAACAGCTGCAATCATCATATCAACACGGTAAAAATTCCAAACTTTCTATATCAGAACATCGAGAACAATATTATCAGACGGTGCGAAAGCAATCAACTCAGTCTCCAGGCCTTGACAGTGCATTGGAACGTATACCGGAATACTCTGAGGATATTTATCCCTACGCAACCTTTCATTTAAAAGATCAAGATAAGAGCTCAACAAGACAAGCGCAAGGATTAATTTACGAGTCTCGTGAGACAATGTTGATGGCTAAGAAACACAGAACATCGAGTAGTGGAATCAACACGGGTACAGGTAGTCGATCTCGTAAGAAATCAAGAAAATTCAACACAGAATCGGAAGAGTACGACAGTTTGAATTCGGATAGTGACACTGTCAGTCGAGATCTTGACGCAAATAGTCGAACGGAATCTTCGAATTGTTTAGATGATACTGGCCCTGTAAACTTCAGCAGTAAGTTTCCATTATAAAGTTTCAAATTAAATTCCCTGACAAGCAATTTTATTTGTTATAGGTCGTGCTTATAGTCCCGGTCCGCGAAAAGAAAGATTAGCCCTCTTACAACGACCACCAGCCCATCATAGTAAGTTAGTATATTTTCCTCGTAAGCTTTAAAGTTCATCATAACGTTGTTTTTATCCGGAATTTATCAACTTTTGTTTACTATTAGCCCCCAGCTCCTTCGTCATCATCTTCTGATTGACTTTTATTTTAAAACTTTGTCCTTTCTTCTTTCTTGTTTTGTAACTGAAGCAGATGCCCAATGCAGCAAACTCGACTCAAATGCGTCCCTAGTCGAGAAACAACAAATTTCTGAAATGCGGAGTTTTAATGATAACCATAAATTGCAAATAAGGTAAATGAAATTATTTTTATTTTTTTTCTGTTTTATTTTTCGAGGCGTAAAACGCAAAAGATGTGTCAAAATATTTGTATATTGCTAAACTTCATTAAATAATATTATAAAATTAAAATCTCAAATTATAATCAGGTATCTAAATCATTTTGCTTTTTTATTTTACCCAGCGGTCGTCATAGTGTAGATTTAGCAGATACTCCATCGAAATTATTAGTGAAATCGAGAAGTAAATTGCATTATGGAGAATTTATTAATGGAGGATTTAATGAAAAAAGTAATCGGCCTCTAAATAACATCACATCGAACTCAAAATTTTATGGAGATTTCCTTACATTAACTCCAAGACGAAATAAACTCAACGAATATCTTCAATATCATCAACAACAGTCACATGAACCTTACGATCATATCGGAAGTCGTAAACTTAATTTCTACCAGAATAATCATTCGAGATTAAATGGAAATATTGCTGGAGATCTCTCCGAACATTCTTATCTAAATTCATTAGATACATTGAAGTTAGATGAAGATCGTAACATTCTACATTCGAAACTTTTCTATCAGAATGACAACAGCGGTAATGAATACGTAATCGCAAATAAGAAACAACATGTCGTCACATCAACCAATAGTAATCCAAATAATATTGTAAGTCCCCCAAATCAGTTTTCAAATGACTCAAACATTAATAGATTTATTAAACTTTAATATTTCAAAGTAATTCAAAATTTATCATTTACTTAATTCGATTATGTCAATCAAATATCAATTACCTAAGTGAAATTGTTGAGAACATCGAAAACATATAAGAGAAGAATCAATTTTATAATAATGAATGACCCAAATTACTTTACCATAGTGAAACTCAAATGCAAAACTTTTCTGTCGTATGATGAATGAATAAACATTTGTTAAGAAATGGATATATCGATTGGAATCAAAGATTTTATATAGTAGAACTAAAGAAAACATATCGAATTTTCACATTCAAGATTTAATTACTGAAATTTGAAATCACGAAAGATTCTATGAATATTTAAATTCAACAACATTACAATCAACTCAAAATAACATACGATGTAAGTAAATTTAATTCGTCTATTTAATCGTTTGATTGTTTGTTCTTTTTCTATGTACAAGATAAGTGTTTTAAAACATGACATTGAAACGTTTCCACCCTCAATTTTCTGTTATATATCTACATAATGTACATGTATGAATGTGAAATGATTACATAAACATATTCGATGCTTTTATCATTATCGACATCTGAAGAATATTTACATTATGATTGATTCTATTAGCTTAAATCTAAACACAAAAGGATTCAATTCGAGTGTGTTTGATTGAATATTAATTGAAGTAAGATCTTTAAGCATCATGAACTTTCATATACAGATACAAAAATAAATATTTATGCGGATGATGTTGAGACAGACTTGGGTTGTTGATACAACTCTGGTGTAATCGTAATTATCTTCGAATTATTCCTCACTCCGCTTCAGAAAACAAACTTTGGTGACAGAAAATCCACTCATCAATCATCATTCACTTCGTTATCTTCACGCCATTAGTTCCAATAACAAATTCTTTATATTTAGAAAGCGTGTAGATGAAGATTTTCGTGAGACGTTTAAGATAAATATTTAAAGAAAAAGTCTTATACCTAAGTAAAGACAACGATAGATGTGAGATTATTTTTAAATGAAAACAACAACCTTAAGCTGTTCGTTTTGAATTTTTGCTCCATCGATTTCATTTACTTACACAAAGAATTCAAAAACAGAAATTAAATTTGCAATCATTCATTGTAAAATTACTTCAGTTTGCTGTCCGATTCTTAAGATATGATTAAGTTTAATTAAAAGAATTATCTATCACTGCCTTTTTTAATTTCCATGATAAAAATGTGTAAGAAAAGTAAATCTAAGCCGTTGAGAAAACAAAGAAAAATTTAGGAAAAATAAAGTTTTTGTACAAATGAAAACTGAATATAAATTTACATAAATAGTGTTTACGTGTCAGACCCGATAAAAAATTTACTGAAACTAATTTCTACCACTATATTAAATATATCTTTATGCTGTAAAATTAACAAATTTCTAGACAATGAGATGAGAGATTAATTCAATTGGAAATGAAATGGCTTTTTTGGAAAATTAATTTTTCGTTTCGAAAATGATGGTGCTGTGAATAAAAAAAAATATAAAGAAAAACAAGCTGAAAATTAATTAAAAGTTTATTTAAAAAGTAAGCTGAGAATTTATAAAATGAAATTTGAAAATAAAATGAACAAAATGTGTAAGGAAAAATTGAAGCTTTTCTTTTATTTATTTTATTTGGTGTTGATGTTTGGTTATTTACTCAAGCGTTAGAGAATTGAATGTTGGAAATATCAACAATTCCAACAAAAATGTTTCATCAGGAAATTACGATTTTTTTTAGCAAAACAGCGTAGGATAAAGATAAAATACAGAAACCGCAGCTTAATTAAGAAAATTACTATTGGTGTCTCTCTTTCTTATGCTTAAAAATGTTTCCTCGACGTTACAGGAACTTTCATTTCCTTGATGCAAAATGTTTTCTCCTCATGACGTAGACCTCATATTAATTTAGCAAATTATTTGCTCAAACCATAAACCACAGCTTTTTATTGACATGGCAAGGGAGTTGCGAAATGAACAAGTAACAGTGGCTTCTACAGTACTTTTAAATTTTTATTGAATTCCGTAGAGAAATTTAAATGAAAAATTGTTTCATGTTTTATTAAAAAACAAAAGTTTTCAGTCTGAAACAAACTTTTTAGAAAAAAAGAGCTTTTAAAATGAAACCTTTTAAATGAAGTTTTTAAACTACGAAATAGAAATATTTTCAAAAACTTTGTTTCGAATTGTTTGGACTCGAAATATATTTATTTTTTTTGTAGCAACTTCTTACTTACCTGGGTTGAAAGTTCTTATAGCGATCAAATCTACGCTACTGTATGAAAAATATCGAAAGACTTCACATGAACAATTTTATTACAAATTAAAAGCTCTAAAATATTATGTGCAGACAAGAAATTTAATTTAAAATGTGTTGTGATTTAGTGAGATTGTGAAGTTTATAGCTCAATATTATGAAGATTCTAAGGGCTCATAAAAATGCGCATTCACGAATGATTTTTACGTCCATAGCAGGTTGCTTCTCACCGTACATCAGAATTTAATCAGAGAAAGTTTTAAGACTATTTTTGCATGCTGTTGCGTACATGCACCACTTGAATATTCAAACTCGTAACAATACATATGCTTCCCTTCTACATTTGCAGTTTTGCACCATAAATGCTTTTCTCACTCAAGCTATATTTTCATTGTATGTCGACATTATTTATGCTGCACATACATATACCTACATAAATGTGCATGTGCAACAACAAAAGGATATCATTCTAAAGCGCTACGGTAAACTCTCAAAGCCTTCGTGATTATATAACATCAAATTTTAATTGAATACTCACACTCTTCGAATAAAGAACAATGTTTATGGTGAAAGCTCCCAGTTTTAATTTTACAATTTCTGTACTACCACTTCACTCATGTTCCAGTTGTAAATGATTCATCAAGGTATGTATTCATTCCTTCATAAGTAAATATGTATAGCAATGTTGTGTTTGAAGCAGGTCTGGAAATCTGAAAACTTCTAAGACTTTTTAACATGAAAATTAAGTTCCGTCATTAGGCCTTGAAATATAAATACTTTTTATAATCTGTGAAGTATATGATGATAGTCATCTCAAAATCAAAGTAAACAATAAATAGAAAGACCTTATAATGATTAGAAATATTGAGTAGAGTCAACAGAAGATGTGCTTTTAGGGCAGTCACAACAAAATGAAAAGCTCGTTGTAATCTCATTACTACATACAGCGTTTGCCTTTTCTTAAAGATCTTTTAATTAATTTTCCATAAAATGAAATGTACGAACATAAATTTAACACTTTTTATAGTGAGCGATTTAAAATGTTATCTTGATGTAAATAACGAAGGAGAAGCTGGGACGAGACTTAAAAAAGAAATAAGAGAAATAATAAAACGTTGTTACTGAACAGGATGGAGATAAAGAAAATGACAGACAGCGCAAGCATTAAATCAAATAAAAAAAACGAAATCGGATGCTCTGGGCTATCAACAAAATGATTTTCTTTACTGTCGCCCATGCTATAAAAAGCACTCATGTAAATATTTCTTCTTCTCTATCTTTCGCAACCTAATTGAAAATGACGGGCCGTGTCAATGGCATCGAGTCAAGCGAAAGAAATGAGATGATAAACATTTCTCTATCTACTTTCTGTCTGTCATCAACCACTTTCTTTTAACATGTTTAATGTTCATTAAGATATCTTTAAATTTTTAAAGTTATTCTAATTATTAATTATAAAAAAAAGGCCGCAAAAATATTCAACATTGAAATTTCTTTATTTCAATGCCTCTTTTGATGTTACTTTTGACATTTGGAAATTTATAATTGAATTAAAAATCTGATTAATGTCAAGAAACAAACACTTCGCTGGATTACTTGCAGCAACAGCCATCTCCACGATCGCTTTGTACAAATGGAGGTGGACAAGTGAAACTATCACAAGGTTCATTTGGATCAACACTACAATCCACTAGTTTTACAGGCACTCCATCTCCTCCTCCTCTAACATGAGTTATGATGGAGAAAACTTATAAATGAAAAATATTAATAAAACAACGTTATCAAATTTTGAATTATTTTAAATTACCACAAATAATGAAGAAGATCCCCAAAATAATTGATAATCGTGCCATTTTGAGAAGTTGGATTTAGACTTTGAATGTTTTAAATCGACTGTATGAAAAAACTTCGTTCTGTGTTCTTTTTGTACTTTTCCAAATGAGATCATCCTTTGCAATTAAGAAATTTTAACCACCAAAACACGAGGAAATAATTATTATTTGAATCGTGAGTTTAAGTTTTAACAACAGTCATGGAAGGAGATTAAACTCGTTCAAGGTTTGAAATCACATCAAACAAAACGGAAAAGATATAAAATGAGTTTTATGAAAGAATAAAGATAGAAAGACTAAAGAAGCTCTTAGACCTCTCCCTAGGCATATGTATTATGATTTAGATTTTGGAAAATTTATCAAGACTTTGCTACTTATTAGAGAAGATGTTGACAAAATCTCAACATGAAGCCTTATCGTACTCAAAGCTCATAATTTTATCAAAAATATCAAATGTTTTAATCTTATGTAGTCAATCAAAAGCTTCAATATTAATCTAGACATTTCCATGACATTTAAATAGAAAGATAATTTAATCAAGCTTAAAGCTCAAGATTTTTTTCATAGCTTTTACCATGTTTGACTTCAATGTCGAAGAAGAAGTTCAAACATTTTCCAGTTTTTCATTTCACTGAATTCTACGAACACGCATTGTGGTTGTAGGGAAATAAGTAAGCCAGATGAAACACACATATTAAAATATTTATGAGCATTCCTTACTTATTCTACATAGACAATATGCAAGGAAAAGGCCGAGGAAACATATGTAGCACATGACATCAACGGCGAAAAGAATGTGAACGAAGAAATGAAAAAACAAGAGAAAAATTTTCGATGAAAGAATAAACAACAAAATATTTCGTTTTTACCACGATTGAAAGAAAGGAAAAAAAATTCCGAATGCTCATTCTCACGAAATATTACTCCATCAAATACCATCCTATTTAATCAGTTTGTGGGGCCCAGCCCGCCTTTCCCATACGCATCTTGTTAAATGTGAAGAAAAAAGCTTCATAACTGCGTTCTTTCAACATGTAGAAGAGAAAAAAACTTCTTCTTTGAGACGAAAAAAATAACTAATAAGATTTTTTATGGGCACTTTTTCTCAACGTTCTATTTTTTCGTTCCATCGTCCTCCATTCAGATACGCTTACGTCTTTTACTATCTCAATCAAAAGCATATGAGATACATTCATTCAGACGGTTTTTCTCATCTTATATCTGAAAAAACATTGAAAGGATATAAGCAACTTGATCCCTAGAATTACGAGACAACGACAAATGTTACGTAAAACCTTCACTGGTTGTTATACATTTCCTTTAAGAGATTAAACTGATATATTCTCTCAAGATATTTTATTTAAATAAATATCTTCAATCATCTTTAATATAATGATAAAAGTGACATACTCGTTCAAAAATAATAAAGCTTTGAACATCATAAAGCTTTTCCTAAAATATTTCATGCTTCAAATTCGCCTTTGTTATAATTTCTGATTCCTTTTAATGTCTTCTTCATTGCTCTGACGTCTGTTTTTTCAATGATTTTCAATAAAGCATTAACAAAAAAAAATTCTCAGAAAAAAATGTAAAGATTCCCAGAGAGTGAAGAAAAGAAATCAAATGACAAAAGACGTCGTCATATCATCTTTCCCCACTTTTATGACAAAAGTTTGATAAAAGACTTGTTTTATGTTTATGTTGAGTATGAAATATGAAACTGAAGTTGTAACAAATCATGCATTCATCTTTTGAAAGGTACAACATGTGAGGCGGAGAAGACGACATTAATCTTTTGTTAAACACATATATTGTATGTACAATGTACTTACTTACATACACGCCTTTAGCTATTGTGGCATCCAACGTTAGAATGTTTAATTTATCCCTGCAATCGCTTACTTTGTGAACATTACATCTTTATTCTTTATTCTTTATTGTTGAAATCTCAACCTTAATCGATCAGGAATTAATTTCATTGTCGATAGCTTAAATCTAAGGCTCATTTAAGTTCGTTTATCACTTTTCTCCGCCTTTAAAATAATCCCCCAAAAGCTAATTGGAAAATTAATTATCAAAGGTTTTTTTTTGCTTCGCTTTTAATCTAAGCAACAAACATACATCATGTGTACGCTTCTTCGCTATTTGCTTTAGTCAACAAACAGTCGGCAGAATTTTCATTTAGCTAATTCAATTTATGTTCATCGCTTCGAGTTTATTGAGCATGAAAAATTTATAATTTTGTTAGCAATGGACGATCTCTTCCGATGTGCTTTAATGATGGGACGGGAAACATTATTGTGCTTTCTTTGGTTCCCATTTTCTCTCATTCCTCCTTCGTCATGATGCGATTGTCTGAAATCGCAATTTAATTTTATATCTGTTGATTAACTTGAGCTAGATAAGGGTGGAGAAGGAGCAAAAGGCAAATTAAAATTGCCATTAATTTAACTATACCGTTGAAGTTTTATTTGATATTCGCAATGGCGAAGACGTTTCAACTCGAAAATTGATGGGGAAACTACATGACTGCCTCAGCTGAGCATTGCTCAATTCAAACGTGACTAAAAGCGAATATTATTTCCGTCTTTTACATAGCAAGGGCTGACTAAATACAATGAATGTAGTAAAAATATTTAAAATAAATACGCAATTCTAGAACATTTTCAGCCTCTTGTTAGATTGCCTTCAATAAATTTTAGAAATTAAAATCAAGAGAGAAGAGGTACATGATGTAATATTTCAAGAAAATTTATTGAATTGCAGAGCACATTTCTCAAATTCTTTTACACTTCCTTCGATAATATTGAAGATGACTACCTAGAAAGAAATCTTTCAGCACAAATAAATTTTAAAGTGTGATGTAGAAATTTGAAATTATTTATGGAAATGTTGAAATATCTGAGAATTAAAGTGAATTTTATTTTCAATTTAACGTGAAATTTAAATATTCTTAAAAATTCCACTCGATAAAATAAAAATGTTTAACTACCAAAAATTATAATTAGATACGTAAACATTTTTTAGATATCATAATTTTCATGTTATCTACGTTTGAATGCCTTCACATCTCATACATAAATGAATCTGATGTTGAACATTTTGTGTCAGAGTGAAGTGTCAGAGGAAGCAATTGGGATCAAAATGTGATGCATGATATTAAAGTTATTCGAACATTTCTTTCTCATCTTGAAGCTTCCAGTGAGAGAAACATTTTGTGAGAGTTTTTTCATTTCGGAAAGCATGGAGCAAGACATGAAGTTCAGCAAAGCATGAGATTTTAAACATTTCCGTTTTCAATGTGTAAAGCAAAGAAGAATTTTTGGGTTTAATTTCCTTTTTTTGTGGTTTTCCTCTCGCATGTCGAGTTTCTCTCATTCGCTTCACCTCATCCTACTAGTTTGAAAGCTAGCTGTCGTTTCACTTCTGAATTTAAACCCACCTAACCACCTCACGAGTCAGACAACTGATTGTATTTAGCATCTCGTTGTTTATTAGCCCTCATAATTTATAAATTATATTTCAACATCCCTCAACCTCAAATCCATGCTTTATGAATGAATTGCTTCTCGTTTTAGCCGAATTCTCACGTAAAATACCTGATAACAAGATTTTATTAGTCAAACAAATATTTGAACCTTTTTTCTTCATCCCCTCGAACCAATGATGACTGGGAGGGTTTGTGCGTGTGAGAATTTTCCAAGCATTTAATTTCGAATACATGCTAAACGTGTTTCGATGGAGAACGAGCTTTTAATGTGCAATTAGTCTGATTTTTTCTTTGTAAGCTTTCTACTAAAATCATTGCGAAAATCTGAAGCTAATTGATGTAAAGACGACAGTTGATTGCAAAACATGTGGCGAAAATGCCATCAAATGATGACTTAACAAATTTATTGATATCGAAGTTAATTCATTGAATGTACTTGGAGATTATTCAAGGCACCAATCGAAAGAGAAGATTTAGATTCAACAACTGCTTGATTTTCTGCTGAATCATTAAACATTTACAGAAGACCTAACAGGTTTTCTAATTCTTTACGCTTTTCAATGGCTTTTCCAAAAAAAAAACTCAGGACAAAGTTAATTAAATTTTGTACGTGCTTCGCCGCATGATTTACTCGTCTTTCTGAGTCTAGATAAGATTTTCTTGAAAATGAAAGTTTTTTTAAAAAAAATAATTAGAATGCTAGTAAAGTTTTCAACAATATTTGATAAATCACGATTCGTGAAGAAAAAGTTTTACACTCACAAGTTTGCCTGTTACTTACAAATTTTAATGGAAATTCATTCTTAAAGTCCAAAATATTAAGCTATATAAATGAACGTCATCCAGGCACATATTTGTGAGTGTTTGTAATTGAATTATTAAATTGGGCTCCCATAACGAATGATCCGTTTTGTGTTTATTTTTCATTCTCGCTCCCAAACTGACGTAATTGGAAATCAGATATTTTCTTAAGAACAAAATACAACAGATCAACGTATCTAAACAGATAATTTCCAAATTTTAAACACTGCATTCTGGTATTGAATTTTGTTTTGTAAAAATAAGAACGAATTGTTTAATTGTCGCGGACTAATTAAGTATGAAAATTATAAAACTTAAACTCACATCGCGATGATCTGTTGAGCGGACAGGTATTATCAAGAGTCTGTTTAAAATGACATAAAAAGAGATAAGATAGTGAGAAGAGTTTTAATTGAATAATAAAAGTTGAAGATTAGTGAACTATGAGTCTTCTGTTTTTAGGTTTGTATTGTAAAAGATTAAATTTTTATTTATTTTTTTACTTAAATATCAGTTTGCTAGAAGTTAATTAAATTTATAACTGTTTTAGGCGAATTTACTTCCGAAATACTTGCTTATTTATTCATATTTATATTCATTATTGTTCCATCGTTACTGAAAATTAAATCGTGTCTGTTAAAATACGAAGACAATGGAGTGGAATTAGAAACCGTATTAAATCGAAGTATCTCACAAGTAACATTAAGAGTGCCTCTCGATGGAGGTGTTGAATGATTTCGTTAATTTGTCAATAAACATATTATTAAAACTGTCAATATATAAATGTTAAGAACAAAAATCTAATAGCCTATTAGCTTCTAATCAACTTAACTCAAATTCAATGGAAACCTCATAAAATTTAACGGATTTATGTTCAGATTCAAATATTTCTTGCATTCTTATCGGTTTTCATTTCGTATTGGAAGTCTTATTGGAAATTAGCAGAAACTTCCAATATTCAGTCAACAACCAAAACAATACATAACAATGACAGAAAATAATAAAAATGAGCCACCAAATATAACTGAACGAAAGGCAGCGCCTGGAGATGGAATAAGGTCGATGAAATCAACATGGGCTTTTAGAACTATTAATTTTGAATTGTATGCTAAGCCAAGTAAGTTGGAAAATTTTAATCATTTTTTTTAATAGATTCAACAATTTTACTTTACCGTTTGTAGATATAGTTATAATGGCTATTGGACTAATATCAATCACTGGAGTATTCGGCTATATCGCATACATGAGAGCCAAATACGAAGGTCTAGGTTACTACTCAGCAGTAAAAGCAGATGGAACTGAAGTTTTTGAAAAGAAAAAGTCACGTTGGGAGAAATAATTAGATAAAGATTCATGTCATGTTAGTTGTTAATAAAATTCAATGCTTTTTTTATTTATTGAAAAACCTTTAGTTTCTAATATTTGATTTGACTGCAGCCAGATTTTCAATGCATTTAGTTTTGGTGAAAACTTTTTTCATGTTTTTTGTTGTTTTACTATTCTTTCTAGAAAATATTTGAAGGAGTATAAAGACAACACAATTATTAAGTTTTAATTTATTTTTTCTTTCTTTTCATTTTTCTAAATATAGAATAAAAAGAATGCAGTGAATTTTAGGATTATAAGCAATTATTCAAACTTCAAGATTATCAGAACTTAAACTCTCTTTTACCAGCGCCATCATATTCAAAGTTCATCAATCCTTAAAAACTAAAATATTGAAAATATCAGATTTTAAATCTTATGAGCAGTCATTTTCCTTTTCATTCATTTAGACAATCATTCTTCACTATAGAAATATTTCGCATTATAACTGCAGGTGTGTTGTAAATTCTAAAACGATTAAATGAGATAATTGAATTAGCGAGCATTTAAAATAATTGTATTTTCACACTACACACTTGATGAAAAATGGATGATTTTTGTCTTTATTCTTTAATTATCTTCCATAGCATAGCGCTGAGTCCATTCTTTGGCATTTCGTATTGCTTCAGCCTCATTTACTTTCCACAACTCAGCAACATCATTAGCCAAAGGATCATCTGGATTAGGAGCACTTAATAAGGCCTGAATTGAGAGCAAAACCGTGCGAATTTGCAATGCTGGACTCCATTTATCTTTAAGAATGTCTAAACAAATTCTTCCAAGTCTATCGATATTTGGGTGGTAAATTTTTGTGATAAAGCGTACTTTAGGAGCAGACATTGGATAATCTTCTGGCAAAAACAGTTCTAATTTAAAAATTCCACCTTCGAATGGTGAATCCTCTGGTCCGGTAACAATGACATGGAAATATCTAGCATTAGTTTCTTCAGGGACAGCACTAATGCCAGGAACTGGCTCCTGCATCAAGCGTTGAGTTTCTTTGATAATTCTTCTTGGTAATCCGGCCATTATTTATTATTTTCCTGCACGATTTTGTTCCTAATGTTTTTTTCTCGATTTTTTGCTTCTTCTTAAGTTGCAAGATAGATTTTTTCACAGAAAACAATGGAAGTTGTCTTCTGTTGAACTTAGTTTTAATTTTAATTATACTTATTTCTTAATAATATTAACTCCTTTTGTTTTGTTTATGCAAAGATTACGTTTACAGCAAAAACCCATTTGTACGAAAAATTTTCGGTTTCGTACAGATATTGGAAAGTCTGAAGTTCTTTCCAATCGGTTCAAGTTGAGGGTGTTACTTCCAACATTCCAGCATTCCATATTTTCCAGTATTGTTATGACTGATTCTTTTGTTATTTTTGCTTTTTAAACAAAAAATTGATATTTGTTAAATATACTGCCTTAAACTTGCTCATCAAAGATGAAAATCAATGAGAAGAATCTCTACACATTTGCAAACTCCAAACCAGTCGATAAAGAAGGTAAGTTGAAATGTTAAACAACGTAATGTGATTTCGTAAGAACGATTTCCGCAACTTTCAATTTCATTTCAACATTTAATTGAGTTAATTTTAAAGGTTTTCTCCAGTTCAAACGAGACATAAAATTTCAAAGACGATGGTTTGTGCTTAAAGGCAATCTGCTCTTTTATTTTGATAAGAAAGGTGATAAAGAACCTTTAGGATTATTACTACTTGAAGGATGTAAGAATTTTTTAATGACTTAGATACATAAAAAGGAAAGCTTTTAAGAAAAAAACAAATTTTAGGCACCGTTGAATTAACAGCCGATGAAGACACACAGCAATATTGCTTTCAACTTGTCTTTCATGGTGAAAATGACAGAACTTATTATATGGGAGCTCAATCACAAACTGAAATGGAAAGTTGGATGAAAGCATTGACATGTGCTAGCTACGATTATATGAAACTGATGGTAGGTGAACTCCAAAGACAGTTGGAAGAAATTGATAGCAGGAATAAAGGTCACTCAACTAAAAACAAACCAGCACCGAAAGCCCCTCCGAGACAAAGACAAAATCCATTCAACAAACCAACAAGTTCAACCACTGCAATTATAAATCCAACAACAGGTAGATAGAATTAATAAATTTAAATCTCTTGCATCTTGCTTCTTAACTGCTTTTGTATGTGGCTGTTGGTTGAATCATATGTTTTAAATCTGAATGTGTTATTGCTAAAAACAAACTCTCATCATGCATCACAACAACTTTCATTAATTTCTCTAATATAGAAGCAGCTAAAATTGATCCGGAATCAAACGAAGACACTGATTTGACATTTGAATCAATACATCAAGACATCGGATCACCGATTCAAGAAAATATCCAAAGATCTGAGAACTCTGTCTTTGTCATTTAATTTGTTCCCATATGGAAGTGATAATCAATTCAGTAACACACAAGGCGTCGCCATGTCTCATTACAGAGATAAATATCCTAGGAGTTAAGAATACATTTAATTCAATTAACTCGCATGTATAAAGAAAACACTTTATATTTGTCTGTTACTCGCTAATTATAGTAATTGTGACCGTCCCTGAAATTTTATTTGGTTTTTTTTGGCAAATTTTTTGGAAGTTTTAATTGCATTCACTTTTAAGAAATAAGAATTTCATTCTTCCTACACAACTTATTTAATCTTTTTAATCTTTTCTTCTTTCTACTGCAGTCCAGAGACCTATGGAATCGCACTTCTAGATTAATTAAATTTATTTTCTCTCTCCTTTATCATATTCTTAATACAAATATTCGAAAGTTAACTTTTACTGATTTGATTTCTTTATTTTCAAGGAAGCACTTTTCAAGAATATTTAACTTACCGTTGATTAGATGTATGAGAGAGAAAGAGATTTTTGCTTGCTCAACAAAGTTTATTTTTATGACATGTCAAATGATGTTAGCAAAATGTGTTAAATTTTATCATATCAAATAATGAATGTAAATCATTAAAAGCTTTTAAAACAAAGTAATTAAATTCACCTAGAAAGACTTGAGTTGAGATTTTAATTTCTTCTTTGACATTGTGAATGCCTATTAAAAAGTTTTATGTTTTAAAAGATATTAAAAACAAAGAAAATCTGTAAATAAAAGCTTCAAATTTTAAAGGATTAGAAGTATTTTTATTTCAGTCTCTAATGTCGTACTTATCATTGTTCCTAAAGAACACTAATTTAACTATGGAAGTGACTAAGTAAACTAATGCGAGTGCTATAAAGTAGAAACCGTATACAAGGAATTGGTCTCTCGTACTTAAATCCAAATAAGAAATAACAACAACTGTTAGAATTGTTTGAAATACAAGAGCGATTAAAGTGTTGATGCCAAAGATCAAAGCAAAACAATCATCGGCGAGCTGTTGTGCAACTGCTGCACTTGCAATTGTGATCATGAAAGAATAAAGAACACCAAACATTACATACATTGCGTAGGCAATCCAAATTAGAGTCGTTTGCGAAGAAATAACAATGAAGATTCCTTGAAGTAATGAACAAGCTGTTAAAATCCACATATCAAGTTTCTTGAATGTTTTGCTTGTAAGATATCCGGCAAGAAACGCTGCAATTGCACCGAATAATGTCAAAGTTGCTTCGACACCAGCATTCAAAAGAAATTCTCGGTCCTCGTCAATGTCTTGCCATAAAAGTTGCACATAAATTTGGACCATTAGAAATCCTGCCATTGCAAGTGCCCACCAGAAACTCCATTGGACAACTTTTGGATTTGAATAAGACTCCAGGAAATGCTTCCAAAGTAGCTTGTAAGCTCGTCTAAAAGAAAATTTTGGTTCTTCTTTGGTTTTTTCATTTGTTTCCTTTGGTACTTCATCATTTGATACACTGTTGTTTTCAGATTCATTAGGAATTGAATAAAAGTAAAGACTGATTCCAACAGAAGGAAGAAGAACAGCAACAATCAATGAAATACTTTGCGCTGTAAATAAAAATCGATTTATTTCCAGATATTAAAACAGATTTAAACATTCACCTCCAAGTGTTAGATAATTCAGATCTCTCAAGTTCATAATTTCAAATGAAAAAAGCAATTGTGCAACAACACTGGCTGTAAATCTTCCTGCAAGAATTGCTGCCCGTGCATTTCCAGTCACTTTTTGATATTTCGACTTATCGACTTTTGCATACATGTATCTGAAAATTTTCTTTTTATTTAAATAATGATTCATCAAATAATGGTTTTACGTGTAATATGCTACTTCAGCTGCCATATAAAATCCGTAGAAGACTTGCACAATTTGGAGAGCAAGTAATGACGTTGTCCACAACAACATTGACCAGATTATGATACCGGCACATGCTGATGCAATTATTATTGGTTTATAGCTGAAACAATCAATAATTTGATATCACTTCCATTTATAATGCTTTATAACAACTTACCGAAGAATATCAGTGATAAGAAAAACAATAACTAACAATCCAAGTGTTGCATAAGTTCCGATTGGATAAACTTCTCGATTCAACTGATCTGAAGTGATATTTCTCCATTCTCCTGATAAAAACTCAGTCACAAATGGTTCACTCGGTCTGAATTCTCGAAAGAATCCAAAAGTGCACAAAGCCAAAGATATTTTCAGCCAATCTTTCATTTTTCAACTAATTCTTATGAAGGAATTCACTTAAATGCGATAATAATTTTGTTTTGACGGCGACTTTTTTTTAACCTTTCATTATCAAACACCAGTTATCTATACTTTAATTAAAATCAGGCAAAAGTTTAGCATTGTCATTGCACAAAAATCATTCTCAATCACACAAATTGAAAAATGGACATTTTTATTGTTTACATCATCAACTCATCAATATTGAGGCAGATCACTTAACCAAGGGGTCATTCACTTAGATTATTCTTGTGTCAGGAGCTTTCGTTCGATTTCCCTACTCAGTAGAAAATAACCTCACGAAAAAAATAAGAAGAAAAGCTTTCGAAAAAGTTTTTTTCCTTTTAAAACATGAAACTTTATTTTTTTGTGAAAATTCTTGACTGTTGATATGAATTATAAATTTGTGAGATGAAATATTACAAATTATACTATTCTAATGAACAATCCCTTGATGACACTTTACTAATGCAGGCAAATGGGCCAAGAGCCGAGAAAAACTAAGAGAGAAAATCAAATCGCACGAGGACAACAAAGTAGAAAAACATATGAGAATGTGTATTGATACTTGAATTAAAATGAATAAATTTCATGGTCAAAGACGAATACGCTCTCACGAGAGAGACGCGCTCGTTAGAACCGATTTGTAGGTGGAAGAAACAGAGAAAAATATTTTCAACATTCGTTCTTCGATTTGTTCAGTTGAATTAAGAATTTTTCATACTTCGTAGCTTGTTGCATAATTATTATATTCTAGTATAAAAAAGTAGCGGAAATAGATACCTACTTCAAAATAAAGTTTACAAATATATTGTACTTAAAAAGTTTATAAGAAGTGCTGATTGAAAATTTTTTGCAGCTTCTTGTGATAATTTATCAAACAAATATTGAACAGAAATAGTTTGCGAAAAAGATTTTTTCCTTGACTCGTTTGTCTTCCTAAAAAATATTTAAAAAGAAGTTTTCCGACGAAAATTCTTTGTGGATGGATGAAAGAAAAACAGAAATCCTGAAGTCAGATATGGTAAAGCTTAAAGATTTTGCGATTTATTTTTTGAAGGTCGAAACGGTTAACGGAATGGAAGGCTAAGCAAAGCTTCAGAACTTTAATGATGTTGATGTTGAATGAGTAATGACGTCATTAAGGTTCTTGAATATCTTTCAAAAAATTATTCTATTAGAACCTGTTTAGTTTGTTTTTTTATTTGTAATGTCATAAATCTTTCTAGATGACCAATGAAGAGTTGCCGTGTGAGTTCATTGAACGCTTCAACCATTTGAGAAAAGTAAACAAATTCACAGACTGCTCGTTTAAAGTCGAAAACCGTTTTTTAAGCTGCCATAAATTAATTTTATGTGCCGCATCACCGGTGTTTGAAGCAATGTTGTATTCGAAATTTTTGGAGGGTTCATCAATCATCGATGCTTCAAATTCAATCAAAATCACTGATATATCTTACGATACATTTGAAACTTTTCTTTGTTATATTTACACTGGAGAGTTGAAGTTAAACGATAATGGAAACGAGATAAATCAGCTGATGGAATTGAGTTATTGTGCTCAAAAATATTTAATTGAAGATATGAGAAAACAATGTCTGAAGCTTTTAAATAAGTTTTTAAACAATGACACAATATTGATAATAATTGAAAAATCTTTTGAACTTCATTTGGAGGATTTTCTCGTGACTTGTGTTTACTACTTCGCTGACTCTCTAGAAACAAATTCAAGCTTCAGCAATTTGGTTTTAAATAAACCAAAGACTCAACTATCACCATCGTGTTTCGAGTTTCTTGTGAAGAATCTCATCGATTATCTTGGCGAACGTGACAATATTTTATGTCTTATCAAAGCTTGGGCCTTTGTTCAAGTTCAAAATGATAAAGTATTAATCAATGATGAGTCTCAAGCATCAAAACTTCGACAATTGAATCTTGATAATGCATTAACCGAGAAAGTTGTAGAGCTTAAAGCGACTTATGCCAGCGATTCATCGTCAACGAATAATTTGGCAATGTTGAAAAGCTTTCATCGATCTTATTACAAGCCAGTTAGTCCACTGATCATCGAAAGGAATCAAATGCATTTTAATACTTTCGTTTCCTTCAAACGCTTCTCAGTTATCAACTCTCTAATGGTTAACAGCCGCTTAATTCCAGAACAACTCGACATCTGTGATATGAGTAATCAAACTTACACTGAGATTATTAACGTAGAAATTCTCGAGAAAGTTACCGGAAAATCGATTTACAATCAACAAAGCACAATCGAAAATGTGAACTTCAACGCTTTCTTCATAATTAACTTGAAAGAGTCGCTGATTCTTTTTCCGCATTACATTTATATTGTGAAACTTTCATGGAACACTGAAGCAATTGGTCATGAATATCCTCGTTGCATCTTTTCATTGATCGAGAAAGGTGATGACGACGACATTGACACAAATACGAACAAACATAATTTAAGTAACATACAATTTCATGAACACGATTATTATTGGCCTCTCGGTTCAATAATTCAAGGCATCACATACAATTTGGTGACGTAATCATCATCATCATAAAAAGAGCTTTAATTTATGAGCGCATCAACAATTGTTGAAACATACAAAAACTATTTATTTTTCCATTTTTTTTTTCAATTCATTTTTCTTTTTTTACAAAAAGAGAAGGGACGAGAAGATTTAATGTGTGGTAGGGACATTCTTATCATTACGTCAGTCACGTTCAATAAAAAAGCATAAATAAATTTTAATAACTGCAAATTCACTGAATCGATTTTAACTTTCATCTTGACGTAAATTTACGAATATTTCCCTTGGCATGATTTCGATATCTGAGGGGAAAATTAAGTTTTACTTCTCTTATTTTGTGACAACTTTTCATGTTTTTTTTTTTTAAAGAAAGTTCTTTTGGAAATTTAATTGTGAAACTTTATCAAAGAAAAAATAAGAAATAATAAAATTAAACTTGTCAACTTTCGTGCACTTTTCTTCTTCATGTTGTTGTGATTTGATCGAACACAGAAAGAGGTGAGAAGATGGATGAAAAGTATTTTAAGTGAGCGAATTGTTTTCTCCACATTTACTTGGTCTTAACTTTCTTTTGGTTCACATTTGTATTCTGATCAGCTTCGGGTAAATCCGATTCCTTTTTGCGATCTTTCTTTCCTGTTGTTGTCGATGTCTTAACTTTCTTTATAACTTTCACTGATTGTTCCTTTGATTCGCGTTTTGATTTAAGAAAAGAGGCAATAAAACGGAAAATAAGGAAGCCTTGGATTGAGAAAGCAACAACAAGTCCAAGCATTCCGCGTGTTGAGTGTGTTCGTCCAATTCCAGTGAAGAATGTTAAGAATGAAAGTACGAGTGTTGAGAATGCTGTCAATAGGAAGATAAGATTGTTGAAAACCCGGACTAGAAGAAGAAGGAAATTTAATTAATTGTTTCAACAGAATCTTCAATCTTCACTTACATTTCACATATTTTTCTTCTTTGTCAAAAACTTCCAACAATCCAAAAGTATGAGCAACAAATTCACTAAAATAATGCAATGTAAGTAACACGATTGCAATACGTCGATAAGCGAAGAAGTAGAAAAATGCAATAATTGCAGTTCCGGCTAATGAATGTTGCATCTTTGCTGGTTGTTCATCCTTCTTCACTTTTTGGAAGTACAATTCAGGAATCATGTGGAGATAATAAGATAACTGAATAATAAAGTAAAGTTTGTGAATGAAGATCATGGGATGATTTGGATAATCAGTCCAAAGTCTTGACATATTTTCAGCATATTTTTCACGCATAATGACTTCGGCACCCCAAAAGAACGACAACAAATAAAAAACCACAAGTTGTCCTGACTCATTGAAACGAGACAATTTGAATTTGGACAAATGAAGTTTCTTGGAAACTTTCTGAAATAATTAAGAAATATTTTAAAGTCAATCGAGATTATTTGTGATATTTCTTGGAGGACTTACATCTAATACATATTCCTGTAAGATAGCATGCATGATGATGCAGATGAGTGTATAAAAGAACACAGCAGCGGCATCCATCCATCCTGACTCGTAAAGATACGGTTCATTCCTAATTATAATTTAAAATAATATATTTTCCATTTCAGATCATTTTCTTTGATATTACTTAGCATTTTCAGATGCCTCAACGTCAGTGACATTATGTCCCATGACAATAAAGATGCTCGCAAGTGAACTGGTTGCCTAAAAGAACGAAAAATTATCATTTAAAATACAATCCCAGACATGAAACGAAAATTCATAAAATAGAAAGTGATCAACAAGATTGAAGGGAAGAAAAAGAAGAGAACAAGAAGAAGTAAAAAGTATTGTATATGTGGAGCGCGCAGCACATATTTTTCTTCACTCTCAGTAGAAAGAAAAAAATATGAAAGAAAAAAATCTATCGATGGAGCCGACGTGGCATGTGATTTTGCCACATTTCTTATCACTGATTTGTTATGAAGGTGAATGATGAATGAAAGTTGAAGAAGGTGAACAACACTTCTTAAGAAGTTGTACAATTGTCGACGTGTGACAATAATGAAGGGTGATGAATGGGAAATTTACTCACTTGCATCATCAAACCGACAACAAACACCATCGCGACACAGCTGACGATATCAGCATGATTTTGAATAACGAATTCATGACTGAGAATTGGAGGATTCTTCTTATCCTTCTTGCTACCAAAAGGTTTTGTGCGGAATGCAGACATGGCTCAAACTTTAACTATTTTAACTTTTCCTTTCTTAATATCAGTAAAACAAAAAAAAACTATAAAAGAATACAAAACTAAGAAACTTAAAGTTGAGGTATGTTAACAACAAGTTGGCTGTCAAATTTGTGCACAATACTACTTGGTGAAAAGGAAAAATCTCGACAACTATTTTCCGTGTCACCACAAACTGAATTTGTGGAACTCGCTGAAAGATTCTGAATTTGTCTCAATTCGCTTTTCGCCCGATTACGAATCGGTTAAGTTTGAATTTTTATGCGTTACATTTTATGACTCAATGGAACATTGAAACATTTAACAAAACTTTTCACTAATCGGAATTAAATCGTAATTTATGAATTTAACTTTTTTAACCTTTCGAAACTTGAATATTTTTTAACTACAAATATATTATTGGTAATAATGTGTCTTGCTATGTTCTGCTTAGAATTGAATCGTATTTTGATGATGATAATCTCATAGCTCTTATCTCCCTTTTAGTCCCAATTTTGACAAGCATGCCATAAAAGTTTCAATTTTTATTACTTAATTTTTTAACAGTTCGGAAGATATCTCTTGTTTGTGTTAAACATAGTAAAAAAAATCATTGCATTATGTTCAAACTGAAAAATAGAGATTTCCTTCACTTACCGTCGGTGTGGGATCTGTATAAAGATATTTTATTTAAAAAGATTTATTTCTATGTACAAGCATAAGTATTTAAACCTTTAACAAGAAAACATGTCAAAACATTTTGCATAACAACAATCAATATAGAAGGCCTTTTTGAGCCATGTGCACGAGTTTTTAAAATATTGGAGTAATGGGATGCGTTAAAAATTGCATCCTTTGTCAAGTCAACGACTTATTTTGAAATGTGTATCCACCACTCGAAATACTGTCTAAATAATTTGATTATGAGAGATTGAATTTTGTGTCCATGAGCATCAGATAATGCAGTAAAATATCGATCGACTTGCTTTATAAATTTATGAAACATGAAAAGTGCTCAAATTCAATTAGGTCATGGAAATGCATTTTATATCATAGAAATGATTATTTCTACTTCATAATTATCAGATAAATTTCCTTCTATAGTACATAAATATCTTTTTGATCTTTATCAAAAATCCTTTTAGTTATTCTACATACAAGCTTTTATTCGAATTTTAAAATATTTATAATACTATGTACAAAGAAAAGGTTTTGAGAAAAACTGTTTCTATTATCTTAGATTCGTAACCTTTTTTTATTACTTATTTGTACATCGTTTTTATGTAAAACAAATCAGTAGAACAAAATAGTTACCCAATCAATTGCCAATTCATAGAGTTCACACTTCAGAATACCGATTCCCTTGTTCTTATTTATGTAAGCTAAATGAGGTATGTGAAAGAGGTATAGATTTCCTTTTTATAATTCAAATTATTAACAACTGACGACCTCTTCTTACTTTTTGCCAAAGAGTTGAACTATATCATCTTCATACTTTATAATGATTCGAGTAGAGTTCAAACTCGGAACGTATGTGGTGGCGATTTCATGACTGCCACGAAAGAAAAGCGTTACAAGATATCTCGAAGCGAAACAATTCAAGCATTCGAATGTATGAATGCATTCCCCAGATTTAAAATCTACCACGTGTAAATAATAAAATTGTTGATAGCAAGAGCTAATAAAACGGGATGGTCGCAAATTGATGATGCCATAAAACGGGAAGATAACAATCTATGAATGAAAAACTGACACACTTGTTGAATATGAATCGATGACTCATCGAAATATTTCATAAATTTTAGTGATTCCAGAATTCATTAAATTTAGAAATTACGACTAAAATCAACATTCGAAAATAATGCATAAATAATAAAATATGCTCTGACGCTTGTCAGAGAGTGAAAATTGTGAACGACATTTAGTGTTTGCAATTTTTCTTCCGAGTTACAGTTTGAAACAAAACTAGGAGGAAGCGCCATAAACATCACAGCTTGATGATACGGGCTTCAAGTATCCAAAATACTCACTATAAAATCATCTATCAGTCCTATATAAAAACATGAATGAATCATGGAAACAATGAACTATGTCTAGCAACCATTCACAACAAACTAAATGTGTGAAGGTCCACTCTAATAAGTAATCGATAATACATCATGTGTTGCTCTTAAAACTAGTCGAGAGAATCTCATGCGCACAGATGACCCGCTAGAAAAGATAAGCAAACCTTCACTTTCACTTCGAGGGTTTTCACCGCGTGAAGCGCAGGTTTTCTTGACCGTTGAGTAACAATTATTGAAAAAAGAACGACTCATATAACACTGCTTCACCATTCAGTCGGGATCACCGCGGGAGACGTGAACATTCGATTTACAAATGTCGCCACCTAAATGCAGGCTGTAACGTTTAAGATGGCACGAGATACTTTTACGATCAATTGTCGAGGAGACAAAAGGTGGTAAAAAAGCAGAAAATAAGTTCCTTTAAAGGTTTCTTAAAATTTATTGAATTTTGTTAACTTGAAATCTCATTTAATAAGTTTGAGGGTTTGAAGCCCTCATTTTAAATACCTAACTCACTATATGACTTCTGGGGCTTCAAACCCTCAAACTTGTTAAATGAGATTTCAAGTTAACAAAATTCAATAAATTTTAAGAAACCTTTAAAGGAACTTATTTTCTGCTTTTACAAGGGTTTTCATCAAGAGTTTGAGGTGGGGATGTTTTTCAAAAACTTTTTTTGAATATATTTTTATTTTCAAATTTTTCCAATGCTGTTTTCTTTTAACATATAAATGAAATAGTTTTATATATATATTTATATAAGTACTCATAAAATCAATCAATGATTTATTATTGCTTTATTTTTCTATAAGAACATATTTAAACGATATAATGCTATATCACAAAATTTTGTACTCTAGTTTTTGATCATAGTAAATTTAATCATTTTTATAATCTGGTAGCTTTCGCAATCTTTCCATTTCATCTGATACTTCTCTGTTAACAACATTTGTACCCGTCAATTTTCCGCAATCAATTTCTTCAAGTCGCAGGCCCTCTAAGGACCGTGCTCGACTTAATGCTACGTATGCTTGTCCAGGAGCAAATATTTTAGAACCTAAGTAGACAACACATTGATTGACGGTTGTTACTTGCATTTTATGAACAGTTGAAGCAACACATAATATCAATGGGAGCATTCTTCTTTCAACTGTTCCATACGATAACTTTGCTGGAAATTGTACTGTCATTGGATCGATGCGTTTTATTCCAGTTGGTTCTCCAAAATCGATATCTACACTTGTCTGAATTTCAATAAGAAGTTTTTTTTTCTTCGCAATGTTTTTTTTTTTCGCTGGCATGTTTTTTTTTTCGCTGGCATGTTTTTTTTTTTCGCTGGAATGATTTTTTTTTCTCAACAAAAAGTGTTGAAAGAACATATATATATGAATATATATATGAATAGAAGTTTTTTTGTAAGGTAAAGAGTTTGGGGTGGGGAAAAAAACAGCAGCAGTTCAATAATAAGAAACACAACAAAACAAGTACAAGAAAACTCGTGATGCGATTTGTCGAGGGTGAAAACGATGCTGTGAAAAATCTGCAATACTTGTTGTCACTCTTGATAGGGAAGTTTTAAGTTTTCAAAAAAAATTTCTAAAAATGTTCCGAAATCTGCCGCAGTTTTTCTTAATGACACACCATGAAATACTTTACGGGACATTCAAACATTTGATCTCTTAATTTCCTAAATGATGGATGAAAAATCAAGTCAAAGAGTTGGAAAAAAAGAAAACTCAAATTAACATCTTTTCAGTTTGTATTTTTTTTATTCAAGGCTCCACTGGTAAACTTTTGGACGAAACATTCAAACATTCCAATTTAAAGAAATAATGTAAAGTTTTTGCTTCAGCTCATAAACAATGTAGAAGTTTTATTTTTATTTTTAAAATTCCTAAACCATCCTTAATAATTTTTCACACAAAAACTTAGTTCACACATAATAACATGATTATTAATTTCTAAAAAAAATTAACATTCTTCTAAATCCGAAATTTTTAAAACATTTTCCGAATTCTTCAAAAGCTTCAAATCGTCATTATCAAAAGAAATAATTTCGAAATTAGTTGCTTTTAATAATAGAGAAATGACAACCGATGAAACTGAATGAGGATTTTGATTTTGATCTTCGCTTGAAGAATCAGGCTTACGCTTGCAATAATATAAACGTTTTGATGGATGATTTTGCATATGAGTTTTGATTTCATCTGTAAAATTGGAATTAAAATTATCTTGTGGTTATTAAAGTTTATAAAATATCAAAAGTAAGTCGACATCACCTCTTCCTTCACAACCAAAAGTACAAAAAAGACACTGAAACAAGCCGACAACAGCTTCAAGTTGTAACTTCTTATATATTGTAAAATCATTCACAACATTCTCTTCACTTTTTATTTCTAGTCTTGCATGTTGTTCCATATGATTCTCATATGCATCAATCAAATAGAAATTTAGATCGCAACCTGTTTAAAAAATAAATTTTTATTCAGAACTTTTCAAGCTTGAAATATTCACTGAACTTACTTGAACAAGTCATTGGTTGGATAAACTGTTGCCGATTCTGAACAAGTTCATATGCTTGTTCATTTGTAAGTTTCTCCATGAATGTTTCAAGTGGACATTCGTAAATTTTCAAAGGATGTTCAACGTGAAACATTTTATGATGTTCGTAGCAAGATTGTTCTTCGCAACTTCGATAAAAGCAATAACCGCATTGATATTTATCGAATTTGTGCAGATTATAATGCTCCATGAGTTGAGAAGACGATTTTCCATTGAAAAAGCAATATGGACAAAAATAAATGAAATCTTTTGTTCCATTTGCTTCATGACACAAAAGATGTTTGACAAAATTCTTTTGACTGATACTTGTATAACTACAACATTTAACCATACACTTATGCGTTGCAATCAATCCTTCCTTTGTCAGCATTTTGTTCAAAGAAATCGACAGTTTTACACACCAATCGGATTTTTTTCGTGCCAGCCAAGCATTCATTTGCGCAAAATCTGAAAACGTGTTTGGATCTTCAGATTTTGTGACAGTGGCAGTCTCTTCATAATAATTATTTACTTCCGATGATGAAGTTGCCTCTTGTTGTTTGTATTTGGATATTGGTGGTCGAAATTTCTTTAAAATTTCTGGTTTAATTTTAATTTCATCATCATCATCACTGTCATCATCAGATGATCGTTCAATGGTGGGAGTTTCTACATTTTGCAAACCCTCTGAAGTCATTGGCTCTTCTTCAAAACCAGACTTGTCGCCATTGACAAGTTCTTCATTAATTAAATCATTATTTTTTGTCGACTCGGTGGAAAGTATGATGAATTGACATGGTTCTGTTTTATCGTCAACTCTTTTTTGTAAATTCGTCATTCCAGTTATTAAGCTTGCACTGACATGATTTATCAGCTGAATATTATTTGAATTCGCTTTACTATGATTTTCCACCAAAAAAAGTCGATTCGCTACTTCCTTAACAGTAAGTCTTTTCTTTTTAGGCTCTTGTGGCTGTGTACTTGTACCAGCAACGTTTGCAGCATTTTTCCTTGGTCGTCCTCGTTTCTTTTTAGCGATCTCCGGTTGTGGAAGTTCCATGGAAGAATAATCGGTAGATTTTCAAGTGCACCTTTAAGTAAAGTTATAGTCATAAACTCGGATTAGGAACATTCATAAAACTGTTTAAAAGGTTTACGGAACTTAAGAAACTACAAAATTTACCTACGTATAAATTATTTTAATACGTTTTTTTTTTAATTCTCGGCTTTTTTTAAAAGTTAAATTCCAAGTGAGTCTAGATGCAAGGCTCAAAGCACACTGAAAGATTTTTATTATTGATAATTGTTCTGAAGGAGATCAGAGAGGGTCGTCAATGTCAATACATTTACAGCAGATAATAATGTAGGTAATTTGAGAGAGAAAAACAAAATGAACATCTGAAAAAGACTTGAGTGTGTTAGTGTGGTGATGCGATTTTTTTTCATTGCAAAAATCAAGGGGTATCTCATCGCAAAGCCTCTGCTGGCTGCCTCCAAATGATGCTTCGAAAATCACTAGTGCTTTTCAAGAAAAATGGCCATTTTCCAAGAATTTGCTTACTTCTTGGAATTTGTCTAGTGCTTTTTTCCATCAATGGTGCTTCTGCCAGCCAACTTTTTCGATGAGATGCCCCTTGGCAAAAATAAAGAAAAAATTGACACAAAAGGTTTTTTTAAAAAAAGTTACCAAAGGTTCAAGGGTTGCAGTTGAATGCTGAAAAATTTGTAAGTTTCTTGTAGACTGAACTTTTTCTCAATTTCACAGTTTTTAATTCAAGCTTGAAGTACAAATATTATTGGTGATAAATGAATATTCAAATATGTCAAACGATGAAGTCGAGGGTTGAACGAGTACTGAGTCTTATTTTTTACATTTCGTTCTTACATGACACAAATGATCGACCACTTTCAGATGTTTAGACATTCTTGAAGAAAGCAAAGTGTCAGATTTCGTCCGCTTGAAATAAATAAACATATTTGAAATCTTTCGCATTCTTCCTTATCCAACAAGTTCATGAGAGTGTGAATTTTTCTGAGTGAATCTTTCAAACACTGAATTAAGAATGGAAAATAGAAAATTAAGTTTTGTTATTACGTAAATGTTGAAGAATTCTTAGAATTATTCAATTGTTTAAACGAGGAAAAAATAGTGCATTATGCATGCATATGTGGAAAAATCTTGAAATTCTTAAAAAGAAGAAAAATATACAAACAATGGAATTGATTTCCATGTTTACTTATTTCGTGTTCATAATCAAGATCAAAGAAGCCCGAAAATCTTATTTGTCACACATTTTGACCTGGAAAATTCTAAGTTCAAATCATATTGTTGAAATTAACCAACCCTTGAGATACAACTGTTGTGCTATTTTAAATTCCAAAATGTAAATTATCCGTAAAATAATAATTGTAAAAACAAAATAAATGAAAAGAAAACAATCTGCAATGTCAAGAAGGAAAATGTTGCAATAAACATTCAAACATAAATAAATAAATATTTTATTACAAAGATTATGATTGTAGCGGTCTCTTTACTATGTTGCAAAATGATCAATTCTTTCCTAGAAAACTGAAGCGGCGCATAAATAAAAGACGAAACTACAATGACTTGTCAGTCACAACAATTAAAGAGAGAAAGAGAAAAAGATTCTAATTTGTCGACTGTGCGAAATTCTAAGAAAAATGACAAATCTTCATCATCATCATCATCAGTTCTTGTGTTTCAATCTATCTAGCATAAACAACAAATTTTTATTTCTGATCATCAGCACTCCGAAGAGAGATAGCGACAATGTTTGCATCTTGTCAAGGTTTCTTCATTAGTCGTCTCAAAGTGTTAGCGACTTTTAAATATTATGAAATAATCTGAATCAGCATAAAATCATCAGCACTTTTCAAATAAATATTAAAAATTCAATTGGATCAAATTTAAGTCAATGCGCAACAAACTTGAATCTCATATTACATTTTTGACATATTTGCCACCTGAATCATAAAAAATCATGACGTCAATAAACCAAACAAATCGGATCTTTTCACTCATTTATTGATTCCACATTAAATAATAACTCCTTGACTAAAAAAGTACATTTAAAAACTAAGCTAATTTTAAAATTTTTTTTGAATTTAGAGCTTCCTCCAAATCCGAGTCAACAGTTATTTTGAAGTCTTTTATTACTTCATCCGTTCGATTTTCTTCAATCGAAATGATTTCAATATCAACTTTTGTGTTAACATTGATTGTTTCAACTGAAGTAATGTCCTGTCGATAAATATTAAAAAAAATGATTTCAAGCTTCCAACTTACAAATTCTTTAATAAAAATTTAATTTACCATGGCAGTAGAACCAGGAGCACGCATTCGAACACAATACAGAAATTTTTCACTGGGATGCGCTTCCATGTGTGCATGCATTTCATCTGTGAAGTCAATTGTAATTTTTAAGTTAATCAAAGTTTCATATAATTAAACTTACCTTTTTCTACTGTACCATAGTGACAAAAAATGCATTGAAATTTTCCAGAAACTTTTGTTTCAAATGCTAAATCCAAAACCTTTATCGAACCATCAAGTATTTTTCTTTCAGATGTTTCCTCAGAAGTTTCATATTGCTCCAAATGTTTAAGATATTCGTCAACGATGAAGAAACTTAAGTTGCAATCTATTAGAAGAGAGAAATTAACATCATTAACATTTATAATTAAAATAAAAAGATTTTATTCAAAAGTCAACAAAACAAAGTAACAAAAGAGATCAATCATATGTAAATTTTTATCTTTTTGCTGTGGTATGACTTTTTTGAAAAACATGGAAACTCATTTAATGATAAATCAAGAAAATCTATTTTTCAAACATACAGTGAATTCTCGTTATAAGACACCCTCGGCATAAGATTTCTCTCGATATAATTTCACTTCTCGATCGAAACCTGAAACAAAATTCTCTCGTTATAATATTTCTCTCGATATATGTAATATCATTTCTTCAGAATGTCCTATAACGAGAGTTCACTGTAAATTCTTATACATTATAAGAAATTAACAAAGAATGATTCTCTTAGCAATGAAAACTAAAAACAAAAACTACTCAATAACAAAATTGACCGCAGCAAAACCAGATGAAGGGATCGACTTACTTTGACACGTAAATGGCTGAATGTTTTCTTCCTTTTTCTTCAGTATTCTTTTCTGATAATTTTCTTCTTCTTTGCTGCTTGTCGGCGGTGCTGGGCATTTGTAAATCTTAACTAGTCGATTTTTGTACTCGTTCTTGTGATATTTTAAAATATGTTGATAACATATTTGACTTTCACGACTCCTGAAGAAACAGAGAGAACATTGATGAACATCTCGTCTGTGAACATCATTGATGTGATGAATGATTTCCTTAGTATCCGAACTTTTCATATTACAATATGAACAATACATGTAATACGAATTTGCGGGTAATAAGCTTTTCCTGCGATGATGAATTAAATGATTGAGGAATATTTCCGGATTGTTGCAGAAAAATGAACAACTCTTCCCCATACACTTGAACAGTGAAATTAAACACTGCTTGGAGAGCATTTTATCAAAGCAAATTTGATATTTGAAGCTCACATTGTAGAATGATTCTTCCATCGATGGTTGAATGTGCACAATAAAGGATTCGAAATATGGCATCATTTCATTAACATTTAATGATCTCAAGTTTGTTGATGAAGTTTCACGGGATGTTCCTGGACTTGATGAGATTTTCTTTTCAATAGATTTTAGTTTTGGAGGAGTTTTTTCTTCATTTGAACGAAAATTCAATTTATGATCAACATTTGATTTACTCGATGAAGAATTATGATGAGTTTTTGATATTTTGCTGTCACTTTCTGAAAACATTTGCTTTTTCATTGGAATTGGAGAAGATTTTGGTGCCTGATTTGATGACTTTGATGAAGAAGGAAAAGATGAAACTTTTCGACTTTCAAAATCTTCTTGAATAAATCCAACAGTTTTTGGTTTATTCTTATGATTCGATAATGGAATTTTAACAGAGACTTCTTGCGCTAACTTTCGCTTCAAATCAGATCTAAAAGTTTGAGGTTTAACATTATTACAGATAAGCTCATCCTGTCTGCTTTTCTGCCTTTTTCTCTGATTTGAATCTTTTGAGGACTTTCTCCGTGAAGGTTTTGAATAATTTCTTGTTATTGGAACAATTTTTTTATTATGATTCAAATTATTGACGATTTTTCCTTCCTTTCTTGATGATTGACCGACTTTATTATTTGAATAATTCGACTGCTTAGTTGGTGTTGTAAGTTTTTCCTTTACGGTTTTATCAATGTTGATTGATAATGATATTTGAAGAGATGGAAGTTGAGAATCCTTGTTGGGTGATGAAGTTGAAGTTGTTGCTGAAGGTTCAATTGATAATCGCGGCAATGCTGTCGCATTCAAAATTTTTGTATTTTCAGATGAATTTCCAAACATTAAATCTAATTTAAGATCAATCGGATTTTTTTGAATATGATTTATTTCATCTGACGAAGTTTCAGGTGATGGAGGTAGTTCAATTGCCAAGTCACAACCGGCTTTGCTGTTTGATTTTTCCTCATTTTGAGTATTTGAAAGGCCACTTAACTGCTTATTATCTGCTTTTGATTTAAAATGAGACATCATGTGATTGAATTCCTCTTCTAAATTTTTTATTTTTAATTTAGATTCACACATGACACATAAATTATGAGAACCAATTGATGAGTCCTCGGAATGATCCTTTTGGAGGTGACAAAAAAATTCATTTGCATCATGAATTTTGTATTTACACCAAGACGAAACACATTGAAACTTAGTGATAACACCATGTCTTGAATAGCCCATATTAAGGACTTGATTAAAAACTTCTTTGACAAATTTCATTCTTGGTTTGTTTAAAAAAATTAGTTTTCTTTTGTCTTGTTCGTCATTCATCGTTTTTCGGTGTCAACGCTGAAAAAATATTTTTTTTTCAGGTACGTTACTGCTTTATTTGCTGAGATTGGCACTTTTATATACACTTTGAAGATTTTTAAGAATAACTAAATAAAATAATATTTACTTTAAACACTTTTCCTTTCATTTATTAATTTATTCAAAAATGAAAATTAAAATTTAACTGACTTTCACATGCATCACTTTAAATGACAAAAATAAAATAAAAACAGAAATAAACTT